CTATGTGCAACTTGACTGCAGTTGCAGACCAAGTAGAGTATATGTTAATGGCATTTAAAGCACACATGATCAGTACATCATATTGCATATAATGCAATCTGATTGCTGTAAAGCTAACATGTTAGTTGCTGAAATAAAAAAAAAGTACTTTTTAAATTTCTTTATGATATTTAACAACATATAAAGACAACCAAGCTCCAGTTCTTTTAGTTATAGTTGTAATAAGATGCAGAACATGAATTAATGGAGCAATATTACATAACCATACTACAACACAATAAAGAATTAATGGAACTGCCTCCAGCTAGCCTTAAATTTAAGCTTGGCAAAAAATATAGATATTAGAGCAGTTGCTCACAAAAACAAATTGAAAATGTTTAGTTAAAACCAGATATATGTGTTTAATTATTTTCTGTTTGACAGGCTGTTTCTCTCAATCTGAGTGTATTTTCTTATCAAACAGCTCTCTGTTTTCGAAGCTCTCTTGTTTCTCGTATAATTTCTTTCATACTGAAATGCTAATTGTAATTAACCTCAGTTTATTTCCCTTTTTTATGATTAAATGACAGAAATAAAAGATTTTATTCCATAAATCCTTAATTGTTTTATTAAATTGTAATTTTTTATAAAAGATTTTTTCTGTTAAAAGTATATGAAATTTCACCAAATCTCCATTTGATGTTTCATAACCACCAGATTTTTCATTTTGAATAACTTTTCCTCCTATCAAATTGCCAATTTCTTTCTACCAAAAAGTTGCTAATGATGATAAAAAATCTCTAGGCTTTAAATTTCTGATGATGACACTGAGACTTGGTGTAGCTGAAGGAGATATTTTGAACAGTGTTAAAAATCGCAGTAAAACTTCAGAGGATGCTAATGAAAATGGGATATAAATGAAACTGAATTTACAGGAGTTTCATATGGAATAATTAATGTATTTGCCACAATGTGATTAGGTCTGTAACTGAAATAATGTTCTAGAAGATATTTTTTGCATCTTAGGAAGATGTAATGTGTAATATGTTGCATATAACTGTAAAAATTATTTCAAATGAACAAGCCAATCAAAGTTAAGTTCTCCTTCCCCTTTATAAATAAAGTATAATGTGTTCCTCACATATATGAACACATTTTTGGACATAGTATGTATAAATGCATTGCAACAGATATCATTTACAACATTTAAGATAGCTGGATCAGACTTGGTCAAACTACAGCTGTTTGTTTAGCCACTAAATTGTGGCCCATGTCATAAAATCAATAATTTAATTTTTGAAATATCACTCCAGCTTACAACAGAAATCATACAATTGCATGATTCTTTAACAATCAGTTATTTCTTTTTAAAATTATATGTATATAATAATTTGTGCCATTTTTAAACTTGGCACCATTTCTGCAGCTTGCTCCTGCGACAGTACTATTTTTAGAACATAGGCTATTAGGACAGCAGAAAAAATAATATAGAAATGTGTTGCATTAATGATATATGTACTCAAATCTTAGTGATTGATACTATGGATATGTTTAGTAGTAACTCAGTTGGGTGACTGAAAATGTATTTGATAATCCAGTTAGCATTTAAGAATTAATTAGTGATTTAAGATTAGCTTTTATCTCAGTATCTTGGCCCTTACTTCAGTTGCAGAGGGAAATTTCTGATAACTGTTCTGAGTTTATACCTTGTTTTACAAATACATATTCATTTGCAGAGCACTCTGTCCGATCTTATTTATTTTAAAGAAAAAACTGGTAGTTCTGTTTTTCAAATCAAAATTGCATTGTGTTATTCTTCACTTGAATGAAAATCTCTCTTTATTGTAAAAACAAATATATTGTTCCCATTTTTTTAGTTTATTCTTATAAAAATCAGATGATACTTATAGTCAAAGTTAGGAGAGAAATTACGGAAAAAGAAAGAATGTGTTTGGATTCCTGTCTGGGGGGGAAAAGAAAATCAGCATGCTGTAGAAAAGTGTAAAATTTGTGTCTTGCAGAAACATTCCATCCTGGATATACAGTAAGATCCTGCTTAACACGGGGGGGGGGGGGATACGTTCCATCAAAGTAGAGCGTAATGCAAAACAGCACTAAACGAGGCTATCTTAACATGTAAATAATGGGGTTAGGGGAAGATGGATTAGAAATTGCTTAGGTATTAAATTTAATAATGTTTTTTCTAAAATAAAAATAAAACCAAACATTTATTTCTTGCAAAAATAAAAACAAATAAAATCCCAAGTCAGTCAGATCATTCAGTCTGTTCTGTGTTTCTAATTTTCTGCTTTTTTGTCAAGAAGGCATCTAATGTAGTGTGCGTTTTCCTTTTGCATTCTGTTAGAAGTTGTTGATAAGTGGATAAAGCATCCATAACACCCCGTCTTGCTTTTGAACTCCTGTCAACTCCTTTTTACAAATGCCATCGAAAGTTCTTTTTGCTCTTCTTCGAAATCACTACTATCAATATTTTTGTTTTCTTCTTGCTCAGTTAATTCCTTGAGCTCATCATTAGAAAGACTAGCTGCTGTTTCTTGAACTATTTCTTTGACGTATTCCACATTTACCTCATCTAAACTGGTTTGTTTCACTTATTCAACTATTTCATCCATATCGACAGAGTGTCCAATGTCTTCACTCTTACTTAAATCTGGCCAAATGTTCTTCTATACTCTTTTCAAAGATCTTTCTGTTATCTCATTCCAAGAAAGGTTTATGTTTCTACAGCATTCATGATATTGTAGTTTTTCCACAATTCTCTTATTGACTGCTTCTCTTCTCTGTCTGTTTTTTCAAACATCTGCTTAAATGTTCGCCGCAAGAATATGCCTTAAAATTGGATACAACGTCTTGGTCCATTGGTTGGATTAAGGCAGTTGTGTTAGGCGGCAAGAAAATCACTTCAACTGGAATGCATATTGTTAAGTCTGATAAATTTATTGGGTGGCTTGGAGCCATTATCAATTAATAGTAGTGCTTTCTTTGTTTAAGTTTTTTAATTTCGCAATAATGTTTAACAGACGTGCAGAAATGTTCAGTGAACCCATCCTGGAAAATTTTCATAGTTATCCATGATTTTTTATTAGACTCCCAAATTTACAGATAAAGTTGATTTAGATATGCCTTTCATCGCTCTTGGGTTTTTGGAGTGGTAAACTAATAGTGGTTTTAATTTGAAATCTCCGCTTGTGTTATCACCTAGTAGAAGTGTTAAACGATCTTTTGCAGCTTTAAATCCTGATGCTCATTTCTCTTCACGGGATAGAAATGTTCGTTTTGGCATTCTTTTCCAAAACAGGCCTGTTTCATCAACATTAAAAACCAATTTTGGAGGATAGTTTCCTTGTTCAGTTATTGTTTTTAATGTCGCTGGGAATTCAGCCACCGCTTTCGTATCACCACTTGCTGCTTCTCCTGTAATCTTTATGTTGTGAAGATTATTTCAATGTTTAAATCTAACCATCCTCGACTAGCAACGAAAGTTTCACTTATGTCACTTGTCTAGCCTGAATGTAATTAAAAATTCTTCTAGCTTTTTCCACTCTGATAGATTGGCTTAATGGCATATTGTGTTCAATTTCGTCGTCAATCCATATAGACGTTTTTCCATTTCCTCTATAATGTTATTTCTAGAACGGGTAATTCTAGATGCAGAGCTTGACGTAGTTGCAGTTGCCGATGACAGTATTTTTTCTTTATTCTTAAGAATTGTCCTTGTTGTTGAAGTTGCTAAATTAAATGCAGCACTATTTTGAGATTGAGGTTCACCAGAATCTAATCTTCTAATCACTTGCATTTTAGTTTCCAGTGAAATGCTTTTTCTGGTTGCTTTATTTTCTTGTTTTTTATTATCACCCATGATAAAAACTAAAGATCATAATATTTGTCACTGTATTAATCGTTATAGTATTATATAAATTTATGCTTACAATAATGTCAACAAATGTTTCAAATGATAAAAATGCATCCGTATAGCACCGCACCAAACAAGAAACACAACTACACTGTTTCAGATATGTTATTTGGAAATCTAGCGCTGCGCACACAATTTCGGGAAATCCCCGTAGTCCTGGAGCAATTTCGGGGAATCCCCAGGTTGAAATAAAAGAGCACTAAACCGAAACAACACTGAACGAAACAGTGTTAAGCGGGCTCTTACTGTATAATACAGGCATAACAAGAAATATTTAATTTTATTAATACTAAATAACCATAAAAATTATAAAATGTAATACCATTGCCAAATTAGTTGAAAATTAATTCTAGCATTAATTTCCATTGATTCTGCCTTTTAATTCCCATTAATTTTAGCATATTGTCTTGAAGTTTGACTATTCTTGTGATATATCACAAGAATAGTCAAACAAATTCTTGTGATATATCATTGTCTTTCCTGAAACCTATCAGTGTAAACTCCATTTAAGAAAATCTTCCATGCAGTGAAGTTTTTCAGGGAATTTGAGATGTTATTAAATAAAAGTCTAATTGTGTTTGTATGATTAATTAAGACTTTTGCATAAACTAAATTAGATGTGAAAAGAAACAATCACAAAAATTGCACTGTTTCCTTAGAAATTTCTGTACATGGCAAGAAACAGATCAAAGCACACACATGATTTCTGTACATGATCAAAGCACACACAGTTCTTCCCTTTTGCAGCAATGAAAGACATGTCATCATTTGACATTTTAAATAAATGTATGTGACTTAACATCTTTTTAATTTTCTTTTTAATCCGACTGCTTGACACATTACCTTAGTATTCTAGCATTCTTTACAGAGGTCATATGAAGTCCCATCTACTTTTTACTTTGAAAAAGCAGTATGTATTTTTTATCATCAGCATTTGAATTAAATGAATGGCCTCTGAAAATGGGGTAGAGTTAGAGTATATGTACATACAGAATTACCATTTTCTTTGTTCATATTTTCATATTCTCTGTACTGTGCGTGTTGTCTTTCTAATTTTATTTGATGCACAAACTTCATTCAATTTCAGCATGACATGTCTAATACAGAGCCAAGGAATTCGGGAAAAATTCCAGGGATCAGAATTGGAAGAAAAATTCGACTTATTAACTGAAGTTAACAATGTAATATTGGACAATGTTGTAAGTAGATATGGTTTTGCATTTCATCCTTGCATGTAAATTGAACCATTTCCAAGGTGATATCCTTCATTCCAAATGATTTTAGTCAGCTGTATAAAAAATTGTTTTGGGAAGGTGATATTGAGTACCAATATTTATTTATGTTTTCAAGAGTAATCACCCCAAGAGGTTTCATTATATTTTTATAAAAAGTAAGAAGAATATATGGTTTAAGCATAAATAGTCCAGTGATTTGCTGAAGGAAAATGCTTTTAATGCTACAAACATATAACAAATTCAATGTATGTAAGCAGAGTTGAAATTTTCTTTTATCTGTGGTTAAATTTAAGCAAAGATAATGAGTTAATAAATGATATATTGAAAATTATTTACTTTGAGACCAGAGATCTTTAGGGAAATGTCTAAAGTTTGAAACAGATTTTTAGATTATTTACAGTTGGTATTGCCTGATACGATCATGTCTGTTCTAACCTTATTTGATTGTGTAAAGTGGTTGAGTTTTATATGCAGTGCTAGGCTGCAGGCATGATTTCATTTTGGTTAGCGATACAACGTTCGATATTTTTTTTGGAAAGGGGGGGGAGATATAAAGAGTAAAATTTTAGAAATCGACTTATATGTATTAATTAAATTTTATTGAAATATATAAATTTATTGAAAAATATTTAAATAAATTTTATTGAAATATATAAATTTATTGAAAATTTAAATAAATTTTATTGAAATATACATAAAAATTTATTGAAATCTTTATAAAATAAGATTTCAATAAATTTTTGTGAATGAAATATGCATATGAACCTATATGTCCTCGCATACGGCCGTGCTGTTGAGATGAATACTTTTTTTGATATGTTTGTTTAATATGAAAGTTACAGTTTTTTTAATAAAATTTTCATTATTTTTTGCCATGGGTGACAAAGGCTGTGTTAATTCAGAAAATTGTAAATTTTCAACATGTTACACAGATCAATACAGTATGTAAGCATCTCAAACATTTAAAAATTTATCCATTCGAGTTTGTTGCATATTTCTTGTTAGTAGCTTTTCAACAGTGGTCTCCAAGACATGACATTGCTTGTAATGTTCTGTGTCACCACTTTTACGTTCGAGCATTCTAAAAATTTTGAATGTTTTTTGAGGCTGTGCTGCTATTAGTATGGGATTGGGATTTTCATCTTCTAACTCACTTTGATTTTCACTAATTCCTTTGTTTTCTGTGTTAACTTTGATGATCTCTGCATCATCAAACCAAACTTTTAAATATTTTCATCGATTCCCATATATTCGAGGAAGGTCTCATCATGCATTTCTTCATCGTCACCCTTGTCTTCTGGCATATCTTAAGAGTTTCCAGAAATTTGCTTTGGATGGGAGTCGGCTTTTTAAAAAAGAATTGAAATTGTTTCTGAAGTTACTTCATGCTATGCATTTAAAATAACATGCATGGCATCTAAGAAAGAAATGGACTTAACAATTTGCTTAGAAGAATAAACTGGATCAGTCATATCAATTTCTTTAATAACATTTTGTAACAATGAACCCCCTGTAAGGACTCTTGAGTGTGTTATAACACTCTGATCTAATCTCTGAAGAATTGAAATTGTGTTAGGAGGAATGAAAACTAATTTTATGTTCTTCAATGAGAGATCAGTTGGATGGGCAGCTCAGTTACCTAACAAGAATGACACTTTTTCTTTCTGAAGTTCTTTGTCTCAATCACCAAATCGCCAAAAATATTGCTTGCCATCCAAGCATTTTTATTGTTGTCTAGTGTGTTTTCTCACAACATTGTGGTATTCTTATTCCAGAGTTTTCAAAACCACTCCTAGAGGGCAGTTTCTACATCAATAGACTTTCCACTTCATCTCTACATATGCGAGATATTTGCACTTGCTATCATTTCATCTTAAATTGCCTCCCTTCTTTTCTGAAATGCACATAATGCAGACTGTGAAATTTTGAGTTCTACAGAAGCTTTATGTTGGCTGCATTTTGGTAAAGCATCATCATATTGCTTCAACAATTCTTTAGCTTTTAAGTCCTTGCATTTGGCCATTGTGAGGCATGACCAGACAGCAAAAAGCACAATGTGGATGGGTGAACTGAACGAACTGTGTTAGCAAAAAAAGACATTTTTTTAACAGAATCTCCCTTACATTTTAAAAAAAAATTTTTTAAAAATTTTCTTTTCATATTTTCCTCCTCCCTCAACTGATCTGAGCCAGTTCTGACTAACCTCTAGTGATTCACTCCCACCCATGTTTGGTTCAGATAAGAAAATTATAATAAATACCCAAGTAGCATTTGCAGTTCCACACATAAAAGGGAATTGACCTTGAATGAACCTTGAAACACAGATTTGTGGGTTTTGATAATTCTATTTAAGAAAATTCTGTCAATACTGTTCTTTGCAAATGTCTTACATCAGCTATTCTACTCATACATATATTGTTCCAATGCTGTTCATGGTTTTTCAATGCATTGATCAGTTTGTACCAAACAATAAGTGAGTGTTACCATTTGAAAATTTTGTAAGTTTTTTCACTGTAACCTTAACCGTGAGAGCTCTGCTGTTTTAATCCTTTGATGCACACAATATTATTTTTATAATGTATTAACTAGAAATCGTACATTATGATCCTAGAGACAAATAATATATGAATTAAAAAATTATTCTTGCTCATTGATCTGTGAGTGGTGGTCGCACTGTTGAAACCAGTGCACGTCTAGGACTTTGAAACTTACTTAGGTAGTAGGAAAAAAACAACTGGCCTCCTTCTGTGTGCATATCCAATAAATAACAAAATTTTCGAATTAAAAAAAAATTTGTATTTTTAAAAATTGCTTTATATGTAAATGTTTTACATTATTTTCTGAAGCAAATCATCAGAAAAAATAAACATTTATCTAATTTTTCTACAGCAGTGAAAACATAATAATTTACATAATAAGGACGTTTGGATAAATAGATAAAAAACTCAGCAGTTGAAGGATTTAAAAAAAAAAAAAAACCACCTCAGGTTTTTTTTTTTTTTTTTTTTTTTTTTTTAATATCAAAGAACAAAATTATTTTTAAGAAACTGTTCAAAGCATGTTTTGTCTTTTTGGTACATGCATAAACTAACATTGCACTTTTTATATTTACAGTTCCACAACAAAATACATTTTTCGTTTCTAAAAACTTGAGAAAAGTTCATAAGATGTAAAGTAATTGTCCATGTGTACCCTATGATTATTATCATACAAGGGCTCACTTAACATTTTTACTACTCTTTCACTCGAATTTTTTTCGACTTTGTGTGTTTTTTTACCAGTATAAATTTTAAATTTGCAAGCATAGCCATTTTCATCGCAACACATTCACACTTTATTTCTGCAATTTGTTGGTTTTTTAGGTAACTACTGTTTAGTTCATATACCTTAGCTGGCATTTATTTTTGCAATAGTTTGTTGTAGTTATATACTTCAGTTACAGAAGTGTTTTAAACGATGAAAATGTTCATGTTTTGGCAATGTCAAGTTTTAAAAACTAATTAGTTTTCAACAGATAACAAAGTCTAACTTTTAATTCGGTCTCTCAATTCGTATACTTATGTTTGGGAAAGTTTTATCCTCGTAATGGTTTGGTTTGGCTTATGTGATTACAGCAAGGGCTATCTGGTTAAAGGGGAGGGATGCCTTCGGCGAACTTTCTAAAGGAAATTGGCTCATATACATGTTACATATGGGAAACACCACGAAAATGCCCGTGCAGGCAGCCTGTTCGCGGAATTCCAATCTCAGGCCAAACTACCAGTGTTCAGTGACTTAACCACTCGCCCGCTGGTTGATCTTATCCTTGTAATGAAAAAATTAAAGTGTAGAGATATTAGGATGTTTTTGGAAACAGGAGATGTGAAACGAGCAATGCCCTTGCCGGTTCTCGAACCATGGACTTTTCGTCGAGCGTTCTGACCATCACACCACAATGGGGAAATATCTTATATACTCCCCCTTTTAAAAAACAGCTGTTGATTAGAAGACCCAATTGCCAAATCCTGGTGGTGGAGAATCATCATTCACTACCTTTTATTATTTCGGGCGCCACTGTAGAGATATTAGGTTTTTTTGGAAGCAGGAGATGTGAAATGAGCAATGCCTTTGCCTTTTTGTGTTAGCAATGCCTTTGTCGGGACTGGAACCACGGACCTCTCGAATATGCGTCGAGCGTGCTGACTACTACATCACAAAGGCATGCTAAGAAGGTGGGAGAAATACTTTTTAAAAGTAAAAGAAGTTTGACACTCATATGACAAAAAATTGTCCGGGATATTTTATTTGAAAATTTGTAATTTTTGACTTCATTTTCAGCTTGCCTTAAGGGATCGGTTAATTTACCCTCTCAGCGGCTCGGGTTTTTAGATCTGTCATGAAGACCTGTATTCAATGAGCCTTTATTAGCTAAATTTGTATATTTACTTACTTTAGGCTCTATTTTCATAAACTTACATTTATTAAGATGATATTTATATTATTAAAGAAAGTAAGAAAGCAAAATATCGTAAATTATAAGCTAATATATAACAAATGACGAAAAATCTCATGACCGGATAAAGCCGGCCATAACGCTCAGAGGGTTAAATAAAGCATCCATGCCTTCTTATTTGCGATTTAGATCTGAGCCAAACTTTTGTGACAGTTAGTTGGCTTTGCTAACTGCCAAACTGTCTAGGACAGCTGCTGTTTACCTGACTGCTATGCATGATTTTCTGGTGGTTATGTATTAGAACAATAACCATAGTAAAAAATGTCAAATTTTTAGAATGTGTCAAAATCTGGCAACTATGTGCATAACAATTCTTTAGTACTAACAAGCAACACTGCCATTTTCATATGCATTCATTTTATTGTATTTAAGTTCCAGCAGTTTTCATAGATGAATCATGATATTGTTAGCCCAATAGATGTTAGTCCAGAAGGGCTATTAATTTCATTTTGGCATTTTGTGTTGATTCACTTTGGAGTTAATCACTTTTTAAATTGTTGCCACCAAGTATTGGAGCCCTGTATTATATTTAAAGAAATTAAATAAGGAAAAATCTGCATAAATGTATGTATGTTTCTCACATTGGGATAAAATAATGGTTCCTAGAGCCATCAAATTTTGAATAATGTAATCTTCCCCTAAATATTGGCATCTCGAAGCCCAAATTTGGAATTTGTTTTATTTTCTGTATCATATTTTGTAAAGCATTTATGAGTTTTTGATTAAAAAAACTCAACGATTTCAAAGCGAGCAATGGCAACACTGTATGGGAAATATCTCCAACGTGCGAGACTGTGCATCAGATTTTCTGAAGATATGCTCTTTTAAATATTTTGTGATATTGTTGTTTAATTGAATTTTGTGGTTTAAATGCGAAGAACATGATATTTGATAAATAAAGATAACATACAAAACACTTTGGGCATCATATAAAATCTGATTTTTTTTTTTTCCTTTTTAAATCAATTTTGAAGTGTGTGCTTCTGAGATTTGCTTTCAATGGAAGAAAAAGTAGTAAAATTTTTGCAGGAATACAGTATTTTTCTGCAAAGTCACTAAAGGGGACAGTTGCTTTGAATCTATTTTTTAAATGACTGCCAGTCAGCGAAATTTTACCCATAAAATTTCTAAAGATTGGGATACAGATTTAAATTTTGGAAAATATGGAATCCCTGTAATGATTTTGCCACCAAATTTGTTAGAGTGCAATAAATTCAGTAACAGAATGGATGAACAAAATAAATTTTTCAGTGATTTATTTAGAATTGGAAAAATTTATTATTGTATCTAATGGGTGTCAAACAGCAGCATATATGTTCTAATATTTTGTATTATTTAAATAACATTATACTTAATACATTAGTTTTAGTATTATTTATTTATTACATTATTATTAGAAAAAATTCTAAATGGCAGCTGAGTTCTTAATGGTAAGCTGTATTGAGCGATGAAGTCAGTGAATTGGCAATAAATGTTTAAACTTATTATAAATATATTTATAATAAATATTTAGAAATTTGCAGTAAAGAGGTGAATAACATAATTAAGAATTTAGCATTGTTTCGAATTAGAAAAAAATTTTGGGCTCCCTTTTTAATTTTTCTTTAAAACTATAGGAAAAAAAATTTTTTTTTTTGACTAAAAATGTTATTGCAAATCAGGTTGATATTATTGTTTATTATCTGATAAGTGTTACATATGAAATCCATTGTAGGCAGTTGTAAGCAATTTTGAAATTTTTGTAAATACTTTGTCACTTTATTTACTTTCAGAGTACTAATTTAGATGAAGCAAGTGGTCTGAAAAAAACAGAAGAAGAACTTATATTAGCAGTGAAACCACAAAGTAGTATAAATACAAGTTGGAATAAGAAAGTATGTACAGTTTTCCTGTCTGGTTGTGTAAACTTTGTAGCATTTACTTTTTTTGAATAACATTTATATTTAATCCCTATATTTTACATCTGCATTTTTTACACATATGTATGATCTTAAATTTTATATATGTTATAAAAGTTTGTTTTCTGTTTTAGCAATTTAACTCAAATTGTCCACAGAGCTATAAACTACTAACGGCAAAAAATATTTCTCGACCACAGTTGGCATTTAAAGATAAAATTGATAATACTAATTCAATATTTGTTCCCATAATTAAAGAAAAACCAAATTCCATAAAAACCTCTTGCTGTTATATTAGAGAAGATGTGGTGACAGAGAAGAGTAAGTTGAATTTATTGTTCTTAACTTCTGGTTAAAACTAAATTTTTAATTACATTGAATTTCTTTAAAAAATCTGGCTTTTGGTCCTTTTTTAAAGATGCTTTTGGAATTTACATATGAGTATCTATTTCTCAAATATTGTACAGTTAATAAATTCTGTATTATATTTAATAATTAATATAACTATAATTAGTAAGTTCATTATTTTTCTTATCTGTTTAAAGAGGTTTAGGTATTTTAAACTTGTAATCTGCAAAATATTTGATAGAAATACTTTTATTTAATTCAGGCAAATCTTATTTGAGTTTTATTAAAGCATTTATTCATAATGGCAGTTTATATCCATATATACATTACACATATGCAAGTTTCTGTAAAAAGTTCAGAGTTCCTTTAAAGAATTAACAGCTGAGTGTTTATGTAAAGAAGTTGCAAAAAATGACTTTATGAGAACTTAAATTGAGTTCATCAGAGACAATGATTGAAAATAAGAATTCTGCATCTTTGTTTTATAACTTATGAATGTTAAATATAAAAGTAAAATTTATAATTTCAAGGAAAATAAATTGAGTTTAACAACCTCTTCCCCATGAAAAAGAACTGTTTTAATTTTTTGGTGGCACTGTAAATAGAAAGAATTTATTTTTGCTCTTGCTACTCCACATATAATATTCTAATAAAACCTAAAATTTTTTAAAATATAAAATATGTATAAAAGTATAGCTAGATATTTCTAAAAGACATTTTACAAAATCTAAATTCCTAAAGTTAATACTGTGAATAAAAAATATTGCTATCAAAATAATCTCAATTTTGACTTGAGATATTATACTTGATTAAAACGAAATTTATCAAATCAGTATACCAATTTCATTAAAATTATTCCACTTATTATGACGGAATTGATAAACAGAGAAATTACTGAGCAAAAGTAGTGTTATTTATACATTAAAAATTAATAATGTAATGCTAAGTCCTTTTTGTTATGTTTGTAAAATTATTTAAAACGCGCCCTTTTATTTTAAATTGTATGCAACAGATTGTCATCCATATGAATTGGAAATTGAAAAATTTGAACCTGCAGAAGAAATTTACAAACTGTAGAACCTGAGGTGAGTAATTGATATAAAATTTCTATTTTCTTTTCTGTTTTAGCTAATGTTGAGATTTCTTTATGTCTGTGCTTTAAAATGCAAGTGATGCTTCAGGTTATGCGTCAGAACTGGAACCGAAAAATAAACCAATTTCATTGTTGGTGAGACACACATTTAATTTTTGCACCCGATTTACAACATCTACGTGGCCACGTCTTTGTAGCGCAAGTTTAAGATGTAAATTAAGAATTTTAATTTCGTGATACCAACAGGCCACTGATGAAGTTTGACGCAAGACATCTTTTTGTTATTTACAGGCAAAAATTTTTCATATGTGATGAAACAATCTATTTAATCAGAATCTACTCACAAAAAAAAAAAAAAAAAAAAAAAAAAAAAAAAATTCCAAGGCAGTAAAAGTAAATAGTAGTGCTTAGTGTAGTGTGAAGAAATAAAAAAATTCTCTCCAATTATTAGTCTATGCAGGTATAAAAGAAGTTATATGAGGATACGATTCAGAGCGTTTTTGGTTAAATTTTAACAAAAATAATGTGGGACAAAGGGGATAAATTTGCAAGTTGTTGTTTTTGATAAAGAGTTACAAGTTATCTGCAGACAGACTTTAAAATTGGTCTAGCAGTAGCGTTCATTAAAAATTGAAATAATATGCAAACCCAATGAAAAATGCAGAAGTACCCCACGCAAATGCCGATGAATTTGTCGGCTTTGGCTTCTAGATTTGGACATTTTCCATATTTTAGCTCGTCAGTTTAAACCCGAAGATGCCAGTAAGAATTATCTAATTAAGATCTGAACTTATGTATGATAAAGCAATGACTTTTTTTGTGTTTGCCTGTTATGATCTTGAGAACCCAAATTATTAAAGGAACGCATGTTTATTTATGTGCTTATTTTGAAGCTAAAGGAAGCAGTTTTTTCTCTTTTTTTCTTTCTTTTTCTTTTTTTTTTATTTGTCAATTTTGCTAATTCGATACTTAAGGGTGCTAAAAAGGGAGGATCCATAAGGATAAGATTCTAAGCTTAAGTAGGAACAAAAGTAAAAACGACATGGCCTCTTTCAGAAGAAATAATAAAATTCTTCGTCCTCAGAGACACAAATGGAAAGTATCAGCAGTCAATGCAATACAACCAAAAAAGGTACAAATGGCAGAATAGAAAAAGTACTCTTTTCTTTGATAAACTATAATAATTCATAAAGGTGGGTACAGAAACACGTATTAATCAACTAGTTAATCTTTGGAAATAATGAAATGATTTGTTTAAGTTGTGATGTTCAATAGGGTCTTTAGAAAAGTTCCTTAAGAACTTAGTTTAACCCTGCGTGAATGCCCACAAACACATAGTAATAATCTGGACGAAGATCAGTGCATATGGTATTACTCCACAAGACGAGGCAGGATGATGACAGTCTTTTTCATTCTTTCTTTTTTTTAAGAAGTCAATGTATAAACAAAAATATTGTAAACTATGTTGTATTTCACGGTTTCTGTTTTATCATTTGTTTATTCCTTCTGTTAGAATGATGTGTTTTTATTTGCCCGGTTCTGAATAAAGTTGTTTTTCTATTCTGCTGAGTTGGGGCATATTATATTTTCTTTGTTTGTGTCACAGCTTCTATTTGGATTGCCTGGCATTGTAAATTAAATAATTACTATATAATATTTATAGCTCCAAAGCCTGGAAAGAACTCCATTCATTTGTGAAGCTGAAGAGCAGTTAAAACTATGTGTGATGATTTGCGAAAGGTTCATGCATGTAATTTCTTTTTTGTAATTTTGTAATATTGTGTGATTTATTCTTTTTTTGTTTTTACGCCTCACATATAGACTTTCAAGGGTTGCTTGCCGCAGATATCACCAGACGGACTACGTTTAGATGTATTAGACTAAGAGGTGCCTGCTCTGTGAGTTTTACCAACCTAAAATTGTGAAGGTGCATTTCTTTTGTGGTAGTTCTTTTGTATTCTTGTCTATAACTCATTTTTTCTAATTAATCTGCAGGTCCAGAGCGTATGGACATTTTGGGTTGCCGAGGATTTGGTTCGTCCAATTTAGACACAGGTCAAGCTTTGTTCATTTTTTCTTGTCTCTCTATATTCTCAAGCATTTACTGTAAAAAAAGATTGGATAAAAGTTTGGTTAGCAGATTGGAGATATTTTTGCATTTGAAAGAATTCTTTAATCCAATTTTGGCATTGCTTTTAGCTGATGTGTAATTTGTTTGGGGTTTTCACTTTGTGATATAAATGTATGTTTTGTTTTGTAATATTATCTTGTACCTTTTGCCTTGTATTATTTCCTGAATGGGAATTGATACTGTGTGAATTGGAAGAAGTGTAATGTTGCATTACATTTTTTATTTACTTTATTTTTGCCCTGCCATTCATAATACAGGAAATTTCCGACGATTTTAAAATTGAATTGGATGTTTGTTGAATTCAGGTTTGCCTGCCATTTGTTTCTTTGTTTCAGACTCAAGAATTTTAATTTTTTCCTATTCTGTAGAAATACTTGCTTATGCCTATTCTGCTATGAAATAATAAAAAAAATTTTGTAAAAGCTTGGTTTTAAAATTGTAAATTAAATAATTTACACTTGGATTTTTTTTAACCTCCAGGCAATGTGTTTTTGGATTTGTCATGAAACATATTTAAAGAGGCCTTTAGCTAAATATGTAACATATTTTAGTCTCAATATAATTTTACATCTTAATTTATGTTAATGAAAGTACGAAAGCAAAATAACTTAAAATTAAAGCTATATATAACCAGTGACAAAAGTCTCATGATCGATAAAGCCGGGTCTTGTGCTCACAGGTTAAATAGCTTGCGTGCTTTCATTTTAAGAAATATTTTTGACTTGAGTTGCATTTTTGTTCTCAGATACTTTCTAGATTACGGTTGTCGGTTACTATTTGTGTGTTAAATGTTCATTGCATATTTGTGGTTATGTACTATGGGACATATTATTTTTATTAAATTATTATATTAAAATGATAGTCGTATGTGTTTTTTCCTTGCTTTAGTTCTGAGGAAATATTTAATACTTACAAAAACTTACTCCTTCTTGTTTTCGTTTTATTCCCCTTTTTAAGCTCCATTAGGAAAAAATAAAGAATTAATGAAATTAATAAGTATAAAGATTAACTTGCTACCTACATTCTTGATTAAATTTAGAAAAGCGGGAAATATAAGACAATAAAAAAATGTTTTGGTTCCATCAGAATCATCAGAGAGAATGTAGTTGAGTATTCAAAGTACATTAAATTTCTGAATTGAACTAAATGTGCATAGAATTGGTTTTAAGTTGTTAATGGAAAACAAAAAATATTCATTTTTACTTTAGGAAAGGATTGTAAAGATATTTTTAATTGTTAATTTACAAAAATTAAATTTAAAATTTATGGAATTTGCAAAATTTTTAGTTACAAATGAATTGTAAATTATTTGAAGTATATTTATTTCCAAAGAATTATCTAGGAAAATTATTCTTATTCTAGGAATTCTTAATCTATATAAATATTGTAAAGAAACTTTGGGTAGTGGTAAGTGATGCTCTGCATTCCTACTTTTAATATGTATGTACCTTATTGAAAAGTAACACAAAATATAGGCATTTATTAAGATGTAATGTTTTATTAGTTAATTGTGTCTCTATATATTATTTTTTCCCTTCTTGCATCATCTGTGTTCATATAAAAGGATGGCAGGATGATTGAATTCGATACCTGAGACTTGGCAACATTTGAAATCAGTTTATAGATGATGTGACCATCATCCTGTTAATAGACAGTTGGCCTAGATACTAAAGTTTTATTAAATTATTCTCTTCTTCCTTTCCTGGAAATAATTATTCATCATTCAGCCAATGGATATCGAATGCTGGGTGTTGAAATGCAGGTACACAGTATACCTTTTTTAAAAAACTCTATGCTAATTTTCCATGCAACACCAAGAATTTAAAAACATTTTAAACATAAAATCTGCTGTCTGAAATGAAGTATTGTAGGAGGTTGAAGTGTTTTTAAAAAATGGCGACATAATTTATGACCAGCTGCCATACATTTTATTGATGAGACGATATCTGTAAATTTGGAATTGTCACAGATTAAGTAAAATTTCCCAGTTAATGACAATTTTTGAAGAAATGTGGAGAAGTGATAATAAATAAAGATGATATGACAGAAATTTTTCATTTGCAAGGTGCTCCATTCCAATCACTAACAGACAGTGCAATCTGTAATTTGATTTTAAATCCAGAAATATCTACTGGTTTGAAGATGGTGATAAAAGGTTGTTGTTGAGAATGAGAGATTTCGATTAAGAGTTTAACGATAATTCTCAATGTGATAGTGTGTAACTGTCAGTTCTGTAAGATCTTGCACAAAGAGACTTAACTGAGCAAGAAATTATCTTAAAAAATTGGGGAAGTATCAGCACAAAAAATAAAACTGCTTAAACAACTTGCATTAAATTATGTTTAGTTAAACAAACAAATAAATTTAGAGCTTTTTTTTAAAATTTTAATCCTGTTGAAGTCACAAATGCTTCATTATTTATAAAACAATTCTTTCATATTTTTAATTGTAATTCCTGCATGTCTTCTAGCTAGATAATTAAACTGGTGATTTAATATTAGGAAACCTTAGAAAGTGGAATTTATAGGGATTCGGCAATTTTGGATAAGATGTTGTTCATAAGAAATAACATGCTTTTTGTGATTAAAGTATGTACTTACTAATCTATATATATATATATATATATATATATTGTATATGATAATGTGATGTACCAGCTTTAGTCATAGCTTTTTTAAATCAGACGATAAGTTTAAAAAAAACAGGATCCATTTCTTATTATTCAGGAGCAGCAGTACAAAATCAGATCCAGAGTAAATAAAAAGAATTACTAATAACTTTTGTGAAGATTTACTGTGACATTTAAGAAAAGCCCCCGATTCCTTGGGAGTCTTTTTATAGGGAAAGATGGAGCTTCCAAGAAATGACGTCAGTCATTCCAGTTTGCTTTAAATACTTCCAGAACATTCTATAACTGTACGTGTAAAAAAGGCGGGAAAACAAACTTGACTATGGGGCTGTGGATTTAATTCCAATACTTTCAAATAAGAGACTGTCGCCGTTAAAAATGAAAAGAACATACAGTTGGAATATATTTATTATTACATATATATATTTCTCTAATTTTGCTCAAAGTCTATTAGTCTATCAACATGCCAAAGTGAAAATTAAAAACAGGTAAATTTGACAACCTTGTAATCGGCCAGATTTTGTAAAATCCCCATTCGATTTCAAGGGGCAAAAACGGCTCCCCCTTCATCAGGAGCAAAAAAAAATTTCTGCAAGAGCGAGAAAGGCGAATGTCAATCATATTTATACTCTACAGGCAACCAGTGGAGAAGAGCGCGTTTTCCTCTTATAGGCTGTTCGACAGTGTGTTTACATGTTTAATTTCATTAGCTAATTTTATGGTAGGTAGTTCCTTAATTCTTAATTATTTGGTTGTTTTATGATACCTAATTTACATATCTGGTTCACATCCCGTAATGTATTTTGCTGCTGTCGATATTTCATTAACTTTAGCTAATGTTTTCTAATGTTTATACATTAAATTGATGTTAAAAAATTAAATACATTAATTACATCATTTAATTTTAGAAAAATATCTTTATTACAAATTTATTTTATATGTGTATATTTCAACAGATTCTGAATAGAGTTGAGATTTTCTGAAGTATTTTTTGCATTTTCTGACTGTAAGAATTCCCTTAATTAGTCTCTGTTCATGTCCTCTCATATGAAATCATATATTTCACATAAAAAAAGAAATGAATTTTTAAAACTGTGTCATTTGTTAAAATCAATTGTGTATACTAAATCATATATTTATATCAAAGTATTTTGAATATATTTTTTATAAAAAAATTAAATGGATTCAAGACTGAAATCAGTTTTTCAAATGATAAAGTCATAAAAATGGATGTATAATTGTAACTCTGTATGAATAAAAACATTATCTTTTTGCATATGATATTTTTGAAATTGTAAATTCTCCAATAAGATTTAAGTATATTGTGTAACACATAAAATTTTAGTTCTTTATGTAATAGGAAGAATATGCCAAAAAGAACATAAATTTCAGAGCTGTATACGGTTGCTTTTGTTTTTAGTCACATGTAGTAACTGACATTATGTATATGATGTATTTGAATTTTTAATAAAAATATTGTAACCATTTTATTATAACTAAATTTTTAAAAAATCTCTGCATCTGCAATATCATTATAAAAAAAATATGTTTTTAAATATCATTTATTGGATATGAGCAACATAAAATTTTATAAATAGGTCTTGAAGTGCTTAGCATCATATGATATCTTAAACACATATTTAAGTAGTCCATTACTGAAATTATTTCTGTTTTTTTCCCCCAGACCGATACCTCCAGAAATGTTAAAATATGCCCGAGAAGATACTCACTATTTATTATATATTTATGACTGCTTAAAAAATGATCTTATAACAAATGGGAATGAAATGAAAAATCTATTGCATTCAACATTTGAAAGAAGTAAAATGATTTGCTTAAAGGTATGTAGTATGCCTTTTAATATGTTTGGTAAATTATTTCTTATTCTTTAATTGTTATAAAATATTATTCACTTTGATTTAAATTAAAAATATTAGTTGCATTTATGCATTGCAAATTCGAAATTTTTCCTCCTCCAAATGAAATTATTTTGCCTCCAAATTTGCCAATACTTTTGATACTTTTTAACTCTACTTTAGAAAGGTTTATTGAGATTATTTTTTTATATGTTTATTAAATATGTTATTATATAATTTTTATTTTCTAGAGGTATCAAAAACCAGTATTTAGTGATGACAAGTATTTGGAGTTGTATAAAAAAAGTAAGAAAACTTTCAATGCAAAACAACTGTATTGTCTAAAAGAATTATATGGCTGGAGAGATAGGATTGCCAGAGAAAATGATGAAAGTTTAGCGTAAGTCTGTAATATATTGCATATGATTTCTATTTAGGATGCTCTAAGGCAGCATTTCAATGTATTTTGGAATTTTTTTGTCACTTTTCCTAACAATTCCTTCAAATAAGTAAGAGATGACTATGTTTTTTGCTTAACCCTGAAGCTTAAAAATATTTATGAAAGAAATGTCAGCATTTGCTTTCCTCAAAAGAAAAGGATGGGGGGGGGATAAGTAAATAAATGCTAGAACCAATAATAAGTTATTGTGTCTTGTTGAGTAACTGCACTGAGATTTTAATTGATTTTTATGCAAATTTGCATGAATAAGTGCTTTGATATTAATTTTTATCTAACATAAAATTGCCATCATTTAGTTTGTTTTTGTTTTGAGTAAAAAGGTATATTTCAAAACTAAAATCTATTTCATGCAAAATAGTAATATTAATGTAATATATGTAATGTAATTAATAGTAATATTAATGTAATGTATGTATTTTTTGGTATGCATTGAGTGCAGACCTTTTTTATTTCATTTGTGGATTCAGTGTTTTTTACATATTTGTTATACAATAGATTTAAAAAGTAATATATATCTAGGATTTATTGCTACAATTATTTAGGTAAGAGTACATTTGTAAAGAAATATAAATGTATTTTCTGCAATTTTAATTGGATACATAACTTTTAAAATCTGTGCTTTGTTTAGACTGTAATATTTTTCTTAAAGTAATTTAAAATTTATTTAAATATAGATATGTTTTACCCAATCACATGCTCCTGCAAATAGCTGAAGCATTACCTAGGTGAGTTATTTTTACTTCATTAACTTTCATAAATTTACTTAAATAAAGATAATGCTGAAAACAGGTTTTAAGTTTTGAGTATTATCTACATTTTTATATGCACTTTTATGTGATGGAATTGAAATTTAAATAATTAACAAAAAATTGTCTTAAAGACATATGAAAGGGGCTTCACTGCCTTTCTGTCTATGGCAGCTTTGATATTAGAATTTTGGTATCTCTCCTTTATATTCGTGCAGAGACATTTGAGAAATGTAAAATAACTGCAATGTTTATAAATAATAGCAGAACTGCTGTTCAAATGTTGAATATTTTGTTATAATTCTTCTTATAATTGAGTAATTAAAAAATATTATTAAAGTGGTCTAAGAGTATTTTTTATTGCCCTTTCACAGTGGGGAAGCGGAACACTGAAAGATACATTAAAGAAGCATGTAGTTGTCAATGATTCATTTATTTCTAATAACATATTTTTGATTTAAAGATTTTTATGTGGCCAAAAAAAAAAAAAAATATGATTTTAAGTTAAATGTTTTCTAAAGAGAAAATTAAAAGGAAATTTATGTATGACAGCAATAAAAAACCTCTTTTATTTCATTTGGAAACTTCGCTCTGTTCTAAAAATAGTGCTATAAATCTAAACTGCATATTCAAATTAATCATGCGATCTTACGTAACCCTTAATGCGGATGTGTCTTGACCAATCACCAAATTGTAAACCAAAACTTAAAATTGAAACTTTTGACTCCCTCCCTTCTTTCTATGAACTGATGCATAACTTTTGCTTGTGCTTTCCTCTTGGCTAGACACCTTTCTCCAATCATGTGTGCTGCTACGTTCACTTCTATGGGAATAATATCAAAAATTTTTAATGTTCTTTATTAGGCACAAGTAGAGTACCAAGTGAATTGTGGCCACAAAATGAGAATTTAATCAAAGGAATTTAATCCAGCTCGACTGCTTCTTCTTCAAAATGGATGGATGCTCTAAGCATCAAGTATCTGCGTCTCAGTTTTCTTATTTCAGTGCCTCCAAAAGTTTTCTGTCATTACATTCTTTGGCCAGTTCTAATTATGAAAAATTTTACACCAGTTTGTTAAGCTATGTTCACAGTGAATCATGGGAAAAGTCCTGTTTCATCGGAAATTTTAATGAAAGTTTGTACCGCATTCACGATCAAATCATTCATGTCGCGCCATTTGAACCGCAACTTCATTATGCACACACATATATATATTTTTTTCAAAATGAAGATCTTACTCACAGAATCTTTTAGAGATCTTCTAAAAAACTTTGCGAGGTTTCTATATAGGCTATTCTATTTAGACAACTCACAACATAATTGGCTTAAGTTAAAAAGGAAAAATATTTCTAGTTTTAAGAATTTGTATGTGATTATTAGAGAACAATTCTAAAGTAATAAAACTCGAGAAAATATTAATAATTTATTTCTACCATTTGAAAACATGTTACCCATGTGAAAATTCTTTCAGCATACTAATTGTAATAAAATTGCAAATTTAAGAATGTTACACTCTGGTAAGTAACTAAAGACTACCATTAAATGGCATTTAAGAGCAGAAAATGAACCTTAAATTATTCTAAATTATCTATTAACAACCCCTCAAGGTAAGTTGAAAATGACATTAAAAATTACAAATTTTTTTAAATTAAATATTTCATGCATTTTTGTCATGTAGGAGTCAAATTCTTTTGCCGTATTTTTTGTAATGAATATAATATTTTCCTTAATATAAGTATAGAGGATGAAATGGAGAAACGGGTAAAATGTTTAATGACATATTTTAGATGAAATTAGTTTTTATTTATTTAGAAGTGTAACAACATGAATGTTCACATCCTATAAAACATTTTTGTGTCTGGAAGTTTATGTCTGTGACCAGTAATTTGCAAAGATAAAAGTGAAGTAAAAACCAAAAGAATTTGTATATAAAATCTTTTATTATTATTATATTAAGTTACTAAATATTTTACTACTCAATAAATAAATAATTTTGTAATACACTGGTCATCAAAATTAAAGAATAATGTCAGAAAGCAAATGTAATTGATATTTAATGAAATATTATTAATAGAAATTAGTACAAAAGTGTTACTTAACATAAATTACAATGTTTGACCAATCGATTATTTGGAAAATGATGGAAAAATTAAGTCACCTTTTGTGATTTTTCATTAATATGCTGTATGGTCACCTCGGACAGGTATGCATACCTCACATCTTGATTTCACAGACTTAACTAATGTGTTGTTCAAGTCTTGTGAAATTGCACGCCACTCTTTTAAAAGTGAACTTTTCAACTCCTGGAGGGTTGGGGAAAGGAATTTGACAATCTGAAAATTCAGCTCTCTAAGGCATCCCACATATGCTCAATTAGGTTCAAGTTGGGAGTGTAAGGGGAGCATTCCATTCGAGTGATGTCTTCTGTTTGCAAATATTCTAACACCACACACACTCGATAAGTCATTGCCATCCATTAGCAAAAACTCTGAGCCAACAGCATCCCTAAACAGTCTAACTTGGGGCTGTAATATACATTGTCCACATATCTTCGAGTGGTAACAAAATGTTCTTGAAAGATATGCAACTCGGTGTGGCCATTTGTTGAGATTCCTTCCTAAACCATTAAAACGCTGGAGCAGAAATGTGATATTTCATTGATGAGGGAAGGCAAGTTGCATGTTCCTTCCTTTCTCCGGATCAAAACATATTTAGGATCACTGTTCAGACTATATCCGAACTAGTCAGTAAAAAATGCTCAAGCCCAGTTGTCTTGGCTACATTGAACATGACGACGGCTCCAGTTTAAACGGACCCCTCTGGAAGCTGCAGTGAGTGGGCCATAAACCATAGCTTTTCTTGCATATATGAAAACTATTTTTATTTACAGTAGATTAGGATATTGTTGATTATCTCTCTGAGTGGCATGACTGCTTTTATCCATCCGGTCATGAGATTTTTTGTCACTTGGTATATATTAGCTTATAATTTAAAACATTTTGCTATCTTACTTTCTTTAATGATGCAGATATGATTTTAATGAATGGAAGTTTATGAAAGCAGAAACTTAAATTAGCAATTGTATAAATTTAGTGTATAAATGCTGCTTAAATACTGGTATTTGTGACCAGATTCAAAAAGCCATGACACTCAGAGGTTAATTAGTTAACACTCCAACTCTGTTTAAGCCTTTGTGCAGCAGTAGAATGGCTGAGTTTCTGTGGCAGCTTTAAAGGTCTAAAATGAAATCGGCTAATCTTTGGAATGTGGGAACAGGTAGTTTGGCGACATTTTGGCAAGGCGATAAAGGTTACTACCTAGGACTTTAGCAGTGTACATGGATAAAGTCAAGAGTGTGCGCAATGCCATTTTTGTGCAATTCGAGGATGTTTTTTTAAGTGAAAATAGGTCAACATGTACATGGATACCGTGTATGTGCAGTTCTTAAAAATGCGGCAAACAGTTTGCGATTCTGCACTTTCTCCCAATTTCGCACCTAATCTTCATCATGATTAAGCACTTTTTTTACATAAAAGTTCTAGCATAAGTGTAATTCGGCTAGCAGATTGTTGGAAAAAAAATGTTTAGTTAAAAAAAAAAAAAAAATGCCTTTACTTCGTGAAAACAAAATGGTGTCCAAAAAAACAACTTGCAGGTTGCTGTAGCAGGGTTGGTCGCCAAATTTTTGCCAAAAAATCGCCAAGTTACCATAATCCAAAGATTAACCATCAAATCTCTTGTAGTCCCTTTGTGGTTTCTTCGAGCCAACAACAACAGAAAACAGTCTCCTGATGCAGTTGTTTTACTTAGATACCCTTGATAAGGTTGTCTATCAACTGATCTAGTGCTTAAAAAGTGGCTCTAAACTCTTAATATGACACTTTGAAGGATACTCGTATCTTGGGCGACTTCCTTTGCGTTTGATCTCCCACAGTTCTACCAATTATTCTCCACTTTTGACCTTAACTTAAATGATGCTTTTGAGCTGTAACTACTGAATACTTATCCCTCTCAGAAACTACATTCACTTTAAACAACACTCCAGACCGGTATTTCAACATACGTCCATTGCACACCATGTCAATCACTGAATTAGCATATTTCTGGCACATGCTCATAAGTGCAATTTTGTGTTAATTGTATTTGTTAACATAAATAATTACAACATTAGGCATTGGTTGCAACATTGACTTAGCATATTTTTTCTCATTATCCTTTAATTTTGATATCCAATCCAGTGTATTATGAATATTTTTATAAGTCTGTAAAATAAATAATGAAAAACTGAAGCTGTGCAGTTAAGTTGTACATTGGAAAGGTATTGTATAACTTATTTGCACAGCAGTTGATTACTATTTTGTATCATTTATTACTGAAATTTGAAGTTCTGGTTTTCGTATGTCTATATTTTCTTATTTTACTTTATATCACTATATCACCTTATATTTCCATTTTAGAGAACAGCAGGGAATTCTAGCTTGCTGTAATCCTATTCCCCCTCTGGTGAAACAACAGTTAAATGAATTGCATTCCATCGTCTTAAAAGCAAATGAATCTTCTTTGAAGCAGGTATACACAATTTTTTATAAGCGTATTTTTTGGTAGAGAATTCAGGTTGGAAAATCAGATTGAAAATACATTACCATACTTAATCCCCTTTTTTCATGAGATTTATTGCTCGAAAACCAGTTGGGGAAAAATAGGCATGTACTATATTTCTGAAGAGACAATTTAAATTATAGCAATAACACATTAAAAAACATATATAAAGACATAATCTTGTTACAGTATGCATTTCAAAGGGCTTACAGTTTCAGTAACATTCTTTGTACTTGGACATTTCTATTTGTGCATACATTTTATATTGTTACCATGAATCGGAAGTTTCTAAATCATATGCTAAAAACACTAGGGAGAAAAATATTTGAGTAAATATGATTTATTTTCCCACATTATTTATTAAATAAACTGGAAATTTGCTTTGATCCAGTATGTTTTGTATATCACACAGCACCTACAACCACCAAACTCTTGAATACCTAATTACAATTAAGGAGATGAAAACATCATTGCGTATTGAAATAATGTGTTGGAAATTAATTGCATACACTTACAAATTCTGTTTTTCAATTCATAATGGTATAAAGACATGTTTTGTACACTTTTTTGTCTTTGAAGTAATTCCAAAGGTAATAGGCCTACCAGTGCCTGAGTGGTAAAGTTGGTGAATACTGGTAGTTCGATTCGGGTTCATTTCTCAATTAATGGGTGTTTTTGTAGTTTTTCCCATGTGTGGTATAAATATGAGCCAGTTTCCCTTGGGGGGGAAAAATAAATCTTTGAGCAGATTCTTCTTTCATGCTCTAGCATTATTGAATAAACCCAAAACCAGGGAAAATAATCATGTCTGACTAAATTGGGTAACTAGGCTAAACTATTGATGTCTCCATAATGTGAATATCTGTACTCCAATAGTAACCAGAAGAATGGCCTGTAGACCCTCTCTATGTAGGCAACTGCTCTATCCTGCTGAAATCATCACTCATGGTGATGAGAACCTGTGGCATGCTAAAGAAATGCTTTAAACATGACTGTGTGCCACTGACCATTTAGAGTTTTCACAGTAACTGCTTTGCCTGCCTTATTTCCAATGAAAATATAAAATGATTCCTATCCTAGAACTGATTGTTACTTTAGCATTGTGGAGAGTTTGTTGGTTTTAAGCTATTGGAGATTATTTAGAAGTGTTGGTAATTGTGTTTATTGACATTAATAATTCTGCTGTAGCAGTGTAGTATTTCATTAAATTCCAGATCGTATTGACTGTGCTGATTGTGTATATAGCATGCTGAATTCTTATCTTGGGGTTTAATAAATCCATTTTCATTGTCGTTTTAATCCTTTATTGTTTATTATTTATATACAACTAATTGAACTCTGCAAACATTTACATAATCAGTTTTATGTGTCAAAATAATATGCATACAGCATTCAAATTCTAAGTATTCAATTCGGCATTCCTCGCTGCCATCAAAAGGCATTCTGAGCAAGCTGGAAGGTTTGCTATAATATTTTGCTCCCTTACAGTTTCACTATAAATTCCAAATATTCCACATAGCCGTAACATGCTGTGGTTATTGTATCCATTAATCTTGAAAAGCAATCGGGCGTTTTTCACACACTGTATTAAAAAAAAGTTTAGGAGCTATTTTAAGTATGTTGAGTGTTGTGTAAGATATGTGAATATGCAAGTGATTTTATGAGGTGAGATTTTAATGGAGGCTATTTGTGATTAATTTATGTAATATTTGTTTTCCTCTGTGATGAAATATTGTAAAGTTAATGATATTAGGTAAAGTAGGACACCTTGTAATCCCCCCCCTTTGCACAGAAAAAGAAACTTATGTAAGTAATAAATCCTTTAGGTATGACAAAAGAAAAATTTGAAGTTCTTCAAAATGTGTTTTTAAATAGTTTCTTGCCATCATTTCTGTGCTACATTCACCATTTCTCATATTTTAGAAGTTCTTTTTAACAAAGGCATCTAGAAATACTAAACAAATATAGATTCAACATTTAAATATAAAACCTCAAATTCCATTTAGAAAAAATGTTTTCCCCCTTTTTTTTTTAAGGTCTTTATATTTGGCCTACATCTTTAATTGAAAACTTTTAAATTCTCTAATATAGGTATTTTTATACATAATAAAATTTCCTGAATGAAATGTAAAAGTTAAAATGTTTATGTAAGATAACTGGAATAAATGACCACAAAAGTATAGTTCATCACAGAACTTTAAGACAAAAATGTTAGATGCAACTTTTCTGAAAAATAGCAAAGAATTGTTCCATCATCATTTGTTTACAATGAAATACTGTCAAATACTGAAAACCTGCTGACCTGAAATACACACAACCTGTTAAAATGTAAACATTCAGTTTATAGGTTCAGGAAAACACAACATGGAGAATGAAATATTGAAGAAAAAAAAAATGCATGAAGAATAAAATACTGATGAAAAAAGAAATATATGGAGAATGAAATACTGAAGAAAAAAGAAATACATGGAGAATGAAATACTGAAGAAAAGAGAAATACTCGCCAAATAATGATGTCACAACAGAAACACTTACCAAATCATTGACATCATGGTAAAAGTTTCCCCTCCTCCCCCCAATCTACATTGAGGTAAAGAAGCAGACAACTTCACTCAGCTCTCTTTCAAATTCACAATTCATGTGGTGATATTTCCTGAGCTTTGTTATTTCAGAAGATTGTTTAGTACGGCTGTTCTGTTATTTTATTGAGATTCTTTATAGGTAAAATAAAAAATATTTTTAATTTCATCGCTTCTGAATACAGTGTCAGTAAAAAAACTCATTCATGATTTTATTGCTTGCAACATTGAAAAACATAAACATGTTACATGACGGTAAGGTAAAAAGTGGAAATTTTGCAAAAGATGGAGAGAGGTGCCAACTTCTTGGTTTGTATAAGAATTGTACAGAATTGTGACATGAACTGTATATGATATACAGTAAAATAAAAAAAGCTGTTGAAAATTTTACAGCAACAGTAAATATGACACTGAAATCAAAAATCTTCGCACAACGCGAAATAAGCAGACTTTAATGCTGTCTTGTACAAGTGGTTTTGCCAGTAGAGGAGACATACGATTTCAGCAGCAGTTGATTTAAGCTATGACATGGTATACATCACCTGAATTTTCTGTGGTGGTAGCAGAAGAAAATCTTAGCCCAGAAACAATGTAGACAAGCCTGGACATTTTAACCATGTTTACCAAGAAAAACATTTGTGAATAGCAAAGAAAGTGTGCCATCATTGGTGAAAGAAGCTAAATAAGAAGTTACTACTTTAGTATGCAGCACTGCAGATGGAACTTACAAATGTAAACCAATGGTAGTGTGTTCGGAGTAAAATCACTGAACGGAGTAAAATCCTTACCTGTGATTTACAGGAATAATGAAAATTCATGGTTCACAGAACAACCTATGACCGAATGTTTCTTAGAACATTTTGTTAAAGTCTAGAAGACATTGTAACAGTGTAGAGTGAGAGGGTCAGCACAGCAAAGATTAAAGCAAGAGAATTGCTTCTGTATTTGAAGGGATACGTTCTGTATTTTCTATACAAATGAGAAGGCTTTTGGAAGAAGAAGGTATCGTTGAATACGTGATGTATCCAGATGAGCCATCACTGGCATATGGAATGACAATAATGGTTCTGTTTTGAACTCGACACAGCAAGAAAACAATTCTAACACTGACACAGAATTTGATAGGAGTGAGAAAATATCTTTTAATGAAGATTTGGAACATGGTGAAAAATACCTAAATTTTTCAAACAGCAGGCTGGGGCATACAGCAAGAGATTCTGACTCTATATAATTTACAAAAAAAAAAAAAAAAAAAAAACTTACTTTGGAGCAAACTTTTAAAACAAACTGTAGTCAAACACAAGAACTGGAAATTTGAGTACTTGCTCGTTTTCTACTAGACATATTTTAAATATGGAAACCACAACAAATAAATTCATTCAATACTTCTGGAATAAATTAGCATAATAATGTTGATCTCTAAATTTTTAATTTGTATGGAATAAGTATAAAATCTTTGATCATAGTGAATACTCGAGTCCAGTGAAAGAAAACAGTGTCAGATTGAAAAATTAAATCTAATTTCAATAAAAGGTAGAGATAAAATATATTCTGACATAATTTATCTTTTGTTATCTTTCATTATTTCAGTGTTAGTTGAGATGCACCAATTATATTAAGATGTATTTACAATTGAAGACATTTGTATTCTTGAAACTGTTGTACTTATTATCAGTATATAAGTGGCATAGTCCAAAAATAAGAGAAAACAGAAATTTTTTTTATTTTGATATAATAAGTTTAAAGTGCAAAAGGAGACTTAGCATGGCACTGTACCATTTGAATTTGGAAATTCAATAATTTTTTAAATTTAAAATTACAGTGACTTTCCATTTTATGTAGTTTTTCATTTATTTGAGGACCTATTACATCAAAGAACTGGAATTCTAGCATCTTTATATTACCCTTTTAAACAAGCTATTTCATAAATTACTAACTTGCATATGAAGAAACAGTATTATCTTGTGTGTAGTAACATTTATAATATTAATTCATTTTAATTTGTATTCCTAAATCATTTTTTAAGCATGTTTTTCTCATTTTATTTTTCCATAGAGTTTTTCTTTGTTCAGTTTAGCATTCACTGAATTGTTTATCGTTTTTTTTTTTCCCCCTGTTATACAGTTAGAAATATTAGAATTTCAAGCAAATAGCCAGACTCCAAAGATAAATAACCAAATCGATCTAAGCAGCATGGTTCACTGTCCTCATGACATCCATCATTTAGAAGACAGAAAGAATCAGTCTACATCCCACTCAAGTAGGTTTTTTTCTTTTATTTTCAATTTTCAGTAGTTGATCATTATATTAAATCGTCTGAAAACTTCCGCAGTTTTTCAAAATGTGTTTTCTACTCATTATTTTATTACTACAATTAATGTATAATTTTTATTACTACAATTGCTGTATATGGATAAAGTATTGTTTCTAATAGCATAAGCTGAAAAAGCATGAAAATTTCAGCTTGAAAGATGATGCCTTTTTTTGGACAGTCATCCTGTGTAAACAAGCACCCATTAAAACTGTCTCACAAAATCCATGTTATGCAATTCAGGAACTATCAGATGGACAAAATATTCTGAATAGTTCAATATATAATCATTTGTAGAAGACTGAGTATATAAGCTGCTGAATAGTAAGGCATCCCATACTTTAACGGAATAGAAAATTCTTGCCTTAATTTTGGCATGATGTAATTCTTCGCTGTAACGAAACAAAGAAGCTCCTTTTTTGAAACAGCTCTGAATCATTATTTATTATGGCCCATTTAAGTAAAACAAATTAGTAAATTCATATAACTAAAGTAAAAATTGAAAATGACTCCTTGTTATCAATTAAAAAAAAAAAAAAAAAAAAAAAAAAAAAAACACAGCCTTGAAAAAGGCTATGCCAACAATGTTATAGAGATTGAAAAGTCCAATACTTTTCACTGGGTCATGTAAGGTTTTTGTAAGTATCTTCTTCAAGATCATTTGGAAAATTTATAGCAAGTAACATTATGCTACAAAAGCAATCTGATATGAGCAATTCAAAATTCAACTTTGCTAAATATTATGCGACCGTGTATAAGACTATCAAACATTGGCTGTATTTTAGTTTCAGTGAAATGGCTGGTGGTCTGTGCTTTTAAGTTTTCTGTATAGATAATGTAAATATAAGCCAGTTCCCCATAGATATCTTATTTAAAATTCTTATTTATAAAGGCATTTTTCCCTCTTAGGCAGATAGTTAGTTCACACAGGCTTTATAATCAGTTTAATATAAAGTAACACATGCTGTATATAACTGCATATAACATGCACTTTTAATACAAGAAGTAAAATCAAAATAATTGGGGGCATTTTATACATTGGATATAAAAATGATAGATTCAAAAATAAGGATATAAAGTATAAAAAGGAAATAAATATAAAACTATAAAATAAGAAAATAAAATATACAAAAAAAAAAAAAAAAAAAATAAGATTGAAATTATTGGGGGCATGTTATACATTGGATATAAAAATGATAGATTCAAAAATAAGGAAAAGATGAGCATACTAAAATTAAATTTCTATGTGTACCTAACTGCAGTGTTTTTAAACAAAGTGAGATACCTTATGAACTTCAAATTTTCGCTATCAGATAGCATGAAAAATTCATGATATTCGCCTTCTGTTATATCTTCAGGCACATCATCGAATTCTGTTTCTTCCTCACCATCACTGTTACTCTGATCCAGAAATAAATAGCAATCTTCTGTTCTATCTGGATTGCTAGATATACTGCATTTTTTAAATGACTTTTGAATTATGCCATGTTTAATTTCATTTCTTGCTTTTGTTATCCACACCTACACTATTTCTAAGGCCCACCAGCGGCTGAATGGTAAAGTCGTTGAACACTGGTAGTTCGGTCTGAGGTTTGAATCCCGCGAACAGGTTGGCTGCATGGTGCTTTTCATGGTTTTCCCCATGTATAATGTGTATATGAACAGTTTCCCTTAGAAAGTCCTCCACGAAAGCATCCCTCCCCTTAGGCAGATAGCCCTAGTGTGCTTTGCCGTAATTAAATAAACCAAACACTATTTCTAAACTCGCATGATATATTTGGCCTTCTTTTGTAAATGTTTTTTTCACCTTTAACATCCACATATTCCACCGTCATTTAAAATTTTCTTTGAGTGCTCTACTTGGACACATATCTAAAGGCTGAATGAATGACCTTTATAACTGTCATGTCTGTATTACACTTTTTCAATAATTTTTTTGTATTATCTGATAGATGGGATATGATCATGTCCCAAACTAAAAGACTTTCTAGATTCTTTAAGGCATCAGGTCACTTTCCTCAAACATTTCTTATCCACAGTTTCACACCGTTTTTGTCCATCCATCCTTTCTCGTGAAAATGAATGAAAATACCACTTGGGAAATTACATTTCGGCGTCATCTTTCTTTTAAAAATGACCATGAGTTTTAATTTTGTACCATTCACTAGCAGAAAAGCACAACTGTGAGGTGAGATTTTTCTTAACCTGTTGTTTTTATGTGAAATTTTTTTTTTTGGTTCCTTTCACATCCATTGTCTTATTTCTTATCATATCAAACATTAATGGAGTTTCATCCATATTATGCCTAAATATGGATGAAACTCCAATAATGTTATATTATGCCTAAATATGGATAAAACTCCAGTAATGTTTATGGCTATGGCTTAAATTATGCCTAAATATTAAATTTTGTAAAGTTTGGTGCAAAATACACGCAGAAATTCAAAAATTTATCTTGCTGTATTTTTTTCAGTTTTTGCCAAGAATAATTTACGTGGCAAACTTCTTAATTCCTAGCAACTTATTTTCCCTTTCTGTTTTTCATTGTAAACAAGCAGAAAAAAAGCCATCTTTCATACTTTCAAATAATTTTAACGAAGTGCGTAAACTATATTTGTCATTATTATCACTTCAAAAAAAAGCCAAATTTCAAAACTCTCCAGTATGTAAATTCACATATATCTTAAAAAATTTTGAATAAAAAAACTAATTTTTCGCAGATGTGCCTAGAAATACATCTGCTTTAAAACGATGTTAAAATTTTTATAGGTATACAAAATTATTTTCGAAAATTTATGCAAAAATATTTTTGAAAAATTTATAAAAAATATTTAAAAATAAATTTTTAATATAAATCATAAAAATGGTTGAATTTTATTTAGAATGAACCTAAATTTCAAAATGTGAAAGGAAGAATCAAATACGTTCAATAAGAAAAAAAGATATTTATAATTATACACCAAATTCAATTAACATTGAGGAGCTAAAATTTTGAGCGCTAATATTTTAAAAATTACTCTTGTGATTTTTACAGTTTGGCATAATTTGAATTGTAGAATCGAAATATGGAAAAAAAATTGGCATGCCATTTCAGAAAAAATCTGATTTTGTGTCAAAATACTTATATTAGAATAATGCTACAAATAAATCTAATTCATATCCTAAGTCACGCTTTGGAGACATGAAAAACGCAAGTTGTCAATCGGCCTAGTAGAACGGGAGATATAGAACTGTCTCCCCCTTTTTTTGTGCAATGTACTTGCATTCATGAACACATACATATATTTCTGAATTTGGTGCTGATAATAGAAGACTACCCAATTTTCCCTTGTTAAAAATAATGCAGGAGTTACTTTTTAATGTCAGTAGTATTGCAAAGAAAACCTTTATTACTGTTTTTCTTAGTGCATGTTTCTTTTTACATCAATTTTTTTCTATATATTGCTGTTTTATGTTTTTCATATTGTATATAAAATATTGAAGGAAGAATAATATATTTATTGTAAATGTTTTATATTACAGCAAGTAATTCTGAGATTACTCTTCCTCTTCTAAGAAAAGAGCATTCGTCATCTTCACTTTTAAAAAAACGGCCAACCCTTAGTCTTCTTTTTGATATTATTCCAAAGAAGGTATTTGTATTTCTTACTTGAAGAATTTTGCATATACAGTCAAAAGTCGTTAATTCGGACACCCATTATCCGGACCTCAAAGCTAAAAACTTTCTGCGCATGCGCCGCCTTTACACATGCGCATAGGCGTGCGCGTAAGACCTTTACGACTGCGCATATGTGTGTGCGCAAGCGCAGAATATGTTTTCGCGTGCGCGTTTTATGTATAACGGATGGTATAAGCTAAAATTATCTATTTCAGTTAATGTTGATGATTGCGTTGTTCCTTAATTTTCGAATTGGATCTGGCTTATTATTTTTTTGCAGCCTGTAAGAGCAATTTTATAAAAGTAAACTTGAACTTTCGATTATGTCAAATAGAATTTCCGATACTGGAGCTCCCAAAGGATCTACAAAACGAAAGTATGTTTCGATGTCCATCAAACAAAAAGTGGAATTGCTGCAAAAAATGGATAAAGACATGGAGAATGTGACAGAGAGGTTAGTGAAAACGAAAAAATTTCGATTGACAAGTTAGTCGGTATTCTCAGCACAGCAGTTAACGGGACTTGAACAGCGGAACTTTGTAACTGAACAAGAAATTATGTCTGTTTATAGAATTAAAGAGAAAGTATTATCACATAAAACGAAGCAACTTAAACAACTTACATTGAAAGAAATGTTTAATAAAGTAAAAAAATAATATTAAGCATTTTTTTTTTTTTTTTTTTTTTGTAAATTTTGATACCCTTTAGATCATAATTGTTCTTTATTTCATAAATTACGGTTTCATATTTTTAATTTTAGAATTTCTGCATGCCATCTTATGTATTATCACATAAAAAATGAAGCAACTTAAACAACTTACATTGAAAGAAATGTTTAATAAAGTAAACAAATAAATATTAAGCTTTTTTTTCTAAATTTTGATACCCTTTAGATCATAATTGTTCTTTATTTCATAAATTACGGTTTCATATTTTTATTTATTTTAATATTAAGCTTTTTTTTTCTAAATTTTGATACCCTTTAGATCATAATTGTTCTTTATTTCATAAATTACGGTTTAATATTTTTAATTTTAGAATTTCTGCATGGCATCTTACGAGATTTAAACTGATGATCTTTAATCCGGAAAAATCGATAATCCGGAATCGCCGAAGTCCCGACAAGTCTGAATTAACGACTTTTGACTGTAGTAATATGTAATAAAAATTTGGTATTTATGTTTTATTCTTCATGAGAGGAATTAAGATTAGTGGTGATTCTACTACTAGCTACTTTTGTTTGCTGTATAACTACAATGATGATGATTTGCATTCCCCCTCCATCCTCAGCAGATTGCATAGTTAGATATGCTAATTCTCCCAATTTAAGCAGACTTTTTTGGGGGGGGATGAAATTCCCATTGTACTGTTTTATAATATAGGTCTCCCAACTTCATCTTATTCTTAGAATTTGTCATAGATTTTACTATATGTAATATAGCTTGATATAATATGATATAACCCGGAAACATTATTTCAGGTGTCTGATATTGGTCAGTTTTCCCCCTAGATTGCCGAATAAAATAGAAGCAACGCTATTTCATATATGAGGTATGGTAGTGTGTTACTGCAGTCATGTCCCAAAATGTCATACGCTATATCTCTAGTGAACATCAAGCACTGCTGCTAGTCATGTAGTCTATATTAGCCAATGAGTGCAAAACTATTTTTTGCATTATTTCTTCACTAAACACTTATGCAGTCTTTTGATTTAGTTGTGTCTATTAGAGAAGTTCAACTGTATAAAAGTTGAATTAGAAACAGATGATTTTTATTGAATTATTTATTCAGGGAAATATCGTTATGTGTATTTCAAATTGCAACGTTTAAATTTTTCAGTTTCACAGATAGAAGAACTGATGTTTAAACAAAAGCACATTAAAAATTTTAGTAGCTAAACCAGGCCTCTGTAGCAAGTACTATGGAAAAAATTATGATACAATTATACAGAAACTAATTAAATTATTATTTTTGTATTTAAAGTTGCATAGTGAAAATGGCTTTTACGCATAAGTATTTATTGTGCTATTTACATTTAAAGAATTAATAAATAATTTAAAGAATTAATAAATAATTTAAAGAATTAATAATTAAAGAATTAATGATTACATTTGCAACTATTAATTACATACTGTTTAGAATTAGCTCCCTGTATTAGAAATAGCTTTTTTTAATCATTTGAAAATTATTTTGGTCGCTGAGATAATTCTGATTTCTTAGATAAGTCGGTACTGTTTGATTACCTTGCACCCCCAGCAAAAGTTCACACACCTATTTCCAACTTTTTTTGCATTTGCAAAGTCGATGGGGAATAATTTTTTGCCAAGCTAACGTACAAAACGCAATAGCTATTTTCAAAATGGTCATGCACTAAGAATTTCATACAAGAACAAGTAATCAGTAAAATTAAAGAGGCAAAAAATATTGCTAATAAAATGTTTATTTTTTTAATTAATTAACTAATTAATTATTTTATTTTATTTTATTTTATTTTTATTTATTTATTTATTTATTTATTTTTGTGCTCTGTTCCCCATATAAACAGTGGTCTGTTTTTAATTTTTAAAAAATAAAATTTGGCGAATTACGGAAATTTTGCATCTGTACAGTTTCACTATTGTTTACTGGTTGAAACAGATATGGTGCTTCATGCATACTTGGCTTGTCATATTAATACTTTTTGGCAACATTGTACATTAATTATTTTGGTGACTGTTTTGCCTCATGAATAGTACTTTCCTACCACTTTTTGGTGGAGGTGTAGATAGTCACAGACTATTGTAAAATCGTCTAATTTTTTAGTTTGGTAAGTTGGTAGTACTGCTAGATTCTAAGCAAATGCTAGAATAATAAAAATGATTAAATCCTATAGCTTTTATATTACTATTCCATAAGTTCCAGAGACACATAAAGATGATGAATTAAAGTTTGTGGAATGATTAAACATTCCATCACATGCGTAAGGAACTTTGAAAGATTGAATGTATGGTTACAGCAGGGAGGAAGGTAACTTATCATTTTTAGTGAGCTGAGAAGTTTTTCTATATTTGAGGTAAATAGTTTCAGGCAAGGAGTAATTTTTTATATTTTATTTGAATGGTATAGGGCAAGGTGAGAGAAAAATTTTTTGTTTTCAATAATTCTTATTTCATAAATGCTGTACTTTTCTGATATTTAATTTAGTTATTTTTAATGAGCTTTGTTATATTGATATTTATCTAAATAAAAATATAAAAAATACAGTTATAACTTTTTAACTGCTTTAAATGCAGGTGATTCATGGCTTTATAAGTGGCCTAACTTAATGATATTTCATACTTAAGAATGGGCTCCCAAATATCCCTGATTTTTTTGCTCTTTGATATTATTCCAAAGAATAATTAATCTATGTGAAATCTTAACTGATCAAATTATTAATTGATCAACTGTTATCTTCTGCAAGTTATAAGCATCTATATCCAAAGTGTATTTGGTGAAAAAAAAAAAAAAATCAAATCTTTTTCCAGCAATACAATCAAATTCTGGATTCTCCAACATCTATTTCATTATCTATAGCATCATTTCTGTCATTATCTTTCAATAAATGTTAGCTTCTTTTGTTGCTCAAAAGTACTCCATTCATTAAACAGTTTCTTTTATATTTATATTTTTATTTTTATTTGTAATTTTTTAAAAAAAATTTCTAATTCTGTCTAAACATTTTGCCAAAGTTTGTTTTTTATGTTTTGTTCATTTAAATTAAAAGAAAGAGCACAATATTTCTATAATTTACTAATACAGTGAGTGACATTATTATTATTATTATTATTACTGTAATAGTATTACTGTTTATTATCATTGCTACATATGATATTATTATTACATCTGCATTATAGTGTAATAATAATATGTTATTATTGCTATTAAGATTATCATCATTATCATTCTTATTATCCTCATCACTGTAATACATGTTTTGTTGAGGATTAAAGTTGGAAAGAAAGATTTTCAGCAATACGTATCATTTTCTGGATGTCCTATTAATTGTTTTTACAGTCTTTTGGAATTGCATTAAATGAATTATTTAATGTATATAAGGAATTTAAAATGATTTAATCTCCCTCTTAATTAAAAACTAAAAGGCCAGTAGTGGTGAAAGTCACTGATACAGTGGTAGTTTCATTCAAGTTTGATTCCAGGCAAATGGGCTGGTTGCATAAGCATTTGCATCTTCTTATGTATAATGTGGGAACGAGCCAGTTTCCCTTAGAAAATTCCCCATGAAGACACTCTTCCCTTAAGCAGATAACCCTCACATGCTCTTCTATAATCAAATAAGTTATTATTATCTAGAACTTGAGGAAAAATATTAAACCCACTTTTTATGTATATTTATATACTTTGTAAAATATTTGATAGAATTAAATTTTACTAACAATAATTGAAATTCATTGAGATTACAGCTCTGGTTAGTGCAGTTTACATAGTCTTTGAGTGCCAGAATTTTATAATTTTCAGTGAAAAGAAAAGTGAAAGTAATTTTATTGTTAAAAATCATTTGAAGGTAAAATACATAATTATGCATATTGATGCGGAATCTTCATAATAATATATGGTATCATGCGAGCTATGCATTGTATTGCATTTTAAAAATACCTAAATTAAAGCTCTTGATTTTTGGGATGCATATTAGTAATATTAAATAATAATAATTTAATAATATTAAATTTATAAGGTCCATTAAAAGAATGGAAGATCATTATATTGAACCAAGCCAAAGAATTGGAAGATATAAATAAAATTTTATCCCTTTTAAAAATGTAGTATTTTAATAAAACAAATATGCAAAATCCTTGGACTGCTGCATCACTAATTATGCCTAATTAAGTGGCTTTCAAACTACATATTTGAAACTATATGAACTAAAGCAGTTTCAAACATTTCAGAGAAATTCATTTATTCATTCATAATATTTGCAATTAGATTTTTTTTTCATGTACTATAAGAAAGCAAATAACATTTATCTGTTCTTATCATAAGATTAGTTGACTAAAAAGTCATCGGGTAATATGTGGAAAGAGGGAACTGTAGTGATTTTTTTTTTTAAGAAGGGTTTACTCTATTTTTAAATTTAATACTTTAATTTATGTTAGTTAATATAGAATTCCATAATTATGCAATTTATATTGTTTAAAGAATAGTTATGTAAGCAATTTTTTTTAGGTCCAAACATCTGATCCTTCGGTTGAACAATCAACAAAAAAGGTTCTAGAAGTTATCAGCAATTTATTTAGTCCTTTTAAAAGGGTATGCCAGTATTTCTTTGTTATGGCTTTATTTATAGTTTACTTTTCATGTGTATTTCAGACTTATCTAATATATATGACATGTAATTTGACTGTATTAATTTAGTATAACATAATTAATGAATATGTAATATGTGTATGTAAGTTAATAAACATTTATTCCCCCCAAAAATCAATTTATATATTGTTTTTCATTGTATAATGAATTTCCAACCAATGTTGCAAGTTTTCCCAGTTACAGATATCATTGCCTGTCGTTGCAAATCGTTTGAGGAAAATTCTTGAAGGAAGTCCAGTTAGCATTGATCTCGTCATTTTTAGAAGATTTTGAAAATAAGATAAAATCCCTTTATATTGCTATATTTAAATGAAAATACAGATGTAATTAAATCTGTTTGATCAGCTGATTTTTCTGGATATTGTGTGTCAAGGACAAATGAATTCTGATGACATCATTGCCAATAACTACTAAGGGTGCAGATATTTATACCACTGTTATAAATTCTCTAGCGGATTGCAGTCAAAGCAAAATTTAAAAGTTCTGTGTGCACCTGAAAGAAAAAATGCATAAAAACATTTCAATATGTATGAATTCAGTTCATTATTTCCAAGCAACAACCAATTCGTAAATAATTTTTTTTCCCAAACCAGGAAACAAAAACTTTTGACATGTCTTTTGACATTTAAATTTAATATAATACATTCAAAAGTCTTTAATCTGGATGTCCATAATCCGGAAAGATCTATAATCCGGACCTCAAAGTTACAAACATTCTGCGCAAGAGCATAATACGTTGACACATGTGCATTTAATGTATAATGGACGGTATAAGCTAAGCTAAAATTATCTAATTATCTATTTCAGTTAATGTTGCAGATTGCATTGTTCCTTAATTTTCTAATTGGATCCAGTTTATTATTTTTTTGCAGACTGTTAGAGCAGTTTTATAAAAGTAAGCTTGAACTTTTGATTACGCCAAAAAGAATTTCCGATTCTGGAGCTGCCAAAGCGAAATCATGTTTCGATGTCCATCAAACAAAAAGTGGAATTGCTGCAAAAAATGGATAAAGATTTGTTTGTTTGATCCTTTGTTTCTCTAACCATTCCGAAATCTGTTTATCAATTTCACGCTGCTCTGTGGGGGAAAGGGGGAAACGTCGCGGCGCGCAATGAACATGAAGTTGATCTGTCAGCACTATCCTTATCTTCATGGCAGATGTTTTTATTTTATTCGGCTTATAATTCATTACTAAATGTAATATTTCATCTCGATGTACTCCATCTTTGATATGATTTAAATCAAATCAAATTCCTCGTCATTATAAATATCTCGAATACAAATCAAATAGTTTTCTGGTTGCAATTATCTAATTTCGACTATGCGTAATGTATGCTTTACGCATGCACGAGTTGAAAGAAATGTTTAATGAAGTAAACAAATAAATATAAAGCTTTTTTTTTTTTTTTTTTTTTTTTTTTTTTTTTTTTTTTTTTTTTTGTAAATTTTGATACCCTTTAGATCATAATTGCTCTTTATTTCATAAATTACGGTTTCATATTTTTAATTTTATAATTTCTGCATGCCATTTTAGCAGATTTAAATTGATGATCTGTAATCTGGAAAAAGAGAATCTGTAATCGCCAAAGTCCCGACGAGTCCAGATTAAAGACTTTTGACTGTATAACAACTTTTTCTCAATACCAATAAAAGAATTATCATAGCAGTAACGTACCATGTCAGTTATCCGAACCTGAAACAAAAAATTTACCTGTAGACGCTATTTGTTTATAATGCTGACATTAACGATTTTTCAACATACAATGAAGACACATGCAATTGTGGGCTTTCTTCAACATCAGGATAATAATAATGTGTTTAATGTTTGGCAATGATATTTTTCTTTCATAGTTAGTGAAACTAATAAAGTTTTGATTAACAAATTCGATTTGAAAGTGAGGATTGGCAACACTTTTGAAAATAAAGCAGATTTTTATTTCCAGCGTTCGAGACTGTTGTCACTCGGAAAAATGAGTACGGAAATATGCATTTTTGGAGTTTTAAATTAATATCTCAGCTCATTAAAGTTGTGCAAAGATGAGAATGGTCAAAATGGCTTCCCACAAATTTTTGGAATCCGAAGGTACTTCTCTCAAAACACCCCGTCATTCCAAAGGAGATAATGCCACAAACAGATAGACAGACACGCACAAATTTTAATAGTATAGATTTGCTGAAGAAGAATTAGTTTTAAGTAAACTTATTTGAATGACGACTCATCTGCTCTCAGTACCGTGGCCAAAAATAATGTTTTTATCAGTTTATTTGAAACACATGTTGGACATTTGATTCTTGAATTCCAGTGCATTATACTTCAAAAAGCCTTGTGTGCAGAGGATGCTTTTGCTTCCTTTGCTAATAAAGCGAGATTTAGACCTCATAAAGCCCTAAGCGATTTAAGATATATGGCCCTTTATAAGTCTGTCATAATATATTGTAATAGTATTTATACTATATTTTTAAAGTTTTTTGGGGGCCCTAAGCTGTAGCTTATTTGTAAATCTGGCCCTGTTTGCTAATATAATGGTCGTTGTCACAAAAATATTGAAGCTCATATGGTTGAATGCTTTAAATAAATGAAAGTTTGATGCTTTGCTGAATGAAATAAATTTGGTGTACAATGGCTTATTGATGCATAACAGTGTTCATTATTTGAGCTATGGTAATGTATTTCAAAGATTTGGTGATTGCTTGGAAGAAACTGGACTGTTTTTAGTGAATGAGAGAAAAAGTTAACAATATTCACAAATAATGGATGTTGCGTGGCTTGCGTTTATTTTTATATCTTTTACCAGCATTTCAATGATTTGAAAGTAAATTTTTAAGGCCTAAACAAAACAGTTATCATTATGGTACATCTCATTTGTGCTTTTGAGGCTAAATTTTTAAGTTTTCATTAAAGATATTGTTTCCAAAAACTATAGGTATTTCCCAAACTTGAAATAATTAACCAGCAATTGCGGTTTACATGAAAACTAGACCAAGCAAAAGTCGTTTCTTTGGTAATGAATTCTTCAATTAAAGAATTTTCATGGAGGTTTTCTCATTTTACAGAGTTATCAGAAGCACTCAAATTTACTATGTACCCTGATGTGATTCCACTTGATGAACTTGACTAAATTTTGTTGGTTGGAAATATAAGAAATTGTAATGCAGCTCATTATTCCCAGTCTAGTTCAATATGGACTTAAAAATTTATGAAAATAAGGGAGGCATTAATGGAATTAGAAAGTGTTCACCAGTATGAATGAAAATGCTGATACTAAAATTATGAAACCTGGATTCAATTCCAGACTCGTATAGCTCTCTGGAGAAGCTGATATTTGCTATTTTGACATTATTTTCAACTACCTATGCCTGCAAGTCATTATTTTCAGAAATGAACAAAGATTAAAGATTTGCTGGAAATCATTTGTCAGATGATTCCAGTTCAGTTTAGTTCTACCAGAAGTAACAAAGTATGAACATAATATAACTTATTTAGCATTTGAATTTCTACAGCAGAAGTTGTACTAATTTTTTTTTATTATTATTTAATAAACATAAAAACTGTTAATGTTATGGTTGCCGTACTAATGTTTGTTTCTGATTGCAAATAAGGGATATTAATTTAGAAGTATTTAGTTTTATTTTTTTTCCTCACTTATAATGAATTCAAAATTCTGTTACCAAAAATTGGCATGTAGGTACATAAAGGTTCATCATTCTGGACTGAAGGTTGTCTTTGAAACGAGTGTGAAAAAATGTATACTGTTATCTTTTTGAAATTAATACATTAAAAGAAGATTCTTCATAAATCAAATAATTATATAATTTAAATTTTTAAAAAGTTTTCATTTATTGCTTCTATTGTTATTGTAAAACAATTATTACTTGTAAAATTTTACTTATGCTAAAAGTAGATTTCCTTTTCTTTGTAACACAATTCAGTATTTTCTCTTTGGAGAGCTGCTTTCTTCAGTATTGCATAATTTGATTAGTGTTCATGTGCCGACTTAAATTTGGATGATAAAACCCTTAAATGTTGGAGCTGTTCTAATTTTTGTAAATACTGGAAAAAAAATTACAAAATAAACAAAGGTAGATAGAATATGTAATTTTAATCACTAGATAAGTAGTAAAAATTAGAAAATAACTAGTATTAGGACTGCAACAATTAACTTCTTTGCATTTTCCATCGAGAGGAAGTCTCTTTTTCACAGGTTAATAATTCAACTATTAAAACAATAAACAAGATGGATAATTTCAAATATATGGAAAAGATCAAAATCGCTGTCTTTATAAACTGACCAAAGGCAAGGACAGTCAAAAGTCGTTAATTCGGACACCCATAATCCGGAATGATCTATAATCCGGACCTCAAAGCACTATCCTTATCTTCAGGGCAGATGTTTTTATTTTATTTGGCTTATAATTCCTTTCTAAATGTAGTATTTCATCTCGATGTACTCCATCTTTGACATGATTTAAATCAAGTTCCTCGTCATTATAATTCGCTTCCGATAGTGAAGAAAGTGACCCAGAGGTTATTGAAAACGAAAAAATTTCGATTGACAAATTAGTCGGTATTCTCGACACGGCAATTATAGGACTTGAACAGCGGAACTTTATAACTGAACAAGAAATTATGTCTGTTTAATAGAATTAAAGAGAAAGTATTATCACATGAAACGAAGCAACTTACAACTTACATTTAAAGAAATGTTTAATAAAGTAAACAAATAAATATTAAGCTTTTTCTTTTTGTAAATTTTGATACCCTTTAGATCATAATTGTTCTTTATTTCGTAAATATTACGGTTTCATATTTTTAATTTTGTAATTTCTGCATGCCATCTTGCCAGATTTAAACTGATGATCTATAATCCGGAAAAATTGATAATCCGGAATCGCCGAATCCCGACGAGTCCGGATTAACGACTTTTGACTGTAGTAAGTTACATCACCAGACCATGAATCTTTAAGTTACTTCTGTATTATATACCATATTTGATGGCATATAAGACGCACTTTTTTTCCTAAATTTGGTCTCAAAAAAGTTACCTGCATCTTATATGTGAAGGACGCAGGTTAACTTTCAGTACTGAATGCTATTTTTAGCCCGGATAAAGGTCTAGACACACATAACTTTTTCTATCTGCCATAATTATTTTGCACATGCGTGAAATATCTGTCGCCAAAAAGCGCCAAAGCTCGAAGCTGATGTCGAAGTTACATTACGTCTATGGAGCCTTTCCTTCTTTATATATACTTTCTTTGACTCAGCCGACATCGGTGCTTAAAACCGACTCGGTATCAGTGCTTAAAACTATTTGTTTAAAAATATACCCTGGAAAATATGACTACAGGAAACAAGAGATTAAGCTATACAATTCAGTATGAACTAGGAGTGTTAAACTACCCAAACTGCATGAAAACAAAGCAGCAGCAAGGCATTTCGGTCCTCCACCTACCGAAAAAATGATACGTACTTGGCGACTGCAGGAAGATGAACTGAAGAGTGCTAAAAAACAAAAACATAACCTTCGATGGCCAGCTCCATCTTGGCCTGAATTTGAAAATGCCGTAAAAATGTGGGGGATACATAAGAAGAAATCTGGGATAAGTGTTTCAACCAAAAGGATAATCAGTAAGGCCAAAGGATTTGCAGAAAAACATGGGAATCAGAACTTTTCAGGGTCTGAGGGCTGGTGCTACAGGTTCATGAAAAGGCAAGGCTTATCGATGCGCACAAAAATAACTATTGCACAGAAAATGCCAGAAAATTATGAAGAAAAAATACTAGCATTTCATAGATTTGTTTTAAATGCACGCAAGAAAACTTCTTTTCAGCTCGGTCAGATAGGAAATATGGATGAAATTCCACTCACATTTGATGTACCATCCAACAAGACTGTGAGTATTAAAGGGTCTAAATCAATAACCATAAAAACCACAGGTCATGAAAAAACCCGATATGCGGTAGTTCTAACATGTTGTGCTGATGGCACAAAACTACCGCCGTTTTTCATATTCAAAAGAAAAACTCATCCAAAAGAAAACTTCCAACGGGTGTAATTGTTCATATTCATCCGAAAGGCTGGATGGACGAAGCTGGAATGAATCTGTGGTTACTAAACGTATGGGCGAGGCGACTGGTTTTGGATCAGTTTAGCGTCCATAGAAGTGAAACCATAAAGAATAAAGTGAGAGAATTAAAAACCCAGATAGCTGTCATTCCTGATGGACTGACTAGCCAATTGCAGCCTTCAGATGTATCGGTGAATAAGCAATTTAAAGGGGGGGGGAAACGAGAACAATATAACAAGTGGATAGGAGAGCCACATCACGCCCTCACACCCTCAGGTAGAATGAAGCGACCCTTTATTTCACAAGTGTGCGAGTGGGTAAAAAGATCTTGGGAGGACGTAAAGGCTGAAGTCATTGTTAAGTCCTTTAATAAGTGCGGAATCAGTAATACTCTTGACGGAACAGAAGATGACGCATTATTCGAAGAAGGTGATTCTAGTGATGACGGAAACAGTAGTGATGACGATATTCTCGTTTTTGATGATGATGATGATAGTGAAAAGGAATTTTTATGAATCTGTGTTTTTTGTTGTTTCTGCTTTATTTTGTAATATGTTTGATTGCTTGCCATTCGTTCATTTATTCATTATTAAAATTTACATATCAAGTTCAAAATAGCTTGCTGTTTGTTAATTTTCCTTAATAAAAATATGTTTGGTAGTTGCATTCAATGATTGTTTATTTGGCTTTTACGAAACGTGAGAAATAAAAGAAACCAAATTTTAAGTTATTGTGGTATCGCGCTCTCGCGCGGACTATTGTGTGGCCTTCTAAATCAGGGTGCGTCTTATATGCCGTCAAATACGGTAACTCTTGGTAATTGAACAATATTTTTGCATTACAGTGCTGATTTAGGTATAAAAGGGAGAAAATGGCTGATGAAAATTAACAAATAATACTTTTACCAGTATTCTGGTGAATATATCCCTTTATTTATTTATTTTTTAGAATCAATATTTATTCTTCAGGGGGGGGCAGTAGTAGAAGTGTTGTACTTCTAAGGCTGCTAATACAAGTCGGTTTGTTTCGTAAGAACAACTGTTTGGAACAATTTTTCTGCTTTGTCACAACAGCCAATCACCACAGATCGCTTTGGGGTTAACGTAGGGAAACTGGTTCCCCGTTACAAACAAGCTGATAGCATTCGAAGCTCATAGCTGATTGGTTGAAAGTGAACAACCTGCAATTTTTTTGGAAATGAAGGAAAAAGTCGCGCGTTTTTCTTTCAATAGTAAACCAGGCAGAAAAATTGTCCGAAACAGTTGTTCGTGTGAAACAAACCCCATGTTATATGGGCCTAACGTTTATTCTGTTTAGAAAATTTGTCCCTCACTGGCCAGATGGTAACAAAAACAGTCTTATTTTTTAAATAATGTTTGTGGTTACGTTCCTCATGTAGATTGTTTGACGTCTTATAGTATTCTGTTGTGGTGAAAGATTTAATGTAATAAATAATTGTACTTTCTTCCCTCGGATAAAATTTTTAATATCCTTTCCCTCAGTACTTAGAATGTTAAATTTACTCTAGATTTGTTAAAAGAGAAAATATTACTCCCCCCTTTCATTATTTTTCTTTTTCATTTGTTCAGTAAAGTTATGAATATTTTTGAGATTTAAGAAAATTGAATGAAAAACTGGGATGTTTTATCAGTGTTTAAGCATTTATTCAGAAATGAATTTAGATACTTTTTTATTTAAACTTTTAGTTTTTCATGCATAAGAAAGCATCATTTCTGAAATGCATAAGTCATGCTTCTTACGCTTTCATGCAAAAGAAAGCATCACTTCTGAAAAAATCTTGAATTTGAAGGAATATTTTGAGTTTAAAATACTTATGAGTTTCATAACAAAAGTCAGATTTGATATCTAAGTAGCTGAATAGTCAAAGACAGTATTATTTGTACCATTTCAAACATTTAATGTAAAAGCAGCTAACATCTTGAGCATTTCAAATATTTATTAGTATCCATACTTGTAACTATTCTACTTACTATCCATACTAGGGAAACATAGTTAAATTTTTGAAAGTTAGAGGTGCATAATTCTGCAAAATTTAATAATGATATATTTTATATTAATTTATTCAATGATTTCTTAATTTAAATTGCATCATTTAATGCTTCTCTGTTGAAAATTTTATATATATTGTTTAGAGAAAAAGTAAAATTCCTTTAAAAAATGGAAGAAATATTTTTCATATTCTTCAGAAATTTTTATACACTCATTTGACTTTCAGTTTCAAGTAACTGAACAACTCCAGTCAGAACAGCAAAGAACTGAGACCCGGCAAAGAAGTGAGACACAAGATAAAGAAATAACTGTACAAGTAATAAAAATTACATGTATTCGAATTTCGTGTAATAATATTTGATTATAAAAATATATTCTTATACAATGCTTTAAAAGTAATGGCATCAATATCTTGAAAATTTATGTATTTAAAAGTTTCAAGATCATGATAAGCAATGTCTTGAAAATTTATATATTTAATATGATAGTTTCGAAATCACAATAAACAGTGTAGGAAATCTTTTGAATGTATAGTGTAAAAAAATTAAAAAGCCTTCAAGTGTTTCATGAAATAGTGAAGATACATAATTTTAATACACTGAAGAAATTTTATTTGGTAGTAAGGAAAAAGAAACACAATTCTAAGTTCATTCCTTCTTGTGCTTGATTGTAGTTGAAACTTAGATAGGTACTCCTTGCAAAATTTGCCTAAATTAAGTAATCAAATCCAGTTCACTGAAAAAAAAAATTGCACTAAATTTTTATGATGCATATTTATTCAGTTTTAACAGTATTAATAAGGACCTGCACACTACAGTAGATACCAGTGCATGTTCATATTTACGAAAAATGAGCAGGGTGATGTCCTCGCCAAAGATGCCCGAATAGTTCTCAATTTTCCAACAGCTTAACCCTTACCGATGCTGATGCAATAGCCAGCCACAGACTTACCTCCCAATCAATCAAGAATTCCATTCCTGCACTAAATTGTAACCATGTCATTTCTACTACCATAGCCAGACTGAGGACAAAACATTTGAAAGCAATGAAGATATCCTCTGATGGTCAACGAAATTATAATAGCTGTCCTCACTGTATTGATATTGAACTTTCTTCAAACCATCTCTTCAACTGTCCTGCTATTTTGCCCAAGCTATTGATATAGCTCCCTTGCATCAACTTCTGTATTCTTCGAAAATTATTGATGTTGTTGCGTCTGTTCTGGATACTTTTGGCCCTATTTCACTCCTCTGCACTGACGCCTTGGATGTTTTATGTATTAATATCACATCACAGAAAATACCAGAGTTGCTATGATACCTGGAAAACCGGAAAAAGTCGGGGAATTCGAAAATTTACAAAAAATGTCGGGGAATTTAAATATTTTACTCAAATTCTGGAAAAGTCGGAGAATTTCATACTCTGATCCCCCAAAAAGGGAATTTTGCACGAACATTAGAAGCAATCACTTTCTTGGTTAATTATGTATCACGTGAGCGTAATTCAGGCAGCTGGTGTAAAGCAAGTTTCCAGCAAACTCGAGAATCAAGAGACTCGACTGCGCATGTTGAACGAAAGAAAATACCTACTCTCCTTGTATTAAATGAAATCAGTTTAATCCTAGTATATGGTACATGTGGGATTTGACATTATGATGAGGCACTAAATCAGATGTTTATGATCAGTAAATGGGTCATTTTGGTGTTGGCAAAAATTTTTAAATTCGTGCCTAGGCCATACTGTAATCTAGGATTTTACCACAAAATCTTTTAAACCTTTTTTTTTTTTTTTTCTTTTCAATAAATGCCTTATTTGTCATTTTGCAGTTAAATAAAAAAATAGTAATCAGTCATCTAACATTATATTATGTTAACAATATAATTATATTATGTTAATCTAACATTATATTATATATAAATGGTTAGCCTATCTATCATTATATAGGCTAACCATTTAATATAACTATATTCTCCAAAATATCGTTGATTATCATAATTCAGTTTTTAATATTAGTTAATTAACTAATTATTTTAATATTATTTGTATTATTTAATGTGGCTTCTTCCTTCTAAATTTATTTATTATTAGTTAATAGTATTTGGCGATTTTCTCTGCCATATTCTTGAAACTTATCCTAGCAGTATGATGGTATACCATCATGAAATTTAATGCACATATTTTTTGTGTATGTGTGCTGCTAAATAAAAATAAAATGCTTCAATTTATATTAAAATATCATTAAATAGATTTCTTTCATTTAGCTGCAAAAAAAGACATTTTTTTTGTTCCAGATTGAGCAGATTCTTATCTCAATCTTCAGTGGAAAAAATAACTCCTATTATAGTTAGTCATGCTTTGGGAATTTTATATATGTATGTTTTATATATGTACGGATAGACTGGAATTTTCTTAAAACACACCTGGAAAAGTCAGAGAACTTCAATCTCCTGTTTGACTGGCAACCCTGGAATACAAACTTTTTTTAATTATTTGAATGATCTTAATCTTACCTTTAAAAACTATTAATTGTTTACAACTCAAAATAATAGAAAGATTATTTTTATTGAAATTGAGGAGAGCCATTCATTAAAAAGAAATGCATTATGTTTGTTAATATGACTTATTAAAAAGCAAATGTGTTCATTAAAACGCATTGCTAATATGTTTTTATGAAGTGTTAAAATAAACCTGTGGTTGATTTTTCTTAATTTCCTGGAGGAAATGGATATAGATTGTATTGCAGTAGTTAGTAGATATTAAATTTTGTGTGAGAACCGTGGGACATATTTTTTGGGTTATGTGAATGCGATATCCATGATTTGATTGAACTTGTGACGAAAGTGACATTGCTTAAAAGAGCATTAAAGTATTAACTGCGGAGAATATGATATCATTGTTTAAAAAAGTATTTGTATTTACTTTTTCTTATAATTGAATCATTCAATAAATTAATTTTATTTTTAAATTTGGATTTGTATTGCATTTTTTAAAAACATTATGTGAATAATTTTAAATTAGTGTGAATTTGTTTTAGGATCAAAATAGTTCAATACACGAAGATTTGAATGAAGAATGTACTACTACGAAGGAAAGTGCAGAAATTCAGGAACCGTCTGTTTCCAATGAACCGATAAACGAATCCTGCGAAATATTAGAATCAACACCATTATGCAAAAAAGTTTGTGCAGATTTTAAAATTTCTTTTCTATGGGAATATATTTTAAATATTAAGATTAAGCATTTTAGTACTCATTTTACCTTTTTATCATTTGTTTTCTTATTTATTGATATAATCTGTCCTTCATTTTTCTATTCTGTGAAAATGACTGAATGTATTTGTGTTGCAAAAAATGTAAGTATCCATAAGAAAATGAGTCATAGCTGTAAAACTTGGCATGCAGATGTCATTTGAAGAGTTAGCAAATAATTAGAATTTTAGCACCAGTGGTGTAACAGGTTTATTAACATTTGTGAAAAAAAGCATATCATGCAACATTTATAAAGACTAATGTTTTCATGGGCAGTTTTAACTAAATTGTATGATTTGATATTGTAAGTTGTATATGATGTCTTTCAAACAGACATAATGGTGTTACAAAGTATTGTTTGTTTAAATCAGCAGCTACATTTTAAGCTAAAGTGAAGCATGTTGGTTGAATAGATATATATACTGTGATCTCCACAGAAGCAATACTTTGACTATTTCTGAGTGTGAGTGGTAGTGTCTCATATAAAATTCCTGTTAATTGACATATAACCTGATGATACTTAAGGGTCTTCTTCATATTACTTTTAACCATAACAATCATTGAGATTTAGACACTTCACTATCCCACAGAACTCAAATATTTGCTGTTTTTATTTTTTCTTTTTGTTCAAAGATAAACTTTTTCCTCTAAAGCTGGCCTTATAAATATTTCTTTTTCTCTTTCACCAGCTGCCAAGAGCTGTTATGAAAACCATGTTCTTGCCACTCTCAAGGATGTTGAATAGCATCATCCTACCCAGGAGAATAAATTCTTTTGTATTCGTTATTCTTTTATCTGAAAATTAACAAAGACGATTCCCTAAAGGCATGCTTTCAAACAAGCAGTAGTTCCCATTGTAATGCCCGCTAAAAGGGGGAAGGAATTCCATTTTTATTTTCGATCTTTTTAAGTGAACTTTGTTCTGTATGATTCTGATACTAAACTTTCTGGAGAGGACTGGACCAGTTAGGCCATGAATCTCTTTTCATTTCTGCCATATTTTGAAGGTTGGAAAACATAAAGTGACTAATTTCTGTTGGGGGTAATGATCTAGGCCACATCTAACCTGATGACTGTGTCTCGTTGCTGATGCCTAACAATATGTTTCGTATCAATGAGTCTCTTTCAGGGAAAATAGTGAAGTGATTGATGAATGATGTAGTGTTCTGAGATCTTAACTGTTAACTCACTATTTCATTATTCCCTCTGCCTCAGTCTAATCTTTAAATTTAGCAATAAATTGCTAATTTTAAAGACTAGCTTAAAGTAAAATAATCGAATCCTTACAAGTAAAATACCTGGTGCATTGGCATTTAAAATACAGCAAAATAATATTTTATCAAAATTCTCATGTAAAACTGTAAAGTAAGTAAGTAATCAGAGCACCAGAAATATTTCTAATATAGGCATTAGCCCATTTACTTGCAAAACATATATGTGTTTGTAGATGGGGGGGGGGAACCTGTTTGGCTGTAATATAAAATCTGAAAGCTTTCTGATTTTTTTCCCCTTCAGTTCATTTTTAGCTAATATAGATAATGTACTTCATATATGTTTTTTTAAAAAAACCAAACAAAGATGTTGTTTGTTCTGTTATTAATTTGAGTAGATGGTGTTTTTTTTTTTTCCTTAAAAACATGTATCATTTTTGTCGTTATAATTTCTGATCATGTAAAAATTTTGTTATGTGTGATATTTACTTATACAGCACAAAGTTCGTAAAATTATGTCTGTTTATGGAATTAAAGAGAAAGTAGTAGCACAAAAAATGAAGCAACTTAAACAACTTACATTGAAAGAAATGTTTAATAAGGTAAACAAATAAATATTAAGCTTTTTTTTTTTTTTTTTTTTTTGTAAATTTTGATACGCTTTAGATCGTAATTGCTCTTTATTTCATAAATTACGGTTTCATATTTTTAATTGGATAATTTCTGCATACCATCTTACCAGATTTAAATTGATTATCTATAATCCGGAAAATCCCCTAATCCGGAATTGCCGAAGTCCCGGCGAGTCCGAATTACGGACTTTGTACTGTATAACTTGGGCTTAGAAAATGCATTGCATTAATTTTGTTTTATATTTTGTACCTGTAACTTTGTGTAATTATAATGTTTCAATATTAATTGTAATACATGTAATATGAAATATTTCATATGGTTATAGGAGTAGAAGTTTAAATAATTCTATTGCTAAGGTTTGAGGTACTCCAGAACTCTATAGCAAGAGATAGATCCAGTACTTTTTTTTGATAGGCCAGTTTTAATGATAGCCCTGTATGCTTGAATGCAGCAACATGTGGGAAAGGCAACTATTGTTCAATGTTTGAAATACAAATTTAACCATCACTGTGTATTATAGAAGGTGTTCATACATTTTAGTAATGACTTTGATTTTCTCCATGAACTTAAATATTAATTTAAAAATATAAACATGACTGGCATCAAATTGGAATAATGTTTAATTATCATCTGCAGCATTGCAAATATTCTTTTCTTTAAAATGTTGCTGAAAAATAAACAATAGATCAAAGGCTATATTTTTGCGTTGTCCAAAGAGAAATACTCTTATTCAGTTACTGAACAAAAGGTGTGAAAAGCGTGGTTTTAATATTTCTACATGTAAAATAAGTGACATAATTAATATGAAAGGAAAGATATGTCAAAGTTTACATCTGGCTGGGTAAAAGGCAATAAATGCATACCCAACAAAGATACTTACAACTTTCATTAAATCGCATCTGATGTTTTAAACAAAAATTCAGTACCCCCCCCCAAAGAATTATTACAAAATCTTTAAATATCTCTGTAGGAACTGCGAACAAAATTATAAAGTCTGATTTAAAGCTAATCAAAACAAAGAAACATGATGTTCACCACCTAATGCCGAAACATGTTTCTCGACATAAGGTTATGTGCAGATTGCTGTATGAAAATTATTTTGGAGGTAAAAATAGATATATATAATAACAATTGATGAGACTTGGATATACTTAATTGATTGCAATAGAAAAATATTGATTTACTACCGAAAAAGAGGATAAAAAGACTTAAAATGTTGGTTCAAAGAAAACAAGGAAAGTTTTTCTAAAGGTTATTACTGGAGTCTCTCATAACAGAAAACTTAAAATAAAGAAAGTAGAAAAAAATATCAAAATTAATTTGGATTATCGTCAGAAATATGTTTTAATACCTATTTTTAAAGAAGAAATTCCATCTCTTTATTCAAACAATCTTCATTGTGTTAAGTTTCAACAGGATAAGGCTCTAAGCCTTACCTCTCCCCTTTTTATACTGTTCCGTTTTTTGAAAATGGAATTGAATCTATTTCCTTTATTGCTTCCCACCTAAATCCCCTGATGTGTCTCCTATGGATTACTGTACATTTGCACTTTTAAAACAAGGTGTTTATAAGCGACACCCCAAAGCATTGGACTGGACTGTGGAAGATTGTGAAGTAGGTGAGGAATAAAATCAACCTTGATGCTTTAAAAAAAGGATTTTTATCTTGGAAATCAAGATGTAATATGATAGTTCAACAAAAGGGCTATCAAATTGAACATATTAGAAAATAACATTCTAAGGTTTGATTATATAAAAATCTTTGCAAAATTGTTTCAAAACTGTGGAACACCCTTTATTTTTAGCTACAAAATTGTAGCAAGTTTACAACTCTTACAAGAATCCAGGTCTTAGACATATAAAAGAAGGCATTTGCCATCCTTCATGCATCTTAAGTATCAGATGATACCATTCAGAGACTAATCATAGGTGTTAAGATTTAATGTCATTAAAAGGGGCCTTCTTAATAGCAGTGGTAGCTTCCTTAACGTCATGAATGAGGCTACCATTGATAACCTAGCATACCAACAGCCATTTCGATAATGCCAAATTCTGCCATCCTATAATTTGTGAATAAGAGACATAATTAAGACACAATAACACGCCGAATAAATACTGATTCAGAAGTCAAACAACAAAAATCAGCGTTAATTCACAAAATTTTCACAGGACTAGTTTCGATGGTTTTACCGAACCATCATCTTCAGCTGCAAAACCGCAAATAGCAAACCGCAAACTTCAGCAAACTTCAGCTGCAAAACCGCAAACTTCAGCTGCAAAACCATTTGCGGTTTTGCAGCTGAAGATGATGGTTCGGTAAAACCATCGAAACTAGTCCTGTGAAAATTTTGTGAATTAACGCTGATTTTTGTTGTTTGACTTCTGAATCAATAAGAGACATGTTTTCTAACAATGAATCCTTCTTTTCTATTGCTTCTAATGACTGTCTTTTAAGGATGTGGAGGAAGAGTTGCTAGTGTTCCAGTTTTGTGTTTGTTGTTGATTGGCACACAACTATCATGTTTGGTATAAAAATCTGAGGAGTTATCTTTTGGAATATTCAGCTTCCTCTAATTATACTTCAGAGTAATCTGATGGCTTGCATGTATATCAACACCATTTTATAAACAGTAGTTCTGTTTATGCTACCAAAACACTGGTGCCATTTACCAACAAGACATCATATCTCACAGTACTCACAGCACATTGCCCAATTTCTTGTAACATTTAATGCTTTTGCATAGCTATCCAAATCCCTAGATTTGTCACCTGGGTTTGTCTTAGCTCCCAATTCCCAATGTCACCAGCAGACCTTTTTTTTTTTTTTTTTTTTTTTTTTTGTCTCATCTGCTAGTAGATCATAGAATATCCCAGTTTTTTTTTATTTTTAGACTTTACTGAGGAAAGCTGCCCAGGAAAAGGCATGCTTGCAGTAAATTAAATGTACTGAATAACTGAAACTTAAATTGTGCAATTTCCATTCCCTTCATCCTTATTGATTTTCGGTATAATTTTCATATGGAATTTTAGCTGATCTGAATTATTTTAATCTACTGCAGCAGTCATTTGTAGAGTTTCATACATAGATTCAATAGTTATCAAGACACAATAACACGCCGAACAAATACTAATTCAGAAGTCAAACAACAAAAATCAGCATTATATTTTCAAAATTTCACAGGACTAGTTTTGATGGTTTTACCAAATTTGCGCTTTTGCAGCTGAGGATGGTGGTTCGGTAAAACCATCGAAATTTGAAAATATAACGCTGATTTTTGTTGTTTGACTTCTGAATTAGAAACTGTTATCAGTTAATATTTGTGTTTAATTTAATTTTGTATCAATATATGGTACGTTACTATGCTTATTCACACAATAATATTTAATTTAATTTTCTTTGTATTTAAAAACACTTTGATAAATAAAAGCTTTCCTTCCTTCTTTGGGATTATCTCAGTTTAAAAGTGTAAAAAAAATACAAAATGAAATTAGCCAAAGAATATGAAATTTAGGATATCTTATTAAATAATAATATATTTTATATCAGAATCATAAAGTAGTTGAATAATCTGAATAATGCTTTAGGAGTCAAATTCATGCAAGTTTGGAGTTCTTTTGAAATGATGCCACCAAATAGAATGAAAACCTTCTAGTTTTTCATATTTGATTGTTGGTAACTATGATTGTTTTCCCAGAATCTTTGGGAAATTTTCTACTAGTTTATTATATTTCCTGCAAAAATTAAATTGCTTTAAATTCTTTTTACTTCCTTATACAAATTTCTTTTCTGCATGTCATCTGTACGCATAGGCAGAATAAAGGACTCTTTATTCCAAAATGGATTTTTCGTGACATTTCTATGTTTGAACTTATATCTTGCATAACTCAAAAATATTAGCCACAGAAGATTCAAATTTTGGATATGGGAATGCTATAACATCTAGTTGTGCACCTCCCTTTTCTTATTGCAATTGGCCTTACTAAAAGTGTGTGTGTGTGTATATACTTATATAAGCAATAAAATAATGTTTTGTGTGTGGGGGGGGTCATTTTAGATAGGGTCATGGAAGAGTCCTGTATAGTGTAACATGTATTTTATAACAGGTGTAAGTTACACACGAACATTACATTTAACTTTAAGAATATTACAGAGCAAGAGTCTGATACAACCTATCATGTGGGATGCTTGGCTTTTAATGAAGTACTTCTCTGGCTACTCACCAGAGGGCAGCCTTGTTGTCACAGTTAGTCCAACAGTTTATGTTAAAGGATTGGTTACAGTTTTTAATTTTTAAATGATTTTTCTTTAGTAATATTTTTATTTGATCCATAGAGTGTCACTCATTGGATGAGTATATGAATATAAATTTCCATTTCTTGTTAGACATTGATTTTTGTAGGAATTTAGAATATATATTATATGAGATTATTTATGTAAAAGAATATTTAAAATAATAAGATAGCAGTCAGGGGGATATTTAATTTAGGATTTATAAATTTAGTTGATTTAATTTTAAAAAATTTGTTTTAAGTAAATTCTAGTTGTATACAGTAGTCAGATATTTTTATATTTGTAATTCATTACAAATTTTACTTCATTATATACATTTTATTTCTGTGACATTTCATCATGTCAGTTTCAATTAAATAAATCGGAGGAATTTCATGTATCATCATTTTTAGAACTATTATGGATTTTCTGTGATTATTACTGATTTCTACTCCTTTTATGTAGTTCTGGATATGACAAAAATTGCTGCAGAACGTGATAAATTTGAATTGTATGACTGTATAAGAGTAAGCAGAAGTGAAAGCCTAAAATTTTACTCATGGTCATGATCAGTGTATCATATTGGCTGCAATGGTTGTGCTGATATCTCAGTTGATATGTCAACTTAAACCCATTGTGCTGATGTTATGTGAGCTGTATTGGGCTTTAGTATCATGTTGCTTTCAAGGAGGAAAAATTTCAGATTTTTGCTGAAAATAAAAAATATCCAGATTCTATTTCAAAAAGTTGCAAAAATAAATATGTTCTGTTAGGTATAACAACTTTGGCCATAGCCTATAACACAGTTTTTATGTATTTTTTCATCCACAACTTTTTTAGCAGCTTACAATGCTTGTTTCTAGAACAGACCTTCTAATATTATTCTTTTTACATATGCATATATTAAAAGTAGCTGATTCTTTACTATTTAGATTTTAGTACACATGTATTGTGGTTGAACTGCCACATTCAATGGGGCCAGTGCTACAGTTGTTGTAACTGTAGTAAAAGTGCTACAGTTGGTGTAACTGTAGCCAGTGCTACAGTTGGTGTAACTAGTGTAAAATTTTGTATTTGCTCTGGGTGGCAGAATATAATAAGCAGAAATTGCCCTGGATAGTAAAAGATGTAGTGCTGATTCTCTACATAAAAAACAGAAGATAATTCACATCCCCAGTAGTAATTTATGCATTAAATTTGACTCATGTGAAAGACTTTTTTTTTTTTTTTTTTTTTTAATTATGATTATTCTTATGCAGACTGTGGATTTAGACCTGAATGTTTATCTTTTAAATTTTGAAATAATTTCTGTATTTGTATTTCAGAATAAAAAACGTAAAAAAAGGAAAGCAGATCCTGATATTTCACTCATAGACTCTACTGAATCTGGAAAGCCTCCAAATAAGAAATCATGCACACCAGAAGTTGTAGTTTTAGATGATGACAGCTTTACACCTTATGATTACAGTCAAGCAGAACATAATTCCATATTTGGTAAAACAAATTATTATATATTATTGTACATACTAATATGAAAGTGCATATTTTAGTAGATCATAAAAGGTTATTGTATTTAATGCTCTTAAGAAGTAAATATTTATCAGAATATTTTGAGCAAAAGTATTGGATCATATAAAAAATCTCCACAGTCTTTTGGTTCATTTTTGAACAAAAATTTTCTTTATTGAAAATAAATTTTAATCAACTATATATTGATTATTATAGCCTATGACCTTTGGCCATTTTTGGGTAGCTTCATAATTCCATCGGTGTAGAACTTCTGTGGATTATCGTGAAAAAAACTTGGTCAAGTGATTTTCAGCAGTGCTTCGGTCGGCCAATTTTTGATCATCAAGAGAGTTTTGCAGAGACCGAAACAAATGGTGATCAGATGGTAGGTCTGGGCTATATGGTGGGTTCATCAAAACTTCTCAACCACTTTCCCTCAGTTTGTTTTGAGTCATTATAGACGTGCGTGGCCGCGCATTGTCATGATGGAACACAACTCCCTTTTTGTTGGCCAATTCTGGTCGGCCTTTCTGGTTTGCTTCTTTCAAACAGTCGAGTTGTGTACAGTACAGGGCCGCATTGATGGTTTCACCAGTTTGCAGGAGCTCATAATGGATAATTCCCTTTCAATCTCGACATCAATATTTCCGGAACGGAATCGAGGAAACCACTCCTGGGTTTTTCGTTCACTCAGGGGATTCTCATTGTACACTTCACAAATTTTTTGAAGTGTTTTTACCTTTTTCATAGGGAAAAAACATCACATACCGTATTTCTTCTGATATTTCACTCTTATTCAAATCAATATAACTTTTGACACAAGCAATGCTTATGCGAAGTACCTGAAGCCAAATATAAAATATGAAACAATGCAAAAGATACAAAGAAAAAAATTGGTAAAAGGAAACAATAATACATAGTTATGTAAATTTAAAAGAAATAGATGGCTACATGAGAAACCCGTTTGGTTTGTTGCTTTCCATTTTTAGGGTAGAATTGAAGAAAGTTTATTTATAGATTAGCTGGGGCCAGAGATCATTAGAGTTTGTAAAAGGGGTTGGAAATAATATAGGATATGATGTAGATGATTAGAGACAGCCAGACCTGTATCAGGATAGAACTAACCTCTTTGGATATGTAAGATACTATGCTTTCAAGAAATTTCTCCCAAAGAACTTTTAGTCTGCACTTTCATTAGCCTGGATTATACAATGGCTTAAGAGATGATATTTTGTTGATGCAAGATGATATCTTTGTTGTTGTCTGAGAACTACTGTAAAAGAAACTGTCAGTCAGACTGCCAGTCATTAGCAGTAGAGTCAGTTGTATTCAAAGCTGCCTTTGATTATAGTTCAATCAGAGAATGTAGCTCTCTTAGAGATTCAATATAGGCAGTATTTTATAATAATTAACTAATTTTTATGATTTGGATCTTCATTAGCCCTCTCCAGGATGCAAATGAGTTGAAGCGTATTTAAGGTGAGGGTTTTGAATGTTTTAGATATAGAGCTTTTGATAGTGATACTTGCAGCTTTACTTTCTATTGCCTAGCTCAGCCAATTAATACTCTGGCATTAGCCATTTACTAGGCAACGTTAAATCAAATTAAAGCAGAGCCATCCTAGTTAAGCCAAATTTATGTAGTCTTTGGCTACAAACTTGTAAATTGAGCTTTTTATTATTTTACCACCTCCAAAGTGGCAAAGGTTTGGATTGTATGCGCAAGTGGTGTCTTCAAGGGTAATAAAAATCTTTACTTAAAATTTTGTTGTATTTGTTGTTACTTATGCTCACTTGTCTGATGTAGTCAGCCCAAGCCCACGAAATTCCTTGTGGAGAGGAGCGCAAAATTATGCCTGTCGTTGGCAACAGCCTTGAGTACCATTTAGGTGACAGTGCGATTTAGCTCGGTTCTGCCCCCAATTTTGATGGAGAGCACACTGAGAGGGTCGCCCACCCCTCTTCCCTTCAACGAAACCACATGAGAGGACTTTCGGCTCGCGGCATATTTAGAGTGCTGTCATGCCGAACCGACACTATACATTTACAAACATCCATGCCTTCTTTGGGATCCGAACTCGGGCCCTTGGGCACGGTGGTCAGCGATGCTAATCACTATTCCGGTTGGGTGGCTTTGTTGTATTTACAAAGTTGTAGCTATACTTTTTTTTGTCAGTGTAATAGAGTGTAAAAGACTTTAAGTTAATATTATACAGTTGGGGCCCTATGTAAGAAAAACATACATTGCTGCTACTTCTCTATTAAAAGTAGTAAAACAGTCTTAATTTTTCCTAATGGCACATTAAAAGAAAATATAGCAAGCCATACCTGTTTCTTTACAGCAGTCCATGCTGAAAACATCAGTGTGTACACTTATTTATTCTGATTCAGGATATATAAAATATTAATAGGTTTACTATATATGGTTTTAAGAACCATATAAAGTAAGATTTGGCCTTATATACGTTTTTTTTAAGAACTTTACGGGGAAAGTACAATTTAACCCCCCAAACCTTTCCTTCAATTAGATTGCAAGGTATCACCACCTGTAATTGCGAGCTATTACCAGAACCTGTATTTTATGTAAAAATGTTTCTTCATATAGATAAATAACATTTACCGCTGCAAAAGGTAAGTCATGCTTAAGTTTTTTCTCCTCAGATTAGAAACTTACAATTCCAAAGTGAAGGGCTGCCTGTTATCCTTATTTTTCCTTCAGAAAAAAAAAAAAAAAAAAAAAAAAAAAAAAAAAAAGAGTTCTTTTGAAAATTGACTGAATATCTCTGGTATTTGCAAATATTAACACTGCATCAATGGGAGTTGTTTTCAGTGCTCTAATGACTAATAAAAAAACTTAATAGGGAGTTTCTTCTTGGGACTGAAACATTTCCTTAATTTCAAATCTATAAAAGTTATAACAGTAAGAGATCAGAAGCAAGACAGATATTTTAAGTTCAATTTAAATTTGATCTAATGTGATTCTGTCTAAAACTGACAGAGTTCTTTGAAAGATTCAGCTGAGTGCTGACTGTCTTTTCTATCTTTCAAAGGTGTTGATTGCCTTTTCAATGTGCAAGTTCTGTGTTAATAATTAAATTCACTTTTAGGTGTGAGAAATGAAAATGTAGAGTGAATATTTTTTATTTTATTTTAGGTAAGAAAAATTCCAAAGAAATGAGACAAGACAATCAAACAAAATTTCAGGTAAGTTTTTCATAGTCTGAAGTATACTGTTCCCCCTTTTTAAGGAAATAAGTGTTTAAGATTTACTTCATAATTTTCAATACAGATTTTTTTGAGTTTTTATGTATTTTTGTCTTGTCACGAAGTGAAAACTGAATTAATCAGAAATACTGAATCGTCTGTTAAAAACTGTTTCTTTTTTGTTGTTGTTTGCTTAATTTCTTTTATACATCGTTTTAGATTTATTATAGTAATTGTGAACATGTGGTAACAATTAGATTATTCTTAAGATGATAGACATTTTGTGCATTCTGTTAATAATGTTAAAAAATGAATGAAATGTAATGCTGTTAAGTGAACCTAGGGCCAGAGTGTCGCTATAATAAACAAATATAGTGAATTTATTTTATTGTGGTTTATGTGCTATCAACGAAATAAATTTAATTCAATCCAATAAGTGTAAATGAAATGCTAGAAAAAATGTGTATAATTTAATACTCTGTACAAGGACGTCATGTGGTGTATACATCAGATTTTTTTAATTACAGTCTTTTTATAGATATAGAGTAAATAGTGTTGTTTCCAAAAACGAATATTTTTATCATTATATACCTTCTATGGAGTAAATTAGATTGCTTGTTCTCAATATCTAACATTTGTCCATTGAGAGTACAAATTAGGTCTCCGCCATATTTTTATCAGAAATTAAGTCCATCTCTATGGCAGCATACAGATGCCATGTGGGAAGAATTCTTCATCTTTTGAGGCTATCCACATATTAATCCAATTTTTGGTTCCTTCATATGATGTAAAGCTCTGCTGATAAATCCCCCATGTATGAAGCCCATGTATCATCAATCGAAATAAGTAATAATCAGAAGGAGAAATGTCTGGCGAATACAGTGGGAGGGAGAAAACTTCTCATTTGAGTTTACCAAGTAGGTTTTGACCACCACCACAACATGTGGATGAGTGTTATCATCAGAGTTCTAAAATATAAAGGCACTTATAGGTGCTTACTTTTTCTCTAAAGCACTTATTTTTTTGTTTTTAATGCTTATTTTTTGCTTTTAGTGTTTTTTTTTTTTTTTTTTATGAAACCACATTTTTTTCCCCGTACCAAAGCCGAAACTAAATAAACAATGTTTTTTCCTTATATGAAACCTCAGATGGTGAATCATACTCCCGGAAATAGATTTTCGTCTCTTTCTCTGTATTAGCGTAACCTTTGGTGCACGTCGTTGTTCTATTTGTCAAAAAATTATGAAAGTGGTAGAAAATTTCAGTATATTCCGTATTTTTTCCCCAACCAATACAACACATGTTTGAATTTCTATCAAGATTTAATTAATTTACATTCTCGTTCCATGTGGTCAGTTCATATTTGCGTTTATTATGATCATTATGCTTATATTATATTATGAACATATGTATGAATATTTATAATAATATATTCGCAGTAACTGCCGAAGTGCAGATAAACTTAAAAAATGGGTAAGAGTGTTTTAACACAGATTAGTTTTCTAAGGAATAATATTCAGAATGGCATAAATAAAGTAAAAGTAATCCAATAGTCAAAATAAATGTTTTTTTTGGGGGGGCGGTGCATTTATACAGTACGGAAGTTGGGAGGGGGGTCTCCCGTTTCTCCGCAAAATCTCAAATATTGAAACCGTTAGAGTTTGCAGGAAAGCAAGCAATGGACTTTTTGTCACCTTCCAATCTGGATTGAATAGGACTAAAAGTTCTGCGGTCTACCAACCCAAGCGAAGAATGATTTTATTCCAGAAATTTAACGCTGTTTATTCAAAATTAGAATGAAAAACATCTCCAAATTGGTTTAAGTCTCTCTCTCAATCGATCAATATGAGTATGACAGGGGAGCACAACGTGTTCTGCTCAATGATAAATATGCCACATGGGTGCATGAAGGTGAAAACCGGACGAAGCAAAGGGGCATTTTCCTTTATTTAGTTATCTATTCTCCGAGTACCAGCAACGGTTGATTCCGATTGCATAATATCACGTGCGAAAGAATTAAGGCGCACGTACTGTGCAATAACGTTTACGATATTTTGCAGAGATAAAAGAGTTTTACTATGCTTGCTAAGCTAATTATTTTTCAGTTCCGTTGGACTATTTTTATGTGATGCACATATTGAAATGTTTTAAAAGCAATATTTAGCTGAAAAATCTAAACAACGGCTACAATCTACCCCCTTCCTCTTTTTCCATTTACACTCGACTATCTGTAAGTTTCAGATATTCAGCAATTTCTGAGTATGCCAGTTAGTTAAGCTTTTACTGTTACAGGATGACTGCATGAAGCAATTTCCCGTCTTCTAATTTCAGAAATGTTCCTTTTTTTTTTACTTATTTTTACTTAAATTACCTTGCTTGCAATATTTGTTAAGGGGAAAACTGTTATACATTGAAAATTTAGAAAATGTACAGAACTTTGATTCAAGTTAAATTATTTAATATTAATATTAATAGAAAAATAAATTGCATTTATTTTTAGGTGCCAAGCGAATATTATAAATATGGCTTATTATTATTTATTTTCTCTATTTTGAACTGAAATTTCATCATTAAATCTTGTAATGTAATTTAGTTCTGCATAGTTTTTTCCCCTCTCATTGTAAGCTAGTTCTGTATATTGAACTGTTATTTAAAATTTAAAAAAAGAAAGTAATTGTTTTCCATGGTTTAGTAATGCCCATTCTTAATAAATACTGAATTTCTCATATTTTAAATTACAAGTCTAATTTTTCTTGTAAGGTTACGCAGTTGTGTATAATGTAATTAGACAAATGCTTATTTTTTTTTCTTAAAATGTGCTTGAAAGTGCTTATAGGTGCTTATTTTTTTAACTAAAATGTGGCTACTAACCCTGATCATGCAGGAGAATAATTTTGTCATGTCTGGAGTAGTGGTGGGCATATTTTTTAGTACTTGGATTACTCAGTTGTGTTCGGTAGAGTGCCCCAGTAATGGTTTTGTAAGTTGATCCCCCCATATGCACAACATGGTTTTTTTTTCATGAATATTCAGCCTGGCTTTTGATGCTGAAGCATGGCAAGGTGATCTGCATGATTTCTTCTTCTTTGTGTTATTGTACTGGATCCATTTGTCACCACCAGTGACTATGCATTTCTTGCTTTCAGTTCATATGGAACCCAGTTTCCGTGGTTTTGAATCATTCCCAATGATTTTAAACTATGTGAAATTACTTGCTGAATCACTCCTAATGTAAGTGCAAGTTCTACTTGCATTCATCATGAATCTTCATCTAATTTATGCTTCCAATTCCAGGTGTTCGCATACTTTCATCCTTCCACTGTGTTCTTTGTCTTCCACATCAAATTCACAATTCCTAAACTTTTGAAACCAATTACCACAACTTCTCTCACTTTGTGCAGCCTCACCAAATGCTTCTACAAGCACGCAACATGCCTCAGCTGCAGATTTCTTCAAATTAAAGAAATAAGTGAAAAGTTACCACAAATAATGCTCATTCAGCTCAAAATTCGACATTTTTGCACAAAAATATCTGATGTTGATACAAAATCGCTATCATTTCAATGCTATGTTGTTAGCAAATTTCTAACCTTACGATATGATATTTTACATTAGGTAACTTTAACCATAACTTACTAGTGGTGCCATCCTCCCCCAAAAAATGGCAGAGACTCATTTGTACTCTCAGTATGTTCAATGGTTGGTAAGTTATCACCTGGGATTGCTTGTGCATGAAGTAACAGTTAAAGGTAAAATATCTGACATAATTTCTTTAACCAAGACTCGTGGGTCTTACAACGAAAATGGAGATTAATTAAACTTAAAGACTTAATAATTGCTTAATAAAGGTGCACTAAGATTCTTAACTTTTGCCAAGTTCTAAGAAGTTGATTTTTGAGGGAAAATACTTGTACAGTGATCTGAATTATGTGGTTATATATGGAATGTATTTTGAAGATAAATGTAACATGTGTGTAGTATGAAATATTGTTATCTCATATTTTTTATTCTTTCATTTTTACATCTATAAATTAAACAATTATTGATGTATAATAAATCTCCTTCATTTAGCTATTTTTTATTAAAATTGTATATATAAATGTGTGTTCTAAAAATTCACAAGCTATTTAAAATTTCCTCTTATATTTAAACCTTAATTATAAAATGTGTGTACTTTTTAATAATAATAATATTGTTCAATATAAACAAGAAGTAAAATTTTATTAATTACATCTGAAATGCTATAAAATGTATATTTTAATTTTAGACACCAGGACGAAATTTTGGAAAGAAGAGAAAGCATGCAAAACAAACTTTTTTCAGCAGAAATCAAGAACATGATGCAAAGAAAAATTTCCAAAAATGGCCAAAAAATAAGTAAATGTATATGAATTGTATAAAATTCGATATATAATTATCTGAAATTATTTTATAAAGAGTTACTGTTCTTTTTTAAATCGTATCATTTTGTAATTTTCTTCTTAATGATATTCCACACTGCTAAATTATTACTTTACATGGAGCAGAGAGTACACAATTTAGCTATATGGAATATATATTTTATTTAATTCATTGAATTAGAAATATGTACACTTATAATTAATAAAATTAGTGTACACATGACTGCAAAGAGCACCTACTGGTGCAAACACATGTACACTGCACAAAAAATCTATTTCTCTCGTTCTACTGGGACAATTGACGAAATTCAAATTGCGTTTTTCATGTCTGGAAAGAGTAACTTAGGATATATATTAGATTTATATATAGCATTGCTCTAATATAGGTATTTTGACATAAAATTGAACGTTTCTGAAATGACATGCCAATTGTTTTCCATATTTCGATTCTACGACTCAAATTATGTCTAGATATTAAATTTTGTAATTTTTGGTGAGAAATATATGGCAAAATTAAAAAAATTACCTTGGCGAATTGTTTTCAGTTTGTGCCAAGAATAATTAATTCACTTGGCGCTTCTTAAATTATAGCAAACTACTTTTCTTTTGCCTTTTTTTTTTGTGCACAAGTGGGGGCAAGTCATCATTCATACTTTCAAATAAATTTTAACAAAGTGCGGGCACCACATTTTCTTTATTATCGCTTATAATAAATACGCCAAATTTCAAAACGCACCAAAATGTAAATTCACGTATATCTTAGGATATTTTGAATAAAATAATTTTTTGCAGGTGTGCTTAGAAATATTTTTACTTTAAGATGATGGCAACAGTTTTATAGGATATAATTCAAAATATTTTTTGCAAAAATTTAGTTATTTTAAAAAAATATATTTCCAAAATATTTTTTTAAATAAATCATAAAAATTTGGAGACTTTTATTTGGAATGCACCTTAATTTTGAAATATGAAAGGAAGAATCAAGTAATAAAATTTAATAAAAATAGAGATGATAAATATATATTAACATTGAGGAGCTAAAATTTTGAGAGCTAATCTTTTAAAAACTACTCGTGTGATTTTTACAGAACTTGGCAATTTGGCATAATTTGAATCATAGAATCAAAATATGGAAAAATTATCAGAAAAAGGCTGATTTTGTGTCAGAATACTTATGGTAGAACAGTGCTATATATAAATCTAATACATATCCTAAGTTGCGGTTTCAAGTCATGAAAAACGCAAGTTTAATTTCATCAATCGATCCAATAGAACGGGAGATATAGTGTCCCTATATATTGCACATTGTACATGCTAAACGTAATGACTTGCACACTTGACAGGCTTTCATAAGGGTGTTATCATCAGAATAAAAAGTCCCAGTTCAATCGGTGGATTGATGTAGCCTAACTCATGTAATGTTCAGATAGTACCTTGTGATGTTGGCAGTGGGCATATGAGAGGAGCCACACTAGTGGATAGGCTAATTAAGGATGAGGCAGACCACCAGTAGAGAAGATCATCCAATGATGATCTGACCCATTAAACAAGCTGCTATAAGGGCTTCACTATGCATTAAAGAACTCATAAATCAGAATAAGATCAGATTAAATCAAAATAAAAGTCCGAGTTCAGTTGGTGTATTGTATAGCTTAACTCATGTATTGTTCAGATAGTACCTTCTGATGTTGGCAGTGGGCATATGAGAGGAGCCATACTAAGTGGATAGGCTAATTAAGGATGAGGCAGACCACCAGTAGAGAAGATCATCCAATGATGATCTGACCCATTAAACAAGCTGCTATAAGGGCTCCACTATGCATAAAAAAACACTGTGAGATGTTTCCAAGAAATAAATTTGTGATTCCAGTATCCTTTATGTGTTCAGGCATTAATGCTCGAATATTTGTAGTTGTGTTTTTAGTGGTGATAGGCTAAAATAATATTGCGGGTGCTGCAAAATGGCAATCTCTGACATGCAGCGATAAGTTACACTTCATTTTATACTAGAATGATTATCATGTCTGAGTATGGAGATCCTGTAGTACAGGAGTTCCCTGTGGTGTTGATGACAATTAAGGGGTCAATTGCCAAAAATATGAAAGGAAGAATCAAGTAAGTTTAATAAAAATAGAGATTATAAATATATATCAAATTCAGTTAACATTGAGGAGCTAAAATTTTGAGAGCTAATCTTTTAAAAGTACTCGTGCGATTTTTACAGAACTTGGCAATTTGGCATAATTTGAATCATAGAATCAAAATATGGAAAAAATATCAGAAAAAGTCTGATTTTGTGTCAGAATACCTATGGTAGAACAGTGCTATATATAAATCTAATACATATCCTAAGTTGTGGTTTCAACCAAATGTGGACCTGCAATTTATTGGCATCCTGTTGATTAATCCCCCCGAAATTGATAATTGTTGATTGCTGTAAAACAGTAATGTGCAGCAAGAAATTGTACAAAATAAATATAAAGGAGAAATGCAATAAAGATTTTGTAATATATTTTTTAAAATATATCAATATTTTATGTAATAAGGTGAGAGAAATGTGTTATTGACCAACATTATTGTCAATAGTGACCAACTTTAGTCAGTATTTTACTACGGTAAAAAAGAAATAAGTTGAATATTGTTGAATGAGGTGATTTAAGAGTTAAGCAGTTTTATGCCAAATATTAAAAATATTGCATCAAGCACAGACATCGCATTCATTAAAATTGAACTTCCGTGCAATTCAAATCTGTAATTTTGTTTCTGAAAACTTGTTTATATTTGTGAAATTAAAAATAATAAAACTTAAAATCTAATAAACCATTTTTTTTTCAAAACTTTTTTCATAGTATTGAGGCTAATCTTGAAGTTATGAATGCACAATTATTTATGCATAAATAACTTATTTTTATGATTATGTTGCATTATGTATATCATAGAAAAAATATAAGAAAATTAATGAAGAAAATTTAATAAATGAATAAATGCGAAAAATGGCTAGGGGAAAATGGTGCTGTTGCCAATGATACAATCCCAGTCTTGCTGCCAGATGACACAAAGGCTACCAATGACAGAAATTATGCTTGGGGAGCCATATTTATAATAAGCAAATTGCTTGTGCCACATTGACAAGCCAGTGGTATGTGGATAAGATTGTGTACATACATATGCTCCAAATCCTTGCCAAACATCATGGAGCATTATTCCTGTAAGATAATGCCCAGCACATTAAATATGCTTTGTAGAAGACTGCGTATATCATGTGCAGGCCGACCCATTTTCTACTGAGTACGTCTGGAAGCAGATGAAATGTGAACTGTCACCATGCTTATACAAAGGGAACGGATCATCTGCCACAGGACAATATCAGAAATCTACTGGACTTCATGCCGGCCTGTATTGCAGCACAGCTTGGTGCAGTTAATTATTGAAGAGGACCAGACTAGGTCTGACAAGTTCTTCACTGGTTGCCTTGCTGCTATTTTTGAGCTCGTGTCTTTATGTATGCATTAAATTTCATTTGTATCAAAAGCTTCCCTCCTGCTTCATTAGTTTTATTGATTGTGAGTGTATACAATACAAAGTCAGAAATCCAAATGTTCAGTAACCAGAATAATCTATTATCCAGACTTACCATAAAAGCAATTTTTTCATTGAATTGTTTTCTTATACAACACAGGAACTTTTTCTTTGAAATTTTTTCTTATACGATGCAGGAACAGATATGATGATACTCGTGCAAAAGCAAGTGTGCCTCTCATATTTTGATTTTTGTTCCAATTAGCTGAATATTCCCTCACCCCTCTGAGAAAAACATTATTGTGACAATATTGAATCATCCTGCTTCAGCTTTAAACATCTGCTGGTTAGCAAATCACATTTTAATTTTTGGCCCTTGAATGGTAGTTGGGGGGGGGGAGGTTTGTAGTATTTTTTGTGTCTGTCTACCTCAATAAGTTAACCAGGAAATGTTTTTTGATTGATGGATGACAAATTGATTGGACAAATTGATGTTTGTTTGGAATGAATGTTTGACATTCTGATTTCCTTTTACTAGCCTAGCTGGAAACAAGGAAAAAGACATATTCTAATTAACTTAAGGTTAGCTACCACTGGATGTTTCTGGATGGAATGATTTCATGCAGAACATCATAAACAAAATTAGTTTTAATTTACATTGCACATGAACAATGTCATGGAAATAATGCTGAATGCAAATAGCTTTTCCTAGTATCAAATCTTAAATCATAGCTAGCTTGATGCTGAGTTATTTCATCTGTTTTATAAATGGTATATTTCAGAAGTGTAGATGTTGAAAACAATTCATTTAATCATGTTAAATATTTTAACACATCATACTTGAACTTCTTAAAGACCTTTTTACCAAATAGTTTAAGAATTTCATGCTTTAAAACTATATAAGTACGTATGATTAAAGTTTCCCGATCAAAAACTCTCTGCGGTTTAAATCAAAATATGAAATGAAATTAAAATTTGTACATAAATTATTAAAAAAATAGAGAGAAAGATTATCATAAAAATATTTTTAAAAAATTTCCAAATTTTGAAAATGGATTAAAGTTAGGGATGATGCAGCCCCCCCCAAAAAAATGCAATATACATCTAAGGCAAATCTAAAATGAAATTAAAAATTTTTATACTTTTCCTGCATAAAAATTGAGAAAGATACTAAGAATTCCTTTAAAATTTCTATTTTAAAATAAAAAAGAGCACATAATAAAGTAGAGGAAATTTGTGTATATATATCTAATGATTTTAAAATGCGTAGATGAAAACATTGGAACTTCTAACAGCTTTCGATATTCATCATGGATAAGAAGACCATAGTGGTTGAAGGTAGGGCTGAGTGGAAAAGCACGATGATGCATTTAGCACAACTGAGCTTGAAGAATCATAATTATTATTTTTTATGCATATCAAATTATTCTTTTGCAGACAAACTATTTCTTAATTATAGTTGAACACAATTCATTCCATTTTAAAATACAACATCATCTCAGACAAATAAGCAGCAGCGTGGAACGGCAGCATCTTGCCCGCAGGGAAGCAGAAGCGAAAGAGAACGCTGAAACTCGAAGGGAGGGAGTCAATAATTTCAGTTTGAGTTAGAGAAAATTTTGGTTTACAATTAATTTGATTGGACAAGAGGTATCTGCAATCTGGGAGAACAGATGAATTTAGGAGAAGAGCATAAAATCTAGAATTGTTAATTTTAAGACTGCCAATTATTTTTAAAGCAGCTATTGTATTTTGTTATATCTTACATATATATATATATATATATTAAATCACAGAACTGTAATACAAGTAAAAATATATCTCATTGGGGTGAAAATTAATTCATCTTGGTAACATATAAAATGCATCTGCCTTTAGGGAGATCTTTATATGGGAAGACATATTTATATTCACATTACCTATGTGGGAAAAGAATGTGCATTAGCTTTATCCTCTCCCTTAACAGTGAATTCATAGTTAATGCATTGCCAAAAAATATTAACAAGAATTTAGGCACACAAAAGAATATTTGTAAAAGATATTCTTATGTGTAAATATTTAAATTTCTTATGTGGCCTTGAAAGGCCACATAAAAAATTTAAAAAGAGAGAAAGATGGGCTGCAAATAAAATAGTATTTTTAGATATAAATTGCTATTAGCAGGGGACGTAATTTCAATTCTAACATCAAATGAATAAATTACTAACACTTAACCATTACTAACAATATTTAATGACATGTATGAAGCTGTTTTTAATTTTTTTAAGATTTTTTAATTGCTTGTAAATGATCATCAGTGGGGTGGTATGATGTAACACTTTTATTGAGATTTATGATAGAAAATACTTATTCACACTCGTAGGTTTATCCAAAAATGACAGATATTTTGTATTTAATATTTTAAAAGCTTTCTCTCTCTTTTTTTTTTTTTTTTCCTTCTGCATAATATGCGAGGGTCACTCTGAAATGTTTTAGATACAGCTAAATGATATAAGTTAAAATTACCAAATCTTAGGAGTGCTCAAAGTAGTTCCTCCAACATCAACGAACTTTTGTAGGTGAATTTTCCAAAATTTAAATGCTTCAAGACATCCATTGTTTGGAATTAATGAAAAATTTACTTCTATAGCCTTATGAATCTCATCTTTGGAATAAAATTGATGCCACATAAATTTTGTTTCAGATTAAAAAATAGTTGAAAGTCACACATAGCAAGATCACAGTGTTGATATTCTATCACTTTAATGTGTTTTTGTTCAAGAAATTCAAATATTAATCTCACTAAATGAGAAGATTCATTATTATGGTAAAGCATGAGTTCCCTAATTTTCATTTCTTAAAGAATTTTTGGAAAACATACATATGGTAAACTAGTTAGTTGTAACTGTCTTCTGTCCTTCTGATTTGATTAATTCATGAAATTTTATCAAATATTCTTCATAAATCTTAAATATATCTATTAATAACAAAGAAATACACATAGATTCTCTAGAAATAAACATATTTAAGTAAAATTTTATTTCCTTTTTAATTATGAAAAAGAATATGATACTTGTAGAATTTATGAATTTAGTTATTATTACAACACTCGGTGTTAACATCATACCTTTAATTTTGATTGTTTTATGAAATTTCTATCTTATATGTTTGCTTAATAAGGGTAATAATTTCACAAAGTTTTGATCATATACAAAAACCATAAAATGTACTGACAGATACAGAAACTGCAGTGCAATATTATTAAAATTTTGTACAAAATATACGAAATAATTTCAGTAGACAAAACAATAATTTCAATATTATTTTTTATTATGTTCTAATTTACTAACTTTCTGTAACAGCTTCTGTTATTTTGTGCAGTAAATATTTTGCTTTTTTCACTTCTGTTTTATTTCTCAAAAATTCATCATATGGAACCTGTAAAATATAATTTACATGCTCAATTAAAATGATAAATATTTTAATCTTACATTTAATACACATTAAGTTTAAAATTTTAAATATATTTTTTTCTTCTTATTTTTTGTATGTGTTATGATGGGATGCTTCGGTGGGATACCTCACTTTTTACCCTTAGGACATAATGATTACACATAATCTTCCAAAAAATGTTTAAATGCAAGAATAATGTAATGGTTGTTTATTATGTATATACAAGGTGGTTAAAATTAAAACACCCCTCTCTGAGCTCTCTATACATTGAACTACTGAGTTTAAAGGCTCCATAATTGTTAAACATACTATTTAAGATGTGGGGAAACGAATTACGTGAAAAAAATTAGTTCCAGAAACACTGATAGGTTGCGCTGTACAACAGAACATATGCTGAAAAGACACAAAATACACTTTATAACAGATTTTATTCGAATGTACCAAACATTCATATCACAAAGACCTTATTGATGCAAGGAAAGCTGCTCAATATGGTTTCCTTCTTCAAGATGTAAAATCTGCAGTCTGTGGATAGCTTGTTCAACTGCGGATCGTAATTGGTCGATTGAGATGCTTCTCACATGCAGAGCGATACTGTCTTTCAAATTTGCCAAAGTTACCAGATGTCGTCAATAAACAAGATTTTTAAGTAACCCCACAGCTAAAAATCACATGGATTAAGATATGGAGAACGAAATGGCCAGAGAGCAAAATTGCAGTTATAATGACAGTTTAATTTTTTTTTTTTTTTTTTTTTTTTGTTGTGTGTGTGTGTGTGTGTGTGTGATTATTTGTGCTTTTTCAGCATATTTTCCGTTGCACAGTGCCACCTATCGGTGTTTCTGGAACTAATTTTTTTCCCACTTAATCCATTTCCCCATGTGTTGAATAGTATGTTCAACAATTTTGGGGCCTTTACACTCAGTAGTTCGATGTATAGAAAGCTCAGAGTAGGGGTGTTTTAATTTTGACCACCTTGTTTTTGTTTGAGATTTACAATCTTATATTTTAAAAAAAAAGTGCCAAAGTAACAAACATGTTTCTATTACTACTACAGTCAATTTCAGTCGTGATGTAGTAGTTTTAATTAATATTTTGTAGCTTTTATATTTCTCATGTGGCATAATGAAATCATAAGCCAATAAGTATTTTTTTTTTTTTTTTTTTTTTTGTGTGTGATAAAATATGTCTGAGATCTTTCTTACTGTGTCGGAACTAATAAATTAACACGAGAACAGCCAGTCAAGGCTAAAATGATATCATCTGCAAAACATTCTCTTACATTTTACTCACTGAGTCCATTCTACATTTGACACCTCAATGGCAAGGAAAATATCAATAATTATGAAATTGAGGCATCCAATTAAAACACAACATAATATATTAAGGTTCCTTATTCTTGTGACTGGAAAAAAAGACAAAAAAAAAAAAAAAAAAAAAAATCTGAAACCTTTAAGATTTTACATTACACCCAAAGGAACATTTTTTTAAAGTTTTGTGTGTTACCTTTGTTTATTAAATATCATGTTCATTGCACTTAAACCATAAAATTCAGTTCAACAGCAGTATTGCAAAATAATTTTAACATATCTTTAGAATTTCTGATACAAAGTCTTGCACCCTGTAGACAAAAAAAAAAATTTTTTTCATACAGTGTTGCCATTGCTCACTTTGAAATCATTGAGTTTGTTAATAAAAAATTCGTTAAAGTGTTACAAAATATAATATTGATAATAAAATACATTCCAAATTAGTGCTTCGAAATGCCAATATTTAGGGGAAGATTACATTATTCAAAATTTGATGGCTCTAGGTACCATTGTTTTATCACAGTGCGAGAAAGATACATACATTTATGCAGATTTTTCATTATTTAATTTCTTTAAATATAATACAGGGCGTTAATATTTGCTGGCAACAATTTGAAAAGTAAACCGACATTTATAGTGAATCAATGCAAAATGCCAAAACGAAACAACTTAAAAAAAAACTGAAGTTTTTCAATTTTTATATTAAGCCTAAAATGACTTTTTTTTTTTTTGGTACGGAAGTATAGATAGAATTTCCCTACAGCATACTAGCATAAAATTACAGATTATTTTTGTATTTAGAAGTTAAGTAAAAGTCGAAAGTAATTTTCTAAATAACTTTTATTATGCATCTTTGGTGTTTATATTTTTATGGATAAAGTTATTATTTATAATTACAAGTATGCAATTTAACTAGATATAATTTTAGAGCTGTTTCAGAGTCAAAAAATGTATTCTTTAATAAAAAAAGATATACAGTCTGTTGCTTTACAACTACTGTGATGCTTTACAGTATGGAAAGGAAAAACACTTATCTGTTAACTGTAGAAGTATCTACAAGTTTAATAAGAACTGATATGAAAAAATTTATATATTTTTGAAGAAATTCATTCTCCTTGAATCGCTCTAGTCATAAAATAAAGAGTTAAATGTAACTTTTAACAATATATGCTATTAAAAAATGATAAACTATTTATCATATATTTGATTGTGTTAATTTTTGTAAAAGCTCATATTTCTATTATTTGGACTCCATTTCCCTTTACTAAAGAAAATATGTTAGAAAACATTGTGCATGAAAATACTTATACAATTATAATAATATTTCTGGAAAGAAATCATCTAAAAAATTTCTGGTACTTTTTAACAGCTCTCAGTTGGTCCTAAGTTCACGCATTAGTGATCTTCAATATATCTTTATTTTCATATTTTACCACGTTTTAATAGAAAGATTTGAATTATGGGGGAAAGAATATATAATTTTTTACACCTGTAAAAGAACTATATAATGATAAATTCATCACTATATCATACCTGCCAACTTGTACGAATTTTTCGTAATTTTTACGAAAATGCGTTTGTCTTTACGATTTTACGATCGTAATCCATTTTTTACGATTTTTTTCTGTTTTCAAGTGTTTTTAGTGATTTGTGTCGAAATTTTAGAATTTTTCGCCAATTGCATTGTGTTTTACCGCCAACTACCGACTACTTCGAATCCAGTAACCTGCGGTTTCTCCCAACTCGCCGCTAAACCAGCCAATCCAATGCGCTGAACTTGTGGAATTACTCAGCTCGGATTCAGCGAGCGTGGATTGTCGCATTCTGTTTTTTGCACGTGCTACAAATTTTCTTAATACGTCGTTGTTGCGAAATGAGTTCAAAAAAACCGTATTCTCAATATTTTCGGCTGCCTACAAAGCCGAATTTCCAACAATTAAAGAATCCTTCAAAGGAAATAACTGCATTTTGCAACGTGTCGGCTTCGACAACGTCAAAGAAAATGGATGATTTTTTTTTCAAATTCGGCTACGAATTCGGATGCCGATGTCATTTTGGCAGGTGTTTGTTTACTGCATTCCTCATCGAACACAACGTGCCGCTAAGCGCTGCGCCGGTCAACTTTTTTCAGACGGATGTTTCCCGACTCCAAGATTGCTCAGAAATATCAAACCAGGGAACTTGTAAATTCTTTGAAAGATCATGAAAAAAAATAATTTTTTCAATGTGTCAGAAAGTACTTTTCCTCAGCCTGTGATTACAATGTAAGGAAGTTTCCTTTGCAAAATGAAGTTCTTTTAAATGCTGAAGTGGCAAATTTGAAACAAATTGAAAATTCATCTTTTGAAAAGATTCGTTTTATTATTGATAAATTTTCATTTTTGTTAACAATTAAAGAAAATGAATGCCATAATGATGCTTTAGATGAACTACAGAACCAATTTTCTGCTGCACAGTTTGAAGACTTTGCCAGTTCTAGAGAAGATAGACTTGATATCTTCGTTGGTACCTTAAAAAGAATAAAAAGAGCTAATGGAACACCAAAATATGATAGACTAGTAAGAGCTTTATGTGCTATTCTCGTAATTCCACACAGTAATGCTGAGTGCGAGAGAGTCTTCAGTGTTGTGAAGAAAAACAAAACTATGTTTCGTTCTTCAATTTCACCAAAAGCTCTAGACATTTTAATTGCTAAATGTTATGAGGAAACTAATTGTTTCCAAAGAATTTTTGGCTAAAGCCAAAAAATGCTCTCTAAATTCATTGCAATAATTTTTTTGTGTAACATTAAGTTCTTGTTTTATGTTTCCTAATAAATTTTTTAGTTACTACTTAATTGAGATTTACTAATGTAAGTACAATTTTCTTTTTTCTATTCGTATAAATTGTTTTTTTTTTTTTTTAATATCAAAGCATGATATTAATTCTTCGTGTTCTTTTGAATTTTGGAGAAATCTTCTGAATTTTTATCTTTAGAGGTTGGCAGGTATGCTATATGACAAAAAATTAAAAATTACCAGAACTGGGGTGTATCCAGATGCAGATAATATTCTGACAGCTAAATCATTAATTCCCGTTAAAGATGTTTCATTCAGAGTGAAGTCTTTGTGGAACATAACAAGTAGTGATATCCTAGAGGGGAAAAATATATTAACAAATACTCTACATTAAGCATATGTTTTTATATCATTAATATAGTAAACCCTTTTCAAACATGGACTTGGGGAATGTGATTTTATGCAGATTTTTTCTTAATTAACTCCATTTAATCTCTCCTGCATGATAATTTCAGTTATATGCGATATGCTATCTGCAGCATATCCGAGTTGCAACAGTCCTCTTTGATGAGTGATTTGAAGATTCATTCATTAAAGAAGTGAAACGCTGCTTAGAACAGCAAGACATGAACTTTAAAGTTCTCCTAATTCTCAATAATGCTCCAGAAGTTGGTGCTGAAGCTTCACAACGATGCATCCAAATGTAGAAGTTTTGTTCTTTTCACTGAACATCACTTTCTTAATCCAACCAATGGATCAAGGAGTTAAAAAAACATTCAAAGCCTATTATGCTAGCTGTGCTGCAATCTCTGCAAATAAAGCACAACACATTAATGGCATTTTGGAAGCAGTTTAACATAAGACACTACACAGAAAGGATTCAACTTACATGTTAATAAGTGAATGCATCAACAATGAATACTCCTGGCATTAATTCTGGCCAGAAGTTGCCAAAATTTTTATGAATTTCCATTGAATGAATGAATCAATCAAGGAAACTATAAATTGCAAAAGCAATATGTGGTGAAGGACTTTCGGAGATAGAAGAAGGAGAAATCAAAGAATTAGTCAAGAATGACGATCAGGAAATATCAGATGAATTAGATTATCTTATTAACTCTAGGAGACAGTGAAAGCAGTGATAATTAAGAAGATAAAGAGCCTTTAATTTACAAGAAGTTAAATCAGCTGCTATGCAAAACTGTCCGATTTTGTAATGGAGATAGACCCAAGTAAAGAAAGAAGAGAATACTTTATGAGAGGTATTGAAAAACTTTGCACTCCTTATAGTGGAATGCTTAATGAATTATACCCCAGACATTGTCTCAGACAAAAATCACCAGATATTAAAACAAATATTTGGATGTATATACCTACTTATTAGGCAGCAGTAGATATACTTTCAATTAATATTTGTTTTTCCCTTTTAGTTACAACAATATTTAAGTTTGAATAAATTATACATACTTTCTTAATCTGAACTATACCAAACTTGCTTTTTCCATAGAAAATTAACTTTGCAAAATGCAATTTGATATACTAGTGATGCTTTAATGATGCTATGTTCAGCAAGGGTTTACTGTAAGTAATAAACTATAATTAAGCATAAACATTAAAATACTTGATATATGGAATAAAATAAAAATTTAGAATATAGTAACCTCATCCCAAATTACATATACACTGGTTATCATAAATTAAGGAAAAATCACGATTACTGAAAAGTTACATGTAGAATTTAATGAAACTTACCCACAATATATAACACATAAGTATCAAATAACATAAAAAGAATTTACCAGACAAATATGGTAGTGTAGAAATTAGCACATGTATAAAATGAACAAATCGAAGGTGTCAGTTTGCTATAGGAAAAGTACCTTCAATATGGAATGTGATCGCCTCTAGAAGCAATACAGCACATATAGCGATGTGTGATGCTTTCAATTATGCGGTCTATCAGTTACATAGGAAGAGAGGGCCATCGCTCTTGCAAAGCAGTTGCAAGCACGGCAAGGGTTCGAGGGAGCGGATTGAGAGCAGCTACACGTCTCCCTAAAGCATCCCAAATGTGCTCGATAGGATTCAAGTCAGGGGATCGAGCTGGCCACTCTATGTGCATAATTGTTTCCTGTTGAAGATAATCATCTAAGATGCGAGCCCTATGTGGTCTTGCGTTGGCGTCCTGTAACAGGAAAGCATCACCTATTGCCCTGACATATGGAAACACATAAACATCAAGGATGTCATCTCTATAAACCTGAGCATTCACGGTTCCCCTTGGAAACACATGGAGGTCTGTGCGTCTACCCAAAGAGATGCCACCCCAAACACAGACGCCTCTTCCGTATGCATCTCTTTCACGAATGTTTGACGGATGATAACGGGTTCCAGGTTCTCTCCATATCAAATAACGCCTACTATCGCTTTCTAGACTAAACCTGGAATCATCCGTAAAGAGAACTGCACTCCATTGATCAGGCGTCCAGTGGACATGCTGTTGTGCCCACTGCAAACGCTCCCTCCTATGGCATGATGTGAAAGGCACGCAAATGGCTAGTCGCCTCGCATACAGACCACCTTCGTGAAGCTTTCTACGCACAGTTGAGGATGACACCCTTCCGGTGGCTGCAGCAAGGGAGGATCTAAGAAGAGTCGGAGTAGCGGTTCTATTCCTGCGTGCACATAATGTCAAATGTCGGTCATCGGCGCTCGTCATAGCAGTTGGCGGTTCTTGGCTGAACCTCCTAGATACCGAATCTGTGGTTTGAAATTGCCTCCAAAGTCTATGAACCGCAGAAGGACTCACATTTAGCCATCTGAACACTTCTGTTTGACTTTGTCCTGCCTCTAGTCTCCCAATGGCTCTCCATCGTAGTTCTGTAGGCAAATGATGCCTGAAGGTTATTGTAACGAATTGTCTTTCTCAGATTTCTGATGTCACTATCACAGTGAAATATGTGGGCTTGCTCTCAAACATGGACTTTTATGCTCTTTGCAGATGACATATTCCGAGTGCAGTGCCACTAATTTGCATATTGCAGATACTCTTACTTGGCAACATATTCAAATTTTACATGGTTTGGCTTATTTTTTAGGTCGTTATCACTATTTTTGTGATTTTTCCTTAATTTATGCTAAACAGTGTATAATGTGTTCTGCATAACTTTAAGTAACTTGAATTTTGTTTATGCACGATTTCATGGCAAACTGCAATTATGTAAGTAAGCGTGTATGTGTATGTATTCACTCAAACAATCAAACAAGTGACTGAACACAAATATTGTTTGAATGCAAGAAATATGGGTGATGGAAGGATGAATTGTTTACCTAGTCCTTACTTATAACTGGTACCTTAGAATTTGAATGCTGCAACTTCTGCAAACTTGTTGTCAATAAGTCTTGCATTACATAAGTCAAGAGATTACTGTATTTAAAAATTGATTATTTCAAATTAATATTATTAAAAAAAAAGATTTGCCTTTTAGAGCCTTCAGGAAGAGGTTTTGTAATGTTAGTCTCCTTAGACAGCACTCCATAATCTGATAGTGAGAACAGTTTTTTATTTTTATCCATTATAAATTCTGCATCTGTTAAAAGAATGAATTATTAATTTTACAAATAATACAGCAGTTATATTTTTAACACAATACTAATGAATAAATCTAATAACATATAATTCTTAAAGACTTAAAAAGTAATTATTCAATTTAAATCTGAATACTTAAATTAACAATATGAAAAAGGATAGTTTTATTATGTTCTACAGTAATAAAAATACAAAAGTGTTTGGACTCACAGAATTTTCAATAAAGAATTTTTATATCAAAACAAATTTTATACAAACTTGATAAAGATTTGAAACAGTGTGTTTCATTTAATTAGAATTCCTACAGTTTTAAAGCCTTATGAATTTAAATATACTGCTAAAGTGAACTCATTTGACATCTACTGTCAATTTATAAGTCAAACAACAAAAATCACCATTATATTTTCAAATTTTCACAGGGCTAGTTTCGATGGTTTTACTGAACCATCATCCTCAGCCACATGACTTTCTATTAGAATATTAAATTATATACAATTTTTTGCTGCATTTCATTAGAGATAGATTTTTCATTCAATTAATTCAGTTCTCACTTCCCAGCAAGGCAAAAATACACAAAGCACAAAATATCTTCATTAAAATTGAAAAATATAGAAATCATAAAACACCAGATACAGTTAAAACAATTTTTACAATTAAAATTATTCTACTTAAAAACAAGCAATTCAGCCAGCAAGCAAGAAAGCAGACTTTTCGGTGCACAAAACTGAAACTTTACTTTTTGTTCTGCTCAGCAAAAAGACACTGAAGGTGCAAAAACTGACTTAATTCACTATTTTTCTAAGTTTCAAATGTAAACAAATACGGCAGCTACGGTAAAAAATTAGGCTTAGATGAACTTTTAAATTGTTGATAATTCTACAGTTTGCAATACTTGTCTCTAGACTTTATGTCTCTAGACATAAAAACTTTAACTGGAAGATAAGAACAACATAATTCAATCATTTTTAAAGCAAAAAAATGCAGAATTTACAAACATATAAGATTAAAGAAACTAAGCTCACTCACCCAATTAACAGAGGATAAATATATATGTATATTTGCTAAAGGAATACTGATTATATTATCTCCTAATAAATTTAGTAGAAGTATTTAAGATCATTTAATATATGTATAGTTGTATATTTTTGATGCAGCCGATTGCAACTAAAAAGAGGGGTGCACAATTACATGTTGTACTAGTCCTATATAAAAAATTTCTATGTTCTGAGCTTACTCGTTTTTTAGTTATGCGAGGTACATACATACGTACGTATGTACAGACGTCATGAAAAAATTTCTGCTAAATCAATTTTATAATCTGTTTGGGGAAAAAACAGTCCTTTAATCTGTCCTTAGTTACAGATGTCATGCAAAAACATCATTAAATTGCATTCGATAGCTGTCAAAATGGATATTTCTGTTGAAATATGATGCCCAGAATTTTTCATGATTACAATACTTCCTTTACTTCATACAAGGAAGTAAAAATGGAGGCTGGGGATTCTATAAAAATGACAACAGAAGTAGTTGTAGAAATATTGATATACAGTACTGTCATGAGGATGGTACATAGGACTACCAAGTGCATCTGTGTTTAGTGTGAAATGGTTCTCCAGTGAATAATTTCTAATTTAGAACTGGTGGTCCATATCCAAAATGAACAGTAAGTAAGTTACTGTCACTGATATTAGAACATACTGTAATTTATTACTCAGACCACATGAATAACGTGAGTATCTCACACTGATCTTTCAGCAAATAAGTGCATCTGATGCTAACTATAATAATAATCTCTCAGAATGTAGTGTCAATTCTTTAAATGATTTAAGGTTAAAATTATATCTTTTTTCTCATATAAATGCTTATAGGAACAGATTTTCACTGTCATATTTACAACCTAACGGAATGAACACAGTACTGATAAACTTTAGAAATCTAAATCAGAAATTTAATTTATGAACTTAATTTTTTTATTATTATGATGCCTGTCATTTATTATGACACTGTATTTTTTTTTTTTTTTTTTTTTTAAGTGCAGTACAATGAATGGAGAACTAAAAGTTAATTTTCCTCGTATTTTGCTCTTTTATTTTAAAAAAGTGGAAAATGCTAGCGGGACTGCTTGTAAAATTTGTGATGTATATGAACAAAGTGCTGTTTCTTATGGTATAGTTTAAAGGTGGTTTGTGACATTTAACTGCAAATATTTCAGCCTCAAGATGATATCCATTCTGAACGACCATATTCTGTAAAGAAGGACCTACTAAAAGAAGCTTTCGCTGAAAGCCCACATTATGTATTTCAGTAACTGGCAGACAGAACTTAATATTTTGAAAAGGATAATATATGATCATTGGAAGAAGACCGGGTATGTGAGTTTCTACAACGTATGGTTACCCCATACATTAACAGAGCAGAATACGCATGTTCCATTTTCAGCATGTGAGTTTTTGCTGAAAAGAAATAAAGAAGCTCTTTTTTTTTTTTTTTTTTTTTAAAACAACGCATTACTGAAGCTGAGAAATGGATACTATATAATAATGTTACAAGAAAAAGATCATGAGGACAGTGAAATAAAAGAATTAGAATAAAGCTAATCTGTGTAAAAATAAACCCATTTTTGGAAGTTTATCTACTGCAACTTTATTATTATAAATATTCATACATATGCTCATAATATTAGCATAACAATCATAATAAACGCAAATATGAACTGACCACGTGGAACGAGAACGTAAATTATTAAAATCTTGATAGAAATTCAAACGTGTGGGGTAGGAGGAAAAGAATACTGAATGTACCGGAATTTTCTATGGTTTTCGCAATTCTTTGATCAATAGAACGACGTGCACCTGTCTGTACTCTCGCACGCACCATAGGTTACGTTAATGCAGAGAAAGGGGCAAAAGCTATTTCCGGGAGTGTGATTCACTATCTGACGTTCCATATACGGAAGAAAAGTTGTTTATTTAGTTCTGGCTTTGGTACGGGGGGAAAAATGCACGTTCATTAAAAAAAAGCACTAAAAACAAAAAAATAAGGGCTTTAAAGAGAAAGTAAGCACCTATATGGGCCTTTATATTTTATTTTCAAATATAAGGACTTATAAACACTTGTAAGGCCACTACAAACCCTGTGTATAACTGCAAATGATCTCCATATTGTAACCATATCCGACTTCATATGTAACTTTGAAAGACAGCATGAGAAGAAAACATAAAAATGATACATCAGAAATATGCAGTCTCCAGAAAAAGTATATAACAGTAATGAATCTTTCTGGACATAAGGGCAATATATAGTGATTAGAACAATTCATACCCAACCTAAGTGAAGGATTTCAGAAATAGGGGGACTAAAAAGCTTACTAAACAAAGATTGCTATTATCTTTGTGCTATAGAAAAGACTAGAAAAATACTTGAAAGCATGAACTGAATTCACTAAATATAGTTGTCTTAGCCTCCCTACACAAAAAAGTAATTAATAACTAATTAAGTAAAATAAAAAAACATGCAAAGAATGTAATTAAAATGTTGTTATCATAAACTGTTTTACTTGTATATGTAAAAAAAGCACTTTTTTGTAGGAAAAAATATATAAGAATAGCATTAGTAATAAATATCCCACAAAATATGGAAATGATATTGGTATATCACCAGCATTAACTAGCTTCACAATAAATAATTTATGTATGGGTGATTTGGAGATCAAAGGAAGCTAACTACTCCTATATCCATTTTTCTATTAAAAATGATAAACTCTACAGTAATTAAATTTTAAAACATCCATGGAAACCAGTCTTCGTTTATGATATCTGGCAAATTATTCCACATGATATAAGTAAATGACATGACATCGGCAGATTCTTAAATTTTGTTACCACATCAATTCATAAAGTCTCTGCTTACAAACATGCAACATTTCTTTAAATTTTAACAGTTTAGGAATTTTATATCTTAAATAATATGAAAGTATGAATAAAGCTCAGTATGAATATATCAGTTTTTATGTAGGTTAATATTTAATGTAAATTATATTAATTTACACTACAATGCCAGAAAAATTTGAGATTTTTTTTTTTTTTATTACAATTAGGATATATAACAGCAACACCTTCTTCCTAAATAGCTTCATGTGCAGGTAGCATGGATATATATATATATATACATAGCAATAGACATTTATACTAGAAATTTCTGTACTGATACTACTGTGAAGATGACAGGTTATAATTTTAGCAATTTTCACTAAGTTACTAAAATGAGCAGTTATTGGTGTTCATAAAATGAGTTACAGTATTTCACAGATACAATCAAAGTCTAGATTTCCACATTGGAATAATTCAAGAGTGTACCTCAAGTCTGAGAATTCCAGTAAAATATTGAACATATAGCAGCATTTTGGCCATTGAAATACTATGCATGATTATAACAAGCATTGTCTGTCAAGAACCACTTTAGGCAACACGTGCCCACAGTTGTGCCGCAACTAAAATCACAATTAAACCTTAGAGCTTCATTTAGCATCAGCTTGAATATAATATACAAAGCAACAGCATCCATCTTGTAAATGATTTCATCTGCATGCGGCATACATGTAACAATAAGAGAGATCAGACACTAAAGAGTATGAGGAACTTCAATTGCCTATGCCTGACCCAAATGTAAGTTAATATTTAATGTAAATGACAATATTTTCTTCATAACACAAACTGTATACCTTATCTTGAATCCAGAAGCAGCCAATATACACTTAAAACAAATGCATAGACCCAGCATGTCAACAAGACATAGAAGTATAGTCGTTGTTCAAGATATAGTCAAAGTTTTCTTTTATATATATATTATGACAAGCTTTTAAAAATTGGAAAATAATCAACTAAAACATGTTTTTAGTTAAAATAGCTTGTATGATATTATTTTATGTAACCATATGTAAACCTATACTTAGGTTTCATTTCTGAATTCAAAAATTAAAAACATATATCACATAGTTTTCCATCAGAATTAAAAGTAAATTTTCATAGAGATACATTTTTTAAACATATCATGACATTTGAGAAAGTGAAAATACATTAATCAGTTATTAATTTTATGTGATTTAAATATGAAAATGAGTACTCAAAATTACAAAATAATGAACATATAGAGTTAGTGAATTCGCAAATATTTTATAAGAAATATTTATAACATTCTTTATAAGAAAAGTACTGTAAAAATCATTATTAATTTATTTATTTTGCCTTCAGCAAATAAATTAAATTTTTTACCTATAAAAATGCCCATTTCTGTACTTTGGTTTGTACATATTTTGTCTTTAGATATAAAGATGCTTAGAATATCTAAAACCTGTTTTCTACCCTTCTCAATTTCAGAACTTTCAGAAATCTGCAAATAAATAAATAATTTTTAAAATATGACAAGTTAAGAACACTTAACAAGATGTCTCAAACCTTTAGAAATTATGAATGTTTCATATTATGTAAATAAAGTTGAAATACAAAATATAAAACACTATCAAAACATGCATTTTTTTTCTAAAGTGATTCCAAAATTACCTTTAAAGGTTCCAAGAACAAATCACAGCCAAATATGCATTCTGGATGATAGATTTTCAAAACTGCTTTCAAATTCATAAGTTTCAGTTTGTTGCTTAAGACTCGAAGATTTGAATCATCTAAGACAGATAATGCAATTTTATAAATTTCTTCCTATTTTCCAGTAATTTGTGTACAAAAAATATTGCGTAATCAACTAGCATAAAACAAAAGACACAACTTACCTCATTGATAAATTGATAATTACTACATAACACCTCATAACAAGCAGATGTATTTAATAAAGTTAGTATGAAATCAAAAACAGTTGTAAATTGTAAAATAACTAATATCTCTCTTTCTATTAAAAATAATTACAACTCCAATAATGAAGGGAAACAGAATTAGCAGAGTTAGTAATTAAAAAGCAAGCTAACAAAGGATTTACTTTACATCATTATTTTTTTAATTAACATGGCAAAGCCAATCATATTATATAATTTGTGGCTTAATAAAAATTTTGCTTCAGATATAAGTTATAATCACTGATAAATTTTTATATATATACTTATCTTAAAAGTTTTCAAATACACAATTATAACCATTGATAATTTTTTTTCCAATTATTACTTCAAACATTTTCTGTTATTTCAAATAACATAAATTACATCAAAAGCTATTCTACATATTAGAATGGAGCTATTACTAAATTATCTAGGAAACTGCCTTCGTTGTGAAGTTTCACCTAATGAACTGAAATTTCATCTTATACTATTACAAAAAACAGTTTTCTAATGTTTTCTTTATATATTTTTTTGCTTGTATTTTCTGCATATTATATTTATTTCTAGTTTTATTATCACAGATTTGCAATTTTTATTTTATTTAGCAATTTAAATCAGCTTTCAAAAGTACTTTTTATAATTCTGTTACTAAGCCTAGTATGACTTTTACTGAGTATTTATTTTGGAACATTACAAATATTTTGTACATATTTTTCAGCTCTCTTTAATTTAAATTTCTGAATGCACTGACTGAGTATCACTGCCAGTTAAAATATCAATTCACATAAATGAAAATATATAAAACTCTGATATTTTTAAAACTGCAGTTGAAATAATCCATTTATCAACTCAATATTAAAGTACACTGAAGGTAAGTCCTTGATTGATATTATTACAGTAAAGTCTATGAATGACACTGGCATAATAAATTGGCTTGCTGTAAATAAAACAACAATGAATGACTATAAGTATATCTACTTTGAAGTTACTCATATTACCCTTACTGATCAGTGGTTTAAACAATTTCATATTAATAAATTTGAATGGTTAAAATTAATGGAGATCTATAATAAATATAGTGACTTATATAATGTTCCAGAGGAAACTGATGCTTTCATAAAGGAAATTACTAATATCGGGTTTTTAACAAAACTTTCCTCCACTGCAAATATCCTCTGGACAAACAGTTCACATTGCCATATTTAATCATATTTTGTTAAACGATTTTTGGCATTTGAAAGAAAGAGACTTGCTTTAGAATACTGTGTTGTGAAATATACAAAAAGTATCGTTATCATTAAATACAAGGTGTCTGAAATGGAACTACCATGCTACCAGATGAGAATCATCATTTACTTTCAGTTCTGTTGCAAAACATCAGCTACAGAATGTCACCAAATCATGCATATAAGCTTTAGGTACTAATGTTGTATCATATAACATTGAGAAAGTTTGGAATTGAAACTTCAAAAACAAAGACTATGATATTCAAGAAGCCGAGTGCTCTGGCCGGCCTACTGATATTGATGAAGCCTGCCTGCGAGAACTTGAGGAAGAAGATCAGTATGCAACCACTCAAGAGCTTGTTAAAGAGTTAATGCCATGTCCATTAATCGCACTATGCATCACATAAACTTGAGCTACAAGTTCAATCGCTGGGTATGGCATGAGCTGACTCAAGCAGATAAAGACTGTCTTTATCTGCAAAAAATGCAGTTAGAACTAAAGACTAACTGTGTAACATAACTGACTCATGAACGAACTAAAGACTAACTGTGTCTGAGCCTGAACTAACCTGCATGAATATCAATGCAAGAACAAAATTCTGGACCGGATCATCACTTGTGATGAAAAGTAGATTTATTTCAACAACATTGGCTAGAAAGGGGGTTGGTCTGTGCCCAGTGAATCTATCAGCAGCATTGCAAAGTGCAACTGACTAACAAAAAGAGTACCTGGAAACTGGTAAAACCCTCTATAGTAAGGTGTACAGTGAGATGCTAGTCCGTGATGCTGCTATAATGGAAAGATGTCGAACCGAGTTCTGTTACAAAATGATAATGTTCCATTAAGATAATGCAAAACCACCGGTTAGTCAATGACTTTGTTACAGTTTACTCTGTAACAAATCGATTGCCAAAAGTGCTCAAATAGCTGCTGCAGATGCAATGAAATATGGTAATCTTTCTTTTGAGTGGTAGCACATGTGCAGCCAGATCTCAGCCTTCTTGCGACAGAACTTTCTCGTAACCACTGCTCCAACACATATGCAAAGTGGATATGCCCTGTCGTCTTTCTGAAATATTTAAAAAAGAAAATGTATCTTCTTGTAGTTTTACTACACAGCCTCACTCACACTCGGTAAGCTGCTGATAGTGCCTTTCTTGTGTCCTAAAAAGAATCCTTGATTCAAATCTCATTCACAATGCCCAGTTTAAAAGATAAATAAGGCATATGAAGTATACACCATTTAAAGAAAATGCAATTTGCATGTTCACAGTGGCACTACTAGCATCACATTTATTTGTCTAACATGAAAGATGAATACATATAATCTTTTAAATTTTGTTTATCTTGCACAGCTTCTTCTTGATGCAGGAATTCCATTTTCCATCAGTGTATAATAAAAATGAAATTATCTAAAGTTCCCAATAAAAATTAAATGTCTATGGGCATCAATATTTTGACTGCTCATTATATGAACTTTTGTTATGCCCATTATATACAACAGCAACAGTGACAACTGGTTGAAAATTTCAAATTTATGCCAGTAGAAAATAGAAAACAGCAAATTTATGCCACTGCAAAAAAATGTTAAGAGTCATACATTCAATCTGAAGCATTTTCAGAGGCAGTTTTCAGTGCAGGATAAACAGCTCACATCCAAGACAATACTGCCTAATTCAGAATGTCTGCTCTCTTAAATTTGTAGCGACATCTTTCAAATGTGTTACTTCATATCTGTTTTACAGAATAAAATTTTGAGATTTAATGACTTGTCACAAAAACAAGTTTCATTTATTTTTATTCATGATCCTTTAAAAATAAACCAACCAATCTGCTTTTTATATTTAAAAGTGTTACCTTCATTTAACTTAACTAGGTTATTTTAAACTGTATATTACTTTTCCTAGTCTGCTACCATGTTGTTGATTTTAGCACAATATACTGTTAGCAAAGTATGCCAATTAATAAATGAATCAGAAATCAGAATTAATCAGTGAATTAGAATCTAATAATAAAAGAATCTTTTAATATATGGGTTATTGAAACTATATGTGTGAGATTAGTATTTTATACACACAAGATTTACATGTGAATACAAAAAATTTTAGAACAGCCTTGCAAAATTAAAAGTGCTACCTACAATAAATATTAAATACATATAAATTATAATTTTAGATATCATATTTGCACAGCAAAAAAGATAAATAAACACTGTAATCACTTCTGTGCATCACCTGGAAGGAATTCTTAAAAATTTCACTGAATAAGTCAAAGCCAATCACAAATTTTTATTGTCATACTGGCTTACTTCTTTAGTACAGTTGTGGTAAAAGAAATATCTTTTACCACACTTTGGGCTCAACACTCTTCTCAAACTTTTTTATTAAGTTTTCTCTCTTCTTACTAAATTTCCATTGGTAATTTTTTTTTTTTTACTTCCGTGTATTTCAAACCTTAAACTCTCTTTAAGAAAAGCAGAAATATAAGAAAAAAAGGTAGTTATATTCATTGCTTCATTGCTTCTTAAATGTTTAAATAAAATATGCAAAACAAAAATAAAAAATAACAATAATGAATAAACATTGCATTGAATCACATAAGACTAAACAGAAGACAAAATTTAAAAGTAGCATTAACCATAGAAACAAAAATGACATTAAGCACAGCCAAGATTGTTTTTCCTTTGGATTGCATGTAATGCCATATGAATCAATTAAATAAGAATTTAAATGTTGACGAGCACTGCCTGTTTGGTTTTTACCATGCCATTATGCACTACTCTGCATGTGCGCAAGAGACTGAGTTAAGATTCCTAGTTTCTAGATTAATAAAATGACAATAATGGTCTGTGAAATATTCCAGATTCCAAAAAGTAAAATCCAATGCAGTTAAAAAGAAAAAAGAAAAAGAAAGGGGGGAAAGAAACTGTGATCAGATGAAAAACGTGGTTCACAAGTGATGATTATATCATTAATTACTGTTAGGAAAGCATCCAAACCAAATTGGCACCACATGCCATAAAGGAAATACACCAAAGCAAAAGTGCTGTATGGCATTAATGGAAAAGAAACAATCATTCAAGTTCAGATACTACAAATAACATAACAGATTTAGAGACTCTAATTAACAAGATTATAGTTAAAATAACATTTTGAATTATAGAGGCTATTATACCAAATTATCCAATTTTAACACTCCATCGGGCGCGTTGATCTGACAGATACAGGCATGTCAAAATCTCTGTTTTTGTCCCCTTAAACTTCTTTTCACGACCTTGACCTTATCAGCATCTGTCCATCTGGACACTCCCTCCTTTGGAATGCAGTAACCACCAGTTCAGTGTAGGAGTATTTCCTGTTTTTAAGCTTATTTGAAAATTTGTATCTGTCAGATTCATGCACCCAATAACGTTTGTCTCCTAAAGCTTTATGGAAGTATCGAGATTTCTTATAGATCTTTTATTTATTTTTCCCATGATGAGTGCTAAACGCTTTTTAGATTTGAATAATCAAAAAGGCCTTGAACTAGTCCATAATATTCTGTTTAATGATGTAAATGAGGAATTAAATGCTGAAGAATTTGATGAAAGTGATGATGAAGAAGTAGATATTTTAGAAACATTTGAAGTAGATTCTGAAAGTATTGAAAACGATTATAATGACTCAGAACTTGATGATGATGCTAACAATGGTGATTTTTATGTAGGAAAAGACAAAAGCACTAAATGGGCGAAATCGCCCGGAAGAAAAAATTTCAAAGTTAGATCGCAGAATATTACCACAAAATTACCTGGAGTAGACTAGAAGAGAAACACGCTAATGTGACAATCAAAATCGTAAAAACAACCTTATATTTAGCGTAGGTATAATGAAACACTCAATCGATTTCGAGGGCAGCTAAAGGTCCCTCCTCATCAGGAGAAAGAAATACATAGAAAGAAGAAAATAGGAATCACAGAAACACGTGGTGCTTATCAGCACTGCACGTGGATATAACTAGATTTTTAATCAGAGTAGCACTGGCCGCCTACTTTTACTGAGCCAGGCTGTCTGATCAAGCATAAAGAAATATTAGCGAAGTTAAAATAGGGAGCGAGGGGCAAATGCACATTACGCTCAAAATCTGAACTTCAAATAATGGAAAGCAACCACTGAACGGATTTTTATACCCTCTGGTAGTACCAAGTGCGAGGAGGTAACGCCATCTATCGGCAAAAATAATTGAATTAAGACAGTAGAATTTTAAAGGCATTAGGAAGGACTGGATTGGACTTCAAATCATTAACTAAACTTTCTAAATCTTTGTGAATGTGAAAAGCCTCAAGAAAATCCAATTCGCCTATGGAAGAAGCCTTTTGGATGATTTTTGCAGACCCAAAATCAAAATTATGGTTAAAAGTCCAGCTATGATACGCTATTGAAGACTTGTTAATTTCCCCTTTTTTGACATAAGATTCATGTTCCTTGATACGAAACTTCAACGCTCTTTTTGTTTGGCCAATATATCTTAAACCACACTGACATGATATACTATAAATTCCCCAAGAATTCAAGACAGAAACGCAATCTTTTAGAATCGAAGGGTGAATTTTATTAATAGGGGAGAAACCGACTTGAAAATTGAATTTCTGGAGAATCCGTGCAATTTCATAGCTAACAGAAGGATAAAATGGAAGCACGACAAGGTCATTGATATTATTTCTAACAGTGGAATGTCTTCTTTGATGGGAATCTGGAATTAAAGCCGTCAAAAAAAAAAAAAAAAAAATTCAGATTCCCATCAAAGAAGACATTAGACTGTTAGAAATAATATCAATGACCTTGTCGTGCTTCCATTTTATCCTTCTGTTAGCTATGAAATTGCACGGATTCTCCAGAAATTCAATTTTCAAGTCGGTTTCTCCCCTATTAATAAAATTCACCCTTCGATTCTAAAAGATTGCGTTTCTGTCTTGAATTCTTGGGGAATTTATAGTATATCATGTCAGTGTGGTTTAAGATATATTGGCCAAACAAAAAGAGCGTTGAAGTTTCGTATCAAGGAACATGAATCTTATGTCAAAAAAGGGGAAATTAACAAGTCTTCAATAGCGTATCATAGCTGGACTTTTAACCATAATTTTGATTTTGGGTCTGCAAAAATCATCCAAAAGGCTTCTTCCATAGGCGAATTGGATTTTCTTGAGGCTTTTCACATTCACAAAGATTTAGAAAGTTTAGTTAATGATTTGAAGTCCAATCCAGTCCTTCCTAATGCCTTTAAAATTCTACTGTCTTAATTCAATTATTTTTGCCGATAGATGGCGTTACCTCCTCGCACTTGGTACTACCAGAGGGTATAAAAATCCGTTCAGTGGTTGCTTTCCATTATTTGAAGTTCAGATTTTGAGCGTAATGTGCATTTGCCCCTCGCTCCCTATTTTAACTTCGCTAATATTTCTTTATGCTTGATCAGACAGCCTGGCTCAGTAAAAGTAGGCGGCCAGTGCTACTCTGATTAAAAATCTAGTTATATCCACGTGCAGTGCTGATAAGCACCACGTGTTTCTGTGATTCCTATTTTCTTCTTTCTATGTATTTCTTTCTCCTGATGAGGAGGGACCTTTAGCTGCCCTCGAAATCGATTGAGTGTTTCATTATACCTACGCTAAATATAAGGTTGTTTTTTACGATTTTGATTACCTGGAGTAATCGAAAATGCGAAAGGTATAAAAACTATATACGACTCTTGGAACTGTCTTTTTTTTTTTTTTTTTTCTGATGAAATATTGGAAATAATTGTGAAATACACTAACAAATACATTTCTACAATTTCTGATCTATTTAGTAGAGAAAATGATGTAAGACTAACAGATATCATTGAAATAAAGGCATTTATGGGTTTACTTTTATTAGCTGGCGTTTTGCGAAGTCATCGACAAATTTTGGAAGAACTGTGGTCTACTCATAGCATGGGTATTGAGATGTTTAGAATTGTAATGAGTCTGAAGCGATTTAAATTTCTTCTAAGATGCTGTAGATTTGATGATAAAGAGACGAGGAACGAGAGAAGGAAAACAGATAAATTAGCACCTATTAGAGAAATTTTTGAGAAATTTGTGGGAAAATGTAAGCATAATTATTGTGTGGGACAAAATGTTACGATAGATGAGAAATTAGAAGGTTTTAGAGGAAGATGCCCTTTTTCGCCAGTACATTCCATCAAAACCAAATAAATATGGCATGAAAATTTTTGCAGCAGTTGATGCTAAAACGCTTTATACATTGAATTTAGAAATATATGCTGGAAAACAACCCGAAGGTCCATTTAGTGTCAGTAGTTCCCCACTAGATGTTGTTCTGCGATTATCTAAACCAATTTTCAACAGCGGTCGCAATATCACCGCAGATAATTGGTTTACCTCTATTGATGTTGTAAAAGCCCTAAAAGATAAAAAACTTTCTTATGTTGGAACAATAAGAAAGAATAAAAAAAGAAATACCTCCCTGTTTTGTTAAATCTAAATGAAAAGAAGTACATTCAAGCTTATTTGGTTTTTCTAAAAACTGCACTTTAGTTTCATACGTACCGAAAAGAGGCAAAAATGTTTTGCTTGTATCATGTATGCACTTTGATGATGCTATAGATGCAGACACTGGAGATGAAAAAAGCCAGATATAATCACAATTTATAATGCTACAAAATGCGGTGTTGATGATCGGGATAAAGACGTGTGAAGATGGCTGATGATAGTATTTTATTCGATGCTAAATATTTCAGCTATAAACAGACTAGTTGTATTTTTGGGAAACCAGAATACTGTTCAGAATTTGAAAATACTGGTGAAAGAATTAGTCAATAAAGAAATTATTAAGTGCATGACTAAACCCAATTTATCGAAGGATTTGCAAATGAAACTTCAAACCTACAGACCAACTGCTGAAGAAGGAAAAAATGCAGAGGTTCCCAGTAACCAAAATAAACGCAAAAGGTGCATGTCAAACAAATAAGAAAAGTAGATTGACCCAATATTCCTGCATAAGATGTGCTGAAAATTTTTGTTTGGAACATGCAGTAATGATGTGTCAGGAATGTTCTAATGGAAATCAAACTTAAATTTAGAATTGAATTAAAGTATAACTGATTTATTTTGCTATTTTATATTATGTATTTTTATGTGATATTAATTATTTGTAAACAACTGCCATATTTGAAAATTTTTTTTCAACTGTATTAACATGTTTCATTGTGTGCGTTTTTAAATGGCATTTTAACCTGTGTAATAGTAATTGTAAATAATAAATTAAAAATTAAAAAATTTAAAAAAAAAATAAAAAAAAGAAAGAAAGAAAGGTTGGGGTGTAAAAGCCTGTATCTAAAAAGAATAAAAATAGAAGATTTAAAGTAATAGAGATAACCAGAAAAAATGTAAAATAGAGATGTATCTGACAGATACAGCGCGCCTGATGCCGCAAGATTCGAGACGCGCCTAGAGTGTTAAGAAAATATGCATAGTAATTATTCTAAAAAGATTAATCTTTTATGTTTTTAATATAAAGTTTAGTGAAATTACCAATTAAAGGTTTGTAGAAATCCCTAGAAAGAGTCTCTTGTAAAATTTTCTTTTCTGCTTTGTTGAGAATTGCTAATGACCATACCACATCCAGCCAAATATCTAGTGATACAGAACTTGGTTTCAAACGAGGCAAAATATGATTTAAAGTCTTTTCAGTATTCTCAGTTGAATAATTCAACATGGCTGCTGATAAAATGTAGGCCACATATTCCCGAGATCTGCAAGAATCAGGATGATTCACAATCCATTCTCCACATGCATCTAAAATTCCTATTATATGAGAAAAAATATAAATATGCAAAATATTCAATATTTGAATTAGATCTGAAATTTGTTTTATAGAAAAAGATTAACATGAAATAAAAGCATACTGATTAATAATACTTTTAATAACAGTCAGTTAAAAAATAACTGAAAAAATAAATGTTATTGCAATTACTTTACTATACAAAAGTCACATTTATGGTTTGAGTTACTTATTTAGGTGACAAAATTAAATGAACTACACATAAAAAAAATTTTTTTTAGAACATATCTGCTGTAAAAATATACGAAAAACATCAGCTTAATTGGGCTTACAGAAATACAAATACTTTACATTGAGATATATGTCCAGAAGAACAAAATATTAAAAAAAGGGGGTACTTATGTATTAACCCATCGACCGTGAAACAGTCATCAAGGTGATTTAATGCCAGTTATGAAAATGAGTGATGTTACAACAAACATATATAATATCTGTTCTTTAGTTTAATATAACTCTGATTAATTATCTATCTGCAGTTTGACAAAAATGATTCAAATTTTGGACCTGTTTTTTACACAACAGCAAAAGTAGATTATTTTTCAAAGCTACGGAAGTCCTAGCATAAAAAAAAAAGTGTGTATTAATGGACATGATATGGTCAGCTGAATACGTCTGACAAAAGAGTAATAAAATTTTGTACTTGTAGCTTTCTAAACAGAGCTTCCAGTTAAATTGTAGTAGTAGAAATCAAAGAAAATCTTTTTAGACAACAGAAAAATGAAGTGGGTCGAATATTTATTGTTTATTAAAAAAAAAGTGGCATCAATTCCTTGAAAATTCCAAAGGAACAATTGGTGAAATTTTGCAGGATCTCTGCCAACTTTTCTGATTCAACGGTAGCCAACTTTCACAGCTGACAGGATAATATGTATGAACCAAAATATGCATAATATCTGAAATCCTTAATTGAATTATTTGAATTTGTAAACTCAGTATATCTGCTATGATTGGCAGACTAATTTATATCAGGCAAAAGAATATAAAGATAATAATCCAGAGATTGGAAATGAACTAAAAAAATTAAAACATAAGAGGTTTTTATGCCTGGTATGCCATTTATGTCTGTTACATGCAGTCCACTTTACAATAAAATACATGCAATATGCTTAAACATAAGAGTATGCTCAAAATACATGCAGTATGTCACATAGTATCATTCTAAAAACGTTTTTGCACAAGGCATAGCTATCTGACTTTTTTAAACACTTCCTGTTAATGTCTGAAGCAAATATTAAGGTATATTAAGTAGATAAATAATTTTTGATTTTCAATAAGCTTATATTTAATTTAGAGATTATAAGCATTTATTAGCAGTAACCAAAAAAAAGTGATGAAAATTGAATAGAAGTAAAAATTAAAAAGGAAAATTGCATTTAAATTTCAGCTATTGATTAACTTATCAAACTAAATAACAACGGATTTTAAAAAGTCATTTCATAAAATGGGAGGGAAGGGAGTAGTCTTATAAAATTATGTAAAACATTAACAATTTATTTACCTGGATGCTTCCATCTCAGATGTCCACAAGTAACTAAAAGACCAGATATTAATGATGGCTGTTCAACTGATGAAATGCTAGGCATGATATTATTAAATAAATATTGAAGAACCTTTGGATCATAATAGTTCAATTTTTTAAAAGCATAAAATATATCAATTGCTTCTTTTATATCTGGTATCTCAGTCTTTTGTAGCAAATGAAGTGATACAGCATTCAGAATACTTATATTTCTGTTTGATGTTTCAGATAATGTTCGTAATATTTTGCACAATTCATGAATATTTAATAGAGGAAGAAGTTCTATGATTTTTTGTGCTAGATCTTTTTGTAAGGATTTATCAAAAATATAAAAAATGTGAACTAACATTAAAACATCTGCAGCTGAAGCTATTTCAGAAATTCTGTTTTGAGTTTCTTGTTTTAAAGACAGGCACACTTCCTTCTGTAATTCAGTTACTTGAAATTTATGATGGAAATATAAGCATAAAATTAAGTTAGATATACTAAAATGAGATAAATTTTGCATAATGGTTTTCTCAGCTGAAATAACATATGCAGCATCTGGTGGAACACCTACTTCTAGCAAACTACGCAAACCTGATATTAAAAGGTTTGGCTCTAATGTATTACAGGTCTTGCCAAATATTTCACACAAATTTTGGAATCTACTGTCATACTTAAAACTATCAGCATCTATGCCTTTGAAAAATACATGCATTCTTAATGCTTTTAGTAGAGCAACTGATTCATGTACAGATACTGACTTTTTATTATTTACAGTTGCTAGAATTTCATTCAGAGGACAATTAATAAAAGGCTGCAAGTATTTTGAAACTTGAATATTTTCAACATTTTGCAACAAATGTTTATTATGGATATTGTGAGATACAGATGACATTAAAATGTATTTACATTGACTGTATCTTTGAAGGTACCTTCCAATGAATTCTGATTTATGATGGAAATTCTTCAACAACTGTACAGGTATATGATGGTACATACTTTATGTTTGCATAAGAACTATCAGTTATTCACTTTTTAACAGACTGAATATATTTTGAAAAGATAAATTTTAACTATTTCACTGTACTTGATGGCAACGTGAATTTATGAAGCATATGAGTGATAGCTTGCTGCAGTTATACTAATCTGAAAATAAAGAAATAATTTCTATTAGAAATATTTTCTCTTTTAAAATATTAATCATATTACATAGAATTTTAAGGAAGATTTTAAAAGGAACTATTCAAATTTGAAAGATTTTGCAGAAACAATAATGAAGATTATAAATACAAATTCAGCACTGAGACTCAGATTTTGAACTTTATATATTTTTATTTTATTTATTTTTTTTTAAATTTGTTTTTATCTGGCCAGTCCCATTTTTTGATCATGTGGCCGGCTAAGAGAATCAGAGCTGTGTCCTTCGCAAGAAAGTAATTTCAGTTTGCACAAAGAGATAGAGTTATATTCATTTTGTAATTCTTCTGTCAATCTTATAATTTTTATTTTTATTTTGAGATTTGGCAACTGACACTTTTAGGTTGCCAAAGAAAAAAGTTCTGTGTATTTCTGTCTACAATTGTTAGTTTATGGTCAATTTTAATATGGGATGCAAAAAATAAACATTTTTGACATATTTTACTTTTTTATTTTCAAAAATGCAAGAAAGTGGCTGAGGCTCACAAAGAAATATGATAAGTTTATGGTGCTGATTGCTTAGAATGCATGTGTCAGAATTGGTTCAAAAAATTCCATTCTGTAGAATTTTCACTGAAAATACCTAATGCTCTAGTTGACCTTCTGAAGTTTATGATGACAAGTCATAATTGAATTGAATTATCATACAAATGTGCAAGGTATTGCAAAAAGGTTAAATGTGTCATACACAACAACTGAAAATGGCATAAGATGTCTTGGACTCACTAAGAAGCTCGATATTTGGGTTCTGCTTGAATTGAAAGAAATTCACTTAATACAACTAATCAATATTTACTATATGCATTTAAAACATATAATGCAAATGACCCTTTTTTTTTAAGTAAATTATCACTGGTGATGAAAAATTAATTGTCTACAATCACAGCATGATGAATCAGCACAAATCATACTGAAAGCTAAATGGTATCACAAAGATATCATGTTGTCAATATGGTGGGATTACATAGTGCTGGTTTAAGATTTGACAAAATCCTAAAGCTATTTGAGATATAGAACCCTTTATGAGGGACATAAGTCAATTTTTTTTTTATATGGGATATGGTACAATTTGGGGGGGGGGTAGTTCCAAGAAAGTGAGGGCCCTAAAGATACAGCTTGTGCAGCTTATACCTAAATCTGGCACTGGGATTACAAACATGTTGTGAATATGCTCCTCTAAAACAATCAAATCAGATGTTTACTGTCAACAACTTTTAAAACTGGAGGAAGCAATCAAAGAGACAAGGTCAAAATTGGCTATTTGCAAACAAATCGCATTTCACCATGATAATGTGAAGCCTTATACATTTTTAGCAACATGTACGAAATTATTAGAGCTTGGTTGGGAAGTGATGTCCCATATGGCTCCCCATATAGCTCTGACCTTGCATCATAGATTATCATTTATTTAAATTTACACAGCTTCTTAAATGGTAAAATTTCTGTAATAACGCTGACTTCAAATCGCATTTGGTTGAGTTTTTTGCTGGCAAGGACCAGAAGTTCTAAGACTGTGGAATCACAAAGTTACCAGAAAGATGGCGAAAAGTCATTGGACAGAATGGAAGATATTTGACTGATTAAAGTTCATTTTTTGTAAAGAAAAAAATGAGTTTTATTTCACATTAAAAAAAAAAAAATACTTTTTAGCCAATTGGATTTGATTATAATTTTATTGATATTATTAATTAATTATAGTAGGATAATTTTAATTAATTAATTAATTACAGTAGGATAATTTTATAGAAGGAGCCAAAATTGCATATTTTCCCCCTTAAAATATTATCAGTAAGAAAATTGCACAGATAATCTTAAAATGATCACTGATATAAGTTTGATTAAAGTACAGAAATAATGATTTTAATAAATTTATTTAGGTACTTATTTTGGGGAAAAACTACTCAAGGAAGCATTCTGCAAATCAATTATAGTATTTTAATGGCTATCCAAACTAGTATTTCAATGGCGTCTTAAGAAATATAGAACTATATAAACTTACGTAATCTGAAATCAGCGCGTATGCTAGATTTGGCGTGCTGTTAAATGGGCGCGTTTGCTAGATTTGGCACTTTTGCGCATACATTTTCGCTGCAATTTTTTACGGTCCTCAAAACGGAATAGTACCAATTTTACTATTAAATACATAAAACAGCCAATTTTGCTATGTCTGATGAAGAACAATTGATAACATAAGAGCAAAATGATAAGAAAAATTTTATGGTTTGGATAAGGCATCCATTCCATAAAAACATCAGGTAACTAATTTTAGCAGCATTTTTTTTTTTTTTTTTTTTTTAATCTTTAAACACTATTTGAGTCTTCCTGAGCCTACAGTTTCAAAATTTGTCCAATGCAATTTGCTATTCCTCACATTTGGAAATGCTTTAAAAATTAGATATAGAGCATTATTACTGAAAATACTTATGTTGTAGTTTGATACTGCTTTATCAGGGTATCATTACAAGAAAAGACATTTCTTCAACAATCGGCTTTTGTTATTTGCATCTATAGTTATTGTTTTCATTCAACTCATTTTTATAGTCCTTTCAGTAACTACTCAGTACCTTTACTGTTAATTTCCTAAATAATGGTTTATACGTAGAAGTACAATCATAGATATAAGAAAAAGTTTTAGTGTAGATATAAGCAAAAGTTTTAGTTTTAGTACAATCATAGATATAAGAAAAAGTTAAAAGTGCTCAGAATTTCTGCATGGAGCCAGTGAAGTCGCGAGCATTACTGGTGCCCAGGACAAAATACTTTTTTGGGGCCTTCCCTTTGAAAAAAACACAGTGATATGATGAAAATTCTGTTTGGAGCCCCTCTGCAAGTGGCGCCCGGGGCATCATACACCCCTTCGCTTTGCCACTGCATGGAACCCAGTCTGAATTTATGGTTCTGTAGATCATTTACTACCAATCCATTGTTAATGGCAGTTAATAAGAGGTAAAACAATTGAAAATATGAAAATAATGTTTCTAGAAGGATATTACTTATGTGGTATAATTATCTCAAAATGCCTTTGGAAATCACATTTTGCTGATTTAAATATCTGTAACTCAAAACACCATTGGGTATTTGTAATTCAAAACACGCCATTTTTTTTTTTTTTTTTTTCAGGAAATTTGTCTGCAAACCAAATTGTTCGTGAAGCATTCATAATCCAAGGTTCCACTGCACTTGAGATTTAGTGAATACTAAATTTAATGAACTTCCTGAATCAGATTCAATTTTTTTAAAATATGGCATTTTTACTACTAAATTAAACATGAATAAATTAAAAGATAAGATAATGTAATCAGTCAGCTTGGAGAAACAGATGTAGAAGTGTACCCTGCTTCTCGATGATTTGCTCTTTTAAGCCAATTAATATTTGATCATAACATGTACATTTGACATAGAATCCATTATTCTGTATACATGAGAAGAGGCTCTAATTTATATATTATAATTGTATGTACACAATATGTTACTCAGCTTGTGCTCGTGACAGAGTATTTATGTTTAACTCTCTATCCTATAATTTCATTTCCTCTTTTTAAGTGCATAAATGTTTGCATCCTTCTGAGTGAGAATTATCCAGCTTATTTTAATTGCATTACTTTACAGTTATTAGCCATGCTAACTACTATGGACTTAAAATTTGCAGAATGTGAAAGTGCAAGTATGGTTGACAGAAATGTTTAGAAAATGAGAAATTAAGAAGTATGTAAAGATTTAAGTTTAAATATTTTAGATTAGCTTAAAGACAGAAAACTTTTACAAGATAACATAAAAAATGTAATAAACCCACACAAGATAACTCAGAAGATGCAAATTTTGTTTACAAAAAATTTTACTTCATATGTTCACTTCCCTCTGTAAACTTACCTGCAATAAAGATGAATTCTCACTTTGAAATTTTTACATTATAGGCACGGTACGCAACTAGCAAATCATCTGTAAATCACTTTGTTACTGATCTGATGTTGTGAGTACAGGAAGAGCTATTACTTTGAAATCTACCAGTTTTCTAATTCTTTTACTTGGCTCTAAGATTTTTGCTTTTACTGTAGAATGAAAGTCTGTTGTAAGAGATTCAAAATTTTATCACAATAACAATAAAAGGAATAAATTTTTTTCATGTTACTTTTATTTGCAAAAAAGCATTTATTATATATTTTTGCCCTAAAATACAATTATATTACAAAATGACAAAAATTTTAAACACTGCCTAAATAAATAATTACTTTCACTTTCATTCATAACGATTTCTATTAGACATGTATATTTTCCTTCTGCAGCAGTTTCATCTCTTTTCCACTCTGTTTTGTTTTTCAATAAAGTAAGCGGGGACAGAATCAGGGAAGAAAAAATATACAGGGATACTTATTATAATAAATTACATAATCTACAGCTAGCAGACAACATTTTCTTGCGGTTGGTACAAACTGGAGCTGACCGTAATTCCATGTGGTTTTAACGTTGGATGCTATGTCTAAAACAATAAATATTTCTTAAACTATAATTATTAAATGCATTAAATATGCGAGACGTTGTTAAAAAAGACATTTTTTTTAAAAACTGCTTTTCAGTAAAGTAGAGAAAAACAAATTTTGATTTGAAAGTTGAGACAAATAAAATAAATTTTAAAACTTTTTAGGTCGTATTTTAATAATGTTTTCAACATTTATTTCAATTTACAAGTCAGGAAGGCTAGAATATTCTTCCTTAGAAAACAGCTAATTAGTTTTCATAATTAAACTTGCATCGTGTGGCAGTAGAATGAGGATGTTGTTTAAACTGAAATGTGCGAGAAAGTTTTGATTTTGTAGAATTTTTTTCAAACCTTAATTTAAAAGACTTGTTTTTGACGAAGCTCCTTTTTTTTGCTTTTGTTTTGTTTCTGTTAAAGCTGTATGTTTGAGAGAGGAGTCGTAATGAAAATTTCAATAACTTCTATGCAATAAAATTATTTTAAGTTCCTCGAAGTGAAAAATTTTGAGTAAATGAAGAGAACTTTCTAAGATGCAAAATAATTGTTCTCCCCCACAAAGAAAACGTTTTATTGAGTCATCGTCGTTTTATAAGAATGAAAGCACTAATCCATTTTCTGGAATGAAAATTCATGACTCGAAATTTTTAGAAAGTGTTCCAAATCGCAGTTTGTGTCCTAAGTGCAATAGATCGCGGCGATATTATTGCTATACATGTTATGTACCTGTAGAAGAGGTGTCTGCAAGGTTACCTTTTGTGAATGTGAGTGGTATATTTTAGTATTTGTCATGTATATTATTTTTGTTGTATGTATTTTTTCTTTTCGCTCCTAATTTCAGAATAATGTATCCCTTGAGTTAAAAACCACCAAAATTTTGATGATGTATCATTTTGACAAATGTGCCTGTCTTTTTTTATCTCTTAATGTTGTATCATTATGGCTGTTCTGTACTACTGAGTTTAATTTTTTTTCACACTCCGCTTCTTCATAATGTCTATTTGTGCCAGTATTTGGAAATTGCTACAAATCATAATCTGAATTTGAGATTTCCATAATAATAACACCTTATAGCCACCAAATAATTTTGAAAATTGCTGAAATTTACATGATACAGATTGGACAATTAAGTTTACCACTTCTGATGACTAGGCACCAGTGGCCTCTTTAACAAGGTAGCAATGAAATTTGGTGGAGGGGAGGAAGGAGGTATGTATGTCTTCGTATTTCTTAAAAAGACATGCATTCTTGCAAGTAAAATATCATCTGTTTTCCTTTGTTAGTGGGGGAAACAGTTTTAAAATTATATGTGAATAAATACGTAATTTCTTGGATTCTTACTGTTGCTGCAGTATTTGGAAAAACCAGAATTAGCTGTAGGAAAAATAAGGCATGTTTAAAAATGGGTACTATTCTGTTAGAGTGGCATCAGTTAAATATGAAGAGAAAACAATGTTACAATAACATGTCAAATATCACGGGTCGAGATTTGTAGTTCTTGTTTGAAATATCGTCACTTGTTATTTTTTTGCCACTGTTTTTAATACTATGGATTACACAATTACCTAATGACAATGAGGCTGCCATAAGATTCTTTCAGGACAAAGTAATAAAGTTCTTCGGATGACCTCAAAGTCATCCGATGAAGTTAACTTTAGACTCAAAGCTCCTACATAGTGTTATGAATGTTCTCATTGTGGGAAAAAAAAAAAAAAAAAAGGTTTGAGAACCAAAACATGGTTTGAAGGCTCGTGTCTTTTTTTCCTCGATGCTGTTTGTTTGCCAACTTCAGTTAGAAATCGACCATGGTACAACAATAGATTGGAATAACTACTTTAAAGTCTTTTCACAAAAAGAAAAAAACAACATTAGACATGTTCTTCTAGAACAATGGGTATTTGGGGGTTTATGCCTGGAAAGCAAAGAAGGCTAAAGTGCAGAATCGCCCACTTATTTGTTTGGCGCTTTTTACAAGAGTAAGAAGAATTGGATTTTTGTCGATTTTCTTTGAAATTTTAAGTGAAAATAGGTTAATGTGTACATGGATAAAGTCAAGGGAGTGCACAGTGCCATTTTTGTGCAATTCTGGGATATTTTTTTTAAGTGAAAATAGGTTGAGGTGTACATGGATACAGAGTATGTGCAATTCTTAAAAATGCACCAAGCAGTGGGCGATTCTGCACTTTCCCCGCAAAGAATGCTTTCGGGTCGCTGTTCTCGATCATTGTGCTACAACATTGATGAGTGCCATTCAAGAAAACATCGCAGATGAGAGCATTATATTTTCAGATTGCTAGAAAGGATATAAGAAAGAGGAATTAAGAAATGCTGGGTATGAACATTTCACTGTGAATTACATTTATAATTTTGTAGACCCCCCAAAACAGGATGCCATAATAAAACTGTGGAGCGATTGTGGGGCATTGCTAAATGGTAATATAGGGCACTGCTTGCCACCATTTAGAGTCATGTGTGATAGAATTTATGCGGCGCTGGTTATATTCAAAAATAAAATTCTTTTTTTTGCAATATTGAATGATATTAGTTGTAATTTTATGCCACTGTTTAGGTTGAACATCATTTTCTTTTGGTATTTTTTATTTATGTGTAGAATATTGTAGATTAAAAAATTAAAAAGAAAAATTTACTTGATCACGTGAACCTAATCAATTCTTTAAGAATTAATAAATTTTAAAAATTTACTTTTTATGGAAATAATTTTTAGTCTTTTCAATTCTATTATTATTTCATAATTTTATACTTGGCAACAATTGGTGTTCCAAAAATGTGGTGCATTTTTAGCCGATGCCACTCTAACGGACTAGTACCTAAAAGTGTTACCAAGTTGGGAAAAAAGATTTCCTTATGACAACCATAACTTCGGACAGACAGGTCCTTTCTGGCCTGACTGCAAGAAGATAACCGAGTTGCCAGTCTGTCCCGCAATAAAAATAGAGAGGTGTGAAATGGGTCAATGTCAGGTCATCAGTATAGATTCCCTTGTTCCCAATGTAATAAGTTTTCAAATGAAACATTGATTGTAGCATAATTAACATTCATCTGAGCATAGGTATGGAGGCAGTTTTAAAACAACTGTTGGAGTTCCAGTTTAAAGTAATGGTTTGTGATAGGACTGTTACTCATTTTTTACATAATTAAGTATTGTATAATTTTTTTCATTTGATTTTTATTAAAAGCAACATATCTGTAATGCAAGAAACTATTGTGTAATGTATCAGTAAACTGAATAGAAACTAAAAAATTACAACCAATAAAAAATATGGTTATTTGAAATTATGTTAAAACCCGCCCAGACAGTATAGTGGTTAGAAAAGCCAACTGCAAAACCAAAGGACTCCGGTTCAAATTCCAGAGAAGTCATAGTTGTAATTGTCTGCCCCTTCATAGGAGACAGAGATGGCCCACCTATTAGGTGCGTCCATGACCAAAATTCCTTGCCTTAGTTGTGGCTAAGCCAAAGTCGGCTGAGGGCCTGCCATTGGGAAGGAAAAAAATATTATGTCAAAATTTTTTAAATCTAATTGAAAGAGATTCTATAGCTTTGTCATTTAGCTTTAAATATTTAATAAATAATTAACCCTCTTCTAGCGACCTCTGTAAGAAAACCTTTTCTAAAAATAGCCAGTGTTTTGAGTTTATAAACAAGCTCTTGTACTGAACATCGCCTAACTATCACCTGTTCTGAAGGCCAAAATCAACTAAAAATATGGTTTGTTATCTTAGAGAGCATTCAGTATATTTTACAAAAACTTAGAATTTATTTTACAAGTTTTAGCTTTAAATATTTAATATACTATGAACCCTGTGGATAGCAACTTCCTGACATGAACACTTCTTAAAGTGATGAATATTTCGAAGAGCATAAACAAGCATTTTTATTAGTCACATTATCTGGTGCTACTTTGGTAGACGGTTGCACGGATTTTGGCGATTTTCCTTTGGCGAGTAATACAACTTATGGTAAACCCATTGCTGGATAAGTTATTTATGGTAACCGATACTTTGTTGTCATTTTATCTAAAACATAATGCATTTTATTGTGCATACATAAATTCCGTGTTTAAAATATATTTATGGCTTATTTATAGCTTCTAAATATTAAAAATCAATTTTAATTTTGCATTTTTATTTGAAATAAAAATTTTATTGTTTATCATATTTTATGAAATTTTATGTTTGTGGATGATGGTAATCAATGACGTCACCTTACTTTTAAAAGTAATTCGTTTTAATATGTATAAATTTAATCTAATGTTTTAAACATTATTTATGGTTCTTAAATATAAAATACATTTAATTTTGCATTTTTTTTAAAAATGATTTATTATGTATGAATTTTTAAATAATTTTAATTCTAGCCGTGATGTAATAAGCTCTCTGATTGGTTATAGAATATTGTACATTAACGAGCTGTAATCAGCTCCCTGATTGGTTACTGACAATTTGTGCATTTCGGCGCCGTTTTAAAATTTAATTTATATCTTCGAATTCCTTCAAAGATGTCTTCAAAGATATTATCTAAATTATGATTTTGATTTTTTATTGTGGGACTTATCAATAAACAACAGGTTAAACACTCAAAAAAATGTAAGTACATATTTTTCTTTTATTTTATAACTAGGTGTACCCGCCCGGCGTTGCCCGTGCATTTAGAAAATGCAGATAAGTGAATAGCGCAGGATAGTAGTGTAGGACATGTAGACTGTCTCTCTCTCTTCCCCCCCACAAGCTCCAAAAAAGAAATGAATTGTAATTAATCGATTTAATGTATCGTCAAAACAGCAAAAACTTAACGCTAGAATAAAGAAAATCAATTGTTACAATCGAACGTTATTTGAAAAACAAATAATAATATCAGCGAGTCAAAAAAAAAAACCCGTGATTATTAATTATAAATAATTTTTTTAAAATTTTTCTAATTCAAAAA